ATATTTTCCCTCAGAAGCCAAAATGCCAAAATGCCTCGAAACTGTGTAAACAATGCAGATACTTTCTGCTACAGTTGTGTTGAGGTTACATTTGCATCTCAAAAGTGCAATATGACAGCAGTATAGGTCTTTGGTTGTTCGGGTTTTCTCCCGCGTAAAATTGGAAGTGTCTTGGCGACGTTTCGACGAAGTCCCGTTCGTCATCTTCAGGCTGGTGTTTTCAGCTTCGTGCTATCAATTTATATTATATATATAATACATATATTATATATGTGTATACATGTCTATACAATATGTGAATATACATACATAGATACACACACACACACACACACACATATAGTGCTCCCATCACCACCTTGACTCTTTTTAACCTGCCCACAGCTGCCCCTTTTTCTAAGAAATTGTGCCAAAGTGGTTCACCTGTTCACAGACCTGAATTTGTCTGCTGTGCTATTTCTTTCTGCATTCTTGTCTCCATGTAGTATCAAAACCGGCTGGTGCAGTCTAGCCTATTGTGGTATTTAATTGTCTTTTGTTTTCTTTTGGGGAGGTGGCTGTTTGGCTCTTAATAGACTTGGAACCTGCTGAGCCAGCTCTAACCTCCCTCTCTCCCTGCCTCCCACTCATAATCCAGTATTGGGACTTCCCCTTTAAAAGAAAAATAAAATAAGTGAGCTATTAACCAACTTGGTTCAGTCACAGTTCCAAGGTTGCTCCTGATTATAACCACAGGGAGAAGGAGGGAATCCTTTCAAGGCTACGATTCAAGTCCTTTGGAAGATCTGAAGCCAGTTTCTTCCAAATTTTTCACGAAGGGATTCTCCAGAAAATTATATAGACCAAACTTTAAAAACAACATTTTGTAAGTCTGAGGGTTTGGATGGAAACAACACTGTTTTATTTTGGAAAAGGCAAGAGATTTGAGAGAGTAGCGTGTCACTCTGTCTCCAGGTCCTGTTCCGCTTTTCAGATTTTGCATGTTTATATTTCAGCAATCTGGGACAAAAGCAACACAGATGATAGATATATTCTGGGAAGAGAAGCCTCTCTTCTTCTTCTCCAGCCATTCTTACCCTGACATTATTCCCACCTCTGGTCTTGTACTAATTTACAATATAAACCAATGGTCCCCAACCTTCCTGGCATTGCGGACGGGTGAGGGGAAAAGAGACAATGGTTCAGTGTGAGTGGCAGACATGTGTGGAGATCCATTTGTGTGAGTAACAGGCCCTCACATACGTGTGTGAAGCTCCATTTGTATGAGTGGCAGGCATGCCTGCTGCTTGCACAAATGGAGCTTCACATGCGTGCACGAGTGCCCACTATTTGTGCGAATGGACTTGTGCATGTGCACTCTCCTGCCGCTGGTGCATCCTGGTTCCGAATGGGCTGCAGCCTGGAGGGTGGGGACCCCTAATATAAGCAATTGATTGAAACTGCTTTCCATCATGTTTTGATTCATTCATTCTCTCTCTCTCTCTCTCTCTCTCTCTCTCTCTCTCACACACACACACACACACACACACACACACATACACACTGTGACTGATGATCCTACTGCCCTAATGAAGATAAAAAAAAACTTTGTTGTTAAGAAATTCTTGTTTTATATCAGGGCTGAGTTATGTTTCAGATTTGATTTTGAAAAAAAAAATTTTTTTAGGGTTACATAGGATCTTTTTCTAGGATCCTAGAAATACTGTTGCTTTAGAAAATTATTGACAGCTATTGCATTTGTTCTCCTGCATTTTCTGAAGTGCCCTGTGGAACTGAATTCCAACTTCATTTTGAATGTTAGGTATTTTTAACTGCTGTTTTTAAATATAATTTAATCTGAACCTTTAAAACAGGAATTTAACAAGTTTTCTAAGTTGCCTTTGGGGGGATTTGTATGTATGTATGTATGTATATATGTATGTATTTATAATGTTTTACCCCTCCCATCTTACCTAAGTGAATCTCCCTCTTTTAGTAGCCCCTGCAGTGGCTTTGGATGGAGCATGCCAGTCCTCCCTCCCCCCCACTATTGGCAGTGAGATTAATATGAAAGCTAGAGATGATTGTGTGCACATCCATTCAGGGGTCTGGAGTCAGTTGACTAGAGAGGGTGGTGGGTGTGTCACTCCAAGTTTCCTGGAATTTGCAAAGGGCAGATACTGGGTTTACAGAAAGCCAGAGCTGGTTCTTTGAAGCTATTCCTGGGCTTGTTTCAGCTTGCCTCTTGTTCTAGCGTAGCACATAAGCATGTTGCTTTCTGAAACACTTCTTGCTCGCCTCTTCTTAGGAAGTTCTCCTGAAAAGGAATGGTACAGTATTGCATTCATTCAGGAGCACATGGGCTGTGCTCATAGTCATTTCTGTGATGTCAACTTGACAATTTAACGTTCTCCTACCCAATAATTATTTCTCATTAGCACAACCATTCTACCAGCTACTGGCTTGTTTGTGCTGCTAATCATGTTCCCAGCACTTATATTTTTGAATGCTTAATTTCATTCCTGCAGAAGATACAGGTAACCCTTGAATTTTGATCATTTTGTGACTATTCTGATGATGCTGAAAAAAGTGACTTATGACCGATCCTCATTCTTGCAACCATCCCAGCATCCCTGCAGTGGTCAAAATACGGTGCTTAACAGCCAGGTTGCATTTACGACACTTGCAGTCTTTTGTCACATGAGTGCTATTTATGGCCTTCCCAGCCAGTTTTCAACAAGCAAAGTCAATGGAGAAGTTGGCAGGGAGGGTTGCAAGTTACATTCACACGATGTCTCATTTAATGTCCATCATGATTCACTTAATGACTGGCAAAAAGATTGTTAAATCAGATATAGCCATGTGATGCCTGGCTTAACTGCACACTTAAGGACAAATTTTCCTGCGGTCATAAGTCAAGGCTTCTATTAAAAAAAGCAAGTAATGGGGACTGTTCTGTGGCTTCCATAGGCCACCGAATTAATTAATTTACCCTACTCCATATAAAATCTAATTTATTGGAAAATATATATCAAGAACTTTGGAAAATCTCATTTTTTTTCCAGCTGCCAGAACAGTAGGAACTGTTTCTAATCCGGGGAAATAAGTTCTAGGAAACTGTTGGCACACCCTTATAGTGTCTCAAATAGGGTGGACCAGCAGAACATAATGTTTTGGACTTCTCTAGACTATTCTGTGTTTTGGACTGTTTTGGACTCCTTTTTTAGCAGTGAGGAAATCTGGAAAGTGATTTCCTGCTGCCTGAAATAATGAGGCCTTGGTACAGATTGGATGACTGATTCATGCTGCTTCTAGTGAGGAACTCATCCTGAGACAGTCAGCTGGAGTTTTGAAATATGTGTCTATTAACCTGCAATTGTTGGATGGGTAAGTCTGACGCATCCCTGCCAGAAAAACTTTTGGTTGTGATCCGATAGAACGGAAAATGGATCTTCCTCCTGCCTTCAGAACAGAGACTTCTGTCGTGTTAAATCTGGCTGGGATCTTTTCCGCCAGCCAGGATTCAGGAGTCCCGAGAGCCATGACTTCTCAGCCCTGTGACTGTGATTGGAGGCTTGACTGGGAAGATGTCTGGGTGGAGCAACTCCACAACTCGAGGGCTTCCAAGTCGCATCAGAAAGAGAAGGTCGAAAGTGGGAGGCAGTGGTGGCTGAGGCTGGCTCGCCCTGGCCGGGGGCTCGCAGCGAGAGGAGGCGGAGGCCTGCCCGATGGCTCCGAGCGAGGCAGACGGCCGCTGCCCGGGCCGCGGGGTCAGCCGCGGTGCTTCTGAGAGCAGCTGCGGCAAGGGAAGCGCGCTGGGCTGGGGCGAGAGGAGGGCCCGGGCCGCCTCGCAAGCCGGGGCAAAGTTCCCAGCCGGCGGAGCGGAGAGGCGCAGGCCTTCCTCCTCCTCGGAGCCTGCCGGGGTGTGGCTCCCTCCCCTTCCAGGGGGGGAAGCCGTCTTCCTGCCTCCTGCAGCAGGCCAGCCCGCTCCGACTCTGTGCAGTACCGCAGCCGTCCTGGCGATGTACGTGCACTGTGCGGGAGGCACCATGGCCCCCACAGCTGTTCGCAGAGGGGAGGGGGGCCTCTGTGTCGGCTGAATAACCAGACCGGGGCGGCCTCCCTCGCCTGGGCCGCAGCGCCTGCCTCGCCGCCTCGGCTCCTCCGGGCCCGCCTCCCCGGCCGCGCTTTGCTGCAACCGTAAGTGCTTCCTCCGGCGCCCTTCCCCGCGCCGCCCCGCCGTCCCCTGCCCGCAGCTTTCCAAGATGTCCGTCCGCCTCCTTTGTGTTCCCGGAGCTGCTCCGGGAGGGCCGGCGCGGGGAGCGAGCGCTTGGCCGGGCCCCGCCGCCCGCCCGCCTCCCAGCTCGGGAAGGGCCGGGAACGAAGCCCTGCAAAGGGCGAACTTTGCATTTCCCCGGCAACGTTTTGTTTGCGTGAAGACCCGAAGCGGCCGATTCTAACTCCGGGACGCGAACGGGGTGTGTGTGTGCAGACGGGCACTTTGTGAGTGCGAAGGTTACCCCGTCAGTCTTTGTTTCGGAGTGGCTCGGCTGCTGCAGCCGCATAGCGGCCCTTCCCCTGGAAACAGGCGGCCGCGAAGGACTTGGAACTTTATGGGGCTGAATTCAGAGACCCCTCGCGTGGCCCAAACGGGGAGGGGGTTCCCGTCAGCGTGAGCGGCCTTTCTTTTGTTGAAACTCCACAAGTTTCATCTTGGGAAGGAACCGTGTCGCCTTCTGCGCTTGAATTCTCCTCGTATTTTCGTGTTGATCGGAAGGAAACAATGGAGCGTAGTGCTGCCTCTTGAGAGAAAGGAGAAGCGTTTGCCTGGCTAAACGGCCTGGGACGCTGTGGGCCAGGGGAAGAGCCAGGGCACGGCTGCTCTTTGCCACGCGACCTGCCTTCCGTCTCGGCAGAGCTTTGTCTGCGGAGGAGGGAGAGGAGCCCAGGGTGACGCCGACGGGGGGCGGGGGGGCCTTTTTTGCCGGGGTGGGAGAGAGCTGAACGCACAAAGGCTCCGGTGGTGCTGCGGGGCTGAGGAGGAACAAAGAGGCAGATGCAAAACATAACATGAGTATTCCAAGAAATGTGAATGGTGACTTTATGTGCTATACAAAAATCGTACTCGCAAATAATGCTGCATTTAGTATTGGGGGAGCTAAAATTAAATTGTAATTCTAAGGCTACAAATACTTGCTTCATTCTGGTTGCCAGAATGCTAAAGGCATCACTAGAACAAGGGCGATTTGTTTCTTCCTCCTCTGCTTTTGCTTCAGCTCAAAGGAGAAAATAATTTTAAAGATACAGTTGCCTCCTTTTGAGGCACAAATTCCTAGAGCAGCTCCTCCAGACTTGGAGAGCATGATTCAAAACTTTTTGAGGCTGTTGTGTACAGAGAAGGTATTGGTATTACATGAAAAGTACAGGGTATGATCTGCGATGTAATCCATCTTTTGTCTACAGACTGAGTTTTCATGGAAGGTTCAAAGCACATGTAAATTGATGTGCAAACGCCAAACCCTTTGTGTTATGTCTCATGGTACGGTAGCAGGTTTGGGAAACCCCTGTTGTGATTCATTTAAGATGAAATTACATGATTCTCCACAAAATAGAATTGCTGTTGGGGTAACTGGCTAGATATGACCGAGGTGTACAAATTATGAGTTTGGATTGGATAGTATTACTGAAGAAGTCTGCAATTTTTGATGGATCTTTCGTGTTCCTGGTTCACAATGAATTTCAAAAGCAGTTGGATTCCTCCCAGAAGGCACCTCAAGTCTCCAAATCCCGGGGGTCGTCAGGAAGCCTCTGGAGGCTTCTTAGCACATGTTTGCTAAGAAGGAGCATGAGCATGGGGATCAGTTGGTGGAACCTCTTCATCTTGGATCTGTCAATCCAGGTTAGTTTTGCTCCCATTTGAATCTGAGCCATTGAAACTGAGACAATTGATTTTCTAAAAGATTTCCCTTTGAGTTTGTCCATGTGGATTTGAATGGAGGTCTTTCAGATTCAGCCATAGAGCTAAGACTTGTGTTTTCTCAGAGTGGGAAATTCTGCAAAAATTGTCTTGGGACTGGCATTTTCCGACTGTTCATAAATGGGTTTGTTTCGGGCAACTGGAGAGGTAGCCAAGGTTGCAGACGAAATCAGAGTAGTTAAAAACCAAAGTCATTGTGAGGAGTTCCAGAATAATATTTTAAAACTGGAGGAATGGACAGCAATAGGGCAGATGTATTTCATTTGTGATGTATATTGGCGCAAAAAAACCCTTCATATATAGAGTGAGGATATTTGAAGCATCTGTAACTAATCAGTAAAAATATCTTACATTGTAGTGTAGCTCATTATGAGTGCCAAGTCAGCATGTAGCATCTGTAAAAAAAAGTGAATTCTGTTTGGGGGATAATTAAGAATGGGATTGGAAATAAAGTTGCAAAGCCTATAATGCCGTTAGACGTATACAGTATGTCTGCATCTAGAATATTATGTACAATTTTGGTGTCCATGTTTGAAAAAAGGATAATACAGACCTGGAAAAATTACTGGAATAATCAAAACTTTGGGGGATTCTAACAACTTCCCTGCAACAAAAAGATAGAATATTGGACATGACTCAGGTATATAAATTTTCCCATGGCCTGGAGAATATTGACAGAGTTTTTCTTCCTTTCTCCGAACACCAGGCAAGGACCACCACTGAAGTTGATTAGAAGTAAATTTAGAAAAGATAAGACATTTGGTCTATAGTCATTCAACTCCTTGATGAAGGGTTTCTTGGGAACTGAATAGAATAGAACAGAGCTGGAAGGGACTTTGGAGGTCTTCTAGTCCAGTCCCCTTTAGGAGAACCTATACCATCTCAGATAAGTGACTGTCTAGCCTCTTTTTAAAAATCTCCAGTGATGGAGCACCCACGATTTCTAAAGGCAAGCTGTTCCACAGATTAATTGTCCTCACTATCAGGAAGTTTCTCCTTAATTCCAGGTTGCTTCTCTCTTTGATCAGTTTCCAACCCTTGTTTCTCATCCTGCCCTCTGGTGCTTTGGTGAATAACGTGACCCCCTCTTCTTTGTGGCAGCCCCCAAATACTAGAATACTGCTATCATGTCTCGCCTATTTCTTCTTTTTTTTAGACTAGCCTAACCCAAGTCCTGTAGCCGTTCGGACAGTAGAGCATTTGAAGCAAGAAGGGGCATAATACATTTCCAGTGATTTATTAAAGCTGTGTGTGAAGATGGGGCCAGTTGTTCAGCACAGGTTTTCAGGCAAGAAGGAGTTATTCCATATGGGCCTGGTGCTTTTCCAATATTTTGTCTAGGAAATATACCTTGCACATCTTTTTCTAGGATCACCAGAGGTGGGGGCCAAGAGGGAGGGAGTCAGGTATAGGAGCTTTGGCTACTGTTGGTGTATTTGAGATGGGGAGGGTAGCAATATTTGGCAGTGATCTCCTCTCAAACCTACAGAGGAACAAATTCAGGCCAGTTGATGATTCTCTTCAGTAAGGGGGGGGGTCTATTGTAGCCAATGATGTTCTTCAGGCTTCTCCACACATTTGCTGGTCCGTTTGCCGAGAACTGATTTTCAGCTTTTCAGAGTAGCTTCTCTTTGCTTCCCAGATCTCCTTTGTTAATACATTCTTGGCCTGATTGCACAGCATTCTGTCTCCATTCTTCAGGCTTCCTCTTTGGCACGACATAACTGCTTGAACTTAGCTGTGAACCAAAGTTTATTGTTACTGTATGTGTGTGAGCTTTTGGTCGGCACACATATGTCCTCACAAAAACTAACGTATGATGTCACATTATCAGTGAGTTCATCCATGTCTGTTGAGGCAATTTTAAAAACGCTCCAGTCTGTGCAATCAAGGCAAGCCTATAACTTTAACTTTGCCTCCTCAGTCCAAAACTTCACTGTTTTAACCACTGTTTTACGGTTTTAAGTTTCTGCCTATAAGCAGGTACCAGGTGAATCACACAATGATGAGAGTGGCCCACAGCCGCTCTTGGTAGAGAGCAATAGGCATCTTTTAGTGTTGAGAAGAACTGGTCTAAAATATTGTTGCCTCTATGCTGAGTGTAATATGAAGAGAACACCCGTGGGGCATAAAAGGATCTGCAATTAATGATCAGTGTCTCTAAGTCCTCATCACAAAATTTCTTTAGTACAGTCACATTCTTACACTAGCGACTGTTAACATAGAAGTAGATACCTCTTCCTTTCTTTTTAAGAAAAGAAAAAGGCCCTTGCACTTCCCTCTCCACTTCACTCCGATAGGCTAGTCCATGCAGAGCGGGGGCAGTTTGTGACCCTCTCAGGTTTGCTTATGGCCGCAGGACAGGTTACCAGATCCACAGTTGGACCCCCTTAGATGAGTCAGTAATTTTTTTTAGAAGGGATCCTGTCAAAAGCTTCTCTTTATGTAACTGATTAAGCACTGAAGGCCGTGAGGAACTTGGCTAGAATTGTGAAAGCAACAAGGATGCTTGTAGCAGAGCTGAGAAATGTTGTTTGAAATTGTTGCATAAAATAGTCCTCCAGCCCTTGGTGGGTTTCCCCTTTAAACATTCACCCACACAATGGCTTTGCTAGTAGTTTCCTCTCTTCTTGCTCCTCCCATTTGGGAGAAAAGGTCTCAAGCCCTTTGAAGTCAGGAGAAGAGTGGAAGGGAGTGTCTTTTGCTGGTTCCCTGGCAAGATGTGATTGTTTTCAGATGTCTCCCTGTAGCACCTTGGTGGACAGAACAGGCTTCTTGTGCCACTAATATTGGCTGACAGTATGTAACAAAGGCATAAGCCTTTCTAGCTTTCCAGCATCCTTGTGTATTTTTTTTTAGAGTAAACCAAAAATGGCTCTTTGATCAGAGCCTGAAATAGGATTCCCTTGATAGGGACAGGAGACTCCTTTTTTTTTGGTAGCAGCCAGCTTTGGGCCTCAAGCTGAAGTAGCTGCATGCAATCAGAATGACTGTCTATGCACTGGGCATTGGCTGAAGGGCACTGTTTTTAGGAGTAATACAGTGATCTGTCCCTCTGTTAATGCAGCCTAGCACTGTGTTGGCTTTTTTGGCTGGCTCATATTTAAGTGATTGTCCACTAGGACTCAAAGTCCTTCTCACAGTTACTTTTATTAAGCCAGCTTTCATCTAATCCAGTGGTTCTTAACCTGGGCGATATCACCCCTCAGGGGGCAATTTCATTTTTCAGGAGGGCAATGGAACAAAAAGGGGCAACGCGGGGGCGAAGGAACAAAAAGGGGGCGATGGAGCGAGAAGTTTTGGGGACACTTTTGAGACTTTTTCGTACAGTGAATGATTGCATATCTGTCGTACAAAAACATCAGATCGCTCGCTACTAGTGGATTGAATTGTATTTTCAAATGTTCCTCCCACTAGCTTCAGTACAGAACGGCGTACATATGTGAAGACGCATCGCTTATCTTTATGTGCGTTGCGCAGCAGCCTCTACCCATACAGTGGCACGCCATTGGCCAGAATATGGGAGATATGGGAAAAAGACTAGAAATAAATTATTTGCATCGATATGTCCTGATGACAGTTTTAAAGAAAACAAAAAAGTGTTTGCATAAATTGAAGAATTATTTCCTATGTTGTGATTGAGGGGTTATGTTGGGGGAGGGGGGCGATGACAATTTCCTCATTGGCTCAAGGGGGCGATTCGTTCAAAAAGGTTAAGAACCACTGATCTAATCTATACCTGCACATTTGGTATTTCTTGCCTGTGTAAAATGCCAAAGAACACCCAAATTATACGTGCATTAGATGTAAACTGTGTGAGCTACTCAGGGTGGATTTGATTTAAATCAACTCTATTTAAATCATAATTTTAAAAGAAATGTATGCCACACCATATCATCATTTTTAAGATGCTGCTGGTGTTTTGTTTTGTTTTGTTTTTCTAGAAAAGACTAAAAGGAAAGGGCCATTTTCAAACTCCTTTTTTTTGTCATTTCCTTTCCAGACCGGTCTGGACAGCAGTTTGGTTGATGGACCCAAAACAGGCCACATGGAAAAAGAGCCATTTAGTCATGCCGAAGAAGGAAGGTTAAGAGATGCCCTCCCAGCTGGCCTGGCCAATGGCGGAGGGAAAGCAGTGGCTGGAGGAAGGGACGTGCTGATGGATCCCGGCAAGTGGCTCGGCAGCCCGCGGGCCGAGCAGGAGGCCACCTGGGAGAGCACACCAGCCATCCTGGCTCAGGGAGACTCTTCCAGCAATGCCAATTGGGAGGATGCTCAGAACCTGGTGGCTTTCTCAGCAGCAGCAGAGGCCGCCATGTCTTCTCATGGGTTGGCACCTCTCCTATCCCCTTCTGCGTTAAGCATGCAGCTGTATGAAAAGTTTAATGCCGAGATGAATAGTGCAACGGAGGAGGGCTTGGCAGTGCCTCCTCCCAACAGCTGTCCTGGAATTGAGGATCTGAATGCCCTCAAAGCTGCGCTTACTTTGGCCAAGCAAGGCATGAAACCACCCAACTGCAACTGTGATGGTCCCGAGTGCCCAGACTACTTGGAATGGCTAGAGAAGAAGATCCAATCGGCCACCGGAGAAGAGGAGAGCTGCGTTGCCCAGCCCTTCAGCCAGGTTCACCAGCCCCCCTTGGGCAGGGGTGCTGATGCCAAGCAGGGGCCGGCTGCAGGCGAGCAAGTGACTCTGTGCCCCCTGGAAGCCCTCCCCCTTTCTCAGAGCGCACTGAACATTGCAAAAGAGAAGAACATTAGTCTCCAGACGGCCATTGCAATTGAAGCCCTCACGCAGCTCTCCACTGTTCTTCCAGAGCCGGCCACACAGGCTCTGCCCCCTCCTGGGAGCCCCATGGCCTTTGGCTCCAAAGAGCAGCCTCCCCTCCTCTCAGCGCACAACCCCAGCATGGTGCTATCTGTGTCGAGTGCTGGAATGTGCCAGAGCCACCCCTCCAGATCTGATGTGAGCCACCACTTGCTCCCAACTCCAGTGGCATCTGCATCCTCCTCCTGGCCACAGGGAGTGAAATGTGCTCAGGATAAAGCCCCCTATTGCCTTGACCACAGCAATGGCCACCTAGAATCTGATGGCCTGTTTCCTACCTGCAACTCTACCCCCTTGAAGGCAGATTTCACCAAGCAACAGAGGGAAGAGGCTAAGCCCAAAGCCAGAGGGTGGGACCTGCACACCAGCACTTCCCCATCCTCCCTGGTCAGTGACACCATGGCGGAGCTGGAGCAGCTGCTGAACAGTTCCAACGGCTGCATCAGATCTGTCTTCAAGCAGCCGGGAGGAATCCCAGGCAAAGCAAGAGTGGCCAAATCAAAGCAGGAGCCCCTCATCCACAAGGATGAAAATGCCCACCCTGACTGTCACAACTCTCCCTCTTCCAGCCCACAGTTGTCCCAACTCTTGCAGGAGAGCAGTTTCCACAAGAAAGCCCAGAAGGCCCTGCAGCACCACCTTCATCACAAGCGCAGCCTCTTCCTTGACCAGAATGGACCTCCTGGAGGGGCGCAGGAGCTGCCACCCCACTGGTGGGCTCCCAGTGCTCAAGCTCAGCCGCCTCCAAAGCAGCTGGAGAAGCCAGCCAAGGAGAGGAAGAAGAAGCCTGAAAAGAGGGGCCCCATGAAACCGTTCCGCAAGCAAATCCAAATCAAGAAGTCCAGGCAGAAGGATTCTCAGCCCCGCTTCTTGCCCGTGAGGCAGATCAGCTTGGAGAGGTGTCGTGCAGCTGCTGCTCTCCAGAGCCCGAGCAAAGAGGTTCAACCCGAACAGCTGCTCTCTTCTACTCCTACCAAGTTTTTGTCTCCCACTTTACTGGCCACCAGCCTTGCAGAGAAGTCTCCATTGCAGAAGCTACTTGAAAATCGAAGCCCAGCTTCCAACACTCAGGAAACCCACCATCCTGGCCAGGAGGAGACCCAGCGTTACTTCCCAGAGAATTCTGTCTGCGAGGTTGTGCCCCTAACCAGCAACCCTGTGCTGGGCTCTGCTCCCTGCTCCTCTGCTGTGGCTTGCAGCAATGGGCACGAGGAAGCCTTCCACAGGACAACCAACTCAACAGCCCATCCATTCTTCACCCAGAATCCTACTGCCGTGGATGACAAGCTGGAGGAATTTATCAAAGAATTTGAGACTGAGTTTGGTGAAAATTTCACCTTTCAGAATCCAACTCTTCCAGCCCCGCTGCTTCTCAGTGAGGGGCCTCTGCCGACCCAGCCCCCTTCCCCCCTGCTCCCCCTCTCTTCTCTGAGCCAGTCTCCAGAGCCACCAGGCGGTTTGGATGTTGCTGTCCAGCCTTCAGCCCAGGAGGGTGCAGGACCTTTGGCAGACACTCCCAATACGGGTCTCAAAGCCCCCCTCCTACCAGGGGCCAGTCAGTCCTTGGGAAACCCCCTGGCCGCTCAGTCCCCGAAACACATAAAAATAGAATCCTCTGGTGCTATCACAGTGGTCTCCACCACGTGCTTTTACTCTGACGAAAACCAAAACCCAGACCCAGCAGCCCTGGAAGGAACCCCAACCAAGAATCAGGAGCCGTTTATGCCATCTCTCAGTGGGTTTTTGGAATCTCCCTTGAAATACTTGGACACCCCGACCAAAAGTTTGCTCGACACCCCTGCCAAGCGAGCTCAAGCCGAGTTCCCAACTTGTGACTGTGTGGGTAAGTCAGAGACATGCGCACCCTGCCCCTCTGGGCTTTGCAAAAAGGAAAGGAAGGCTGGCTTCCCTTAGCAGAGAAGAAGAGTGAGGAGGGGGGATGTGAAGGAAAAGTGGGAGCGCACGCCACGCTTTCTTCCTGCAATCCACGCTGAAACCAGCATGGAGAAAATTTTATAGTCTGAGCAAGTGGGTGAGTGTGGTGTCCCCTTGTAGGGGAGAGTGGTTTCTGTTCGCTTCTAAATAGGGGCTGCATTGCTGGGGCAGAAGCCAGAGGAGGGGCTGACCCACATGCTTCCCAGGTACCTCTGTGCCCATGGTCCCAAACCTTTCTGGCTTTGTGGACCAGTGGGGGGAGGGGGAGGAGAAGACATGGTTCAGTGTGGATGGCAGGCATGTGCGCAAATGGAGCTGTGCTCACCTGCCGCTTGCAGGGCCTGGTTCTGAACAGGCCGTGGCTCAGTAGCGGGGGTTGGGGACCCTGCTCTACGCCATATACTGAGCAAAAACAGAGCAGTTCCATTTCTTCTCAAAGGCAGATGTTTGAAATCCAGGCAGGGGTGCTTAGGACAATCTGGCTGTCTGGGAGCAGGTGGTCCCTACAGCTTTCAGTGAATTGCTGCAATTGCCTTGCTTTGTTCACAGAAAGGGAGAATCCCACTCCTCCTTTTTCTCATCACATAGGAAGACCCACTATGGGAATAGTCATCTGAGGCGCAGGTTAGGCTGATGTTGGGCTTGGAACTGCTTTGGGTGCTGGGGCCCTGCACGTCTGCTGCTACCATGTTTTCCCAAAAGTAAGCCCTAGTTTGATTTTTGGGGGTGGGCCTAATAAAAACCCTACCCCAAAAATAAGCCCTAGCTTTGCGGTGAGGCACACACCTAAAAATCAAGCTAGGGCGGGTTGGAACTTACCATTGCAGCCAGGCCTCCCATGGATTGACACTTGCCCCGCCGGCCCACCTCTTCTGCAGCCGAAGGAGCAGCTTCATTCTGCAGCTGAGAACGGAGCACCGGCCTGCATTCCCGAAGGCCTCTGCAGTCAAGAACCGAGCTATGGATTAAATCCGTACCTCAGTTCTCAGCTGCAGAGGCCTTCCGGAAAGGCCTCGACGGCGAAATGCAGGCCAGAATGCAGCTGCAGAATGAATGAAGCTGCCCTTTCGGACCCAGAAGAAGTGGGCCTGCTGGGCGGGGCTGTCGGTGCGGAAGGTGAGTATAAAAGACATTCCCGAAAATAAGACCTGGTGCCTCTTTTGGAGGCAGCAAAAAAAAAATTAAAATTAGACCAGGTCTTATTTTCGGGGAAACACAGTAAAACGGGAGTCCTGTATCTGTTAGGTAGTAAGCCAGAAAGACTGCTGAAGGGTCATCCAAGGCCAGAGGTGAGAGGCCTATCATTTATACCAGCTAATTCTCAACTAATTGAGAAGCTGATGAGCCCATCAACCACAGAGTCGGGAAAGATATTGCAGATTTAAGCAAACAGTGATAGCTCCTGAGGCAAATGTTCAGCACAGAGAGGCCGAAGAATCCCCAAACTTACCATGGCTGAGAATTCTTCAGAGTTCCCCCAAATAAGAATGGCTCCTCTGCCTTAAGTGGCAGACCCCCAAAAGTACATGCTGCAGCTTTTCACCAGCTAAGTCCATAAGTCACATTAAGCAAAAAGTGGCTTGTCTGGTGTTTGTTTAGAACACAACTTAAATGGCTGGTCTGGCTTAACATGATGGATGAGTGCGGTCTGTGTGTGTATAAGAGAGAGTAAATGAGTGTGGGGAGAGAAAATCCTTCCTCCTCCGCAGTTTCTTCTACTCCTTTCACTGTTTATGCCAGGAGAAGCACCTCTCTTCAACTTACAAAAGGCATTTAAAGTTTGCTCTGGGTTCTTGTTCAGTATTGGAACAGTCCCTTGAGGGACCTGTCTTCAGTCAATGACTCCCATTCCTTGGCTACAAAGAGTGAATCAACTAATTGCTTGTTCTTGCTTTTTCAACAGAACAAATAGTTGAAAAAGATGAGGGCCCATATTACACTCATCTGGGATCTGGACCAACTGTGGCATCCATTAGGGAACTTATGGAGGAACGGTAAGTCACGATAGGGATCCTGAGGAATTTGAAAAGAAAAAGTCTTCACTGGTATATCAATTTTGCATGTGAGGTCTTGGGTGAAATTGGCCCATTTTCCAATTCAGTCAGTGGCAAATTGCCTTCGGTTGTAGCAGAGATGGCAGTTTTATTTTCATGGAAGATTCCCACGGGCTTCCTTCTCACTCTTTCCTTCTGGCTGCCCTCTCATGTTGCAGGTTGCTTTCAGAAGGGGTGGACCTAGCACCTGAGACTGTTGCTTGCAAAAAGGATTTACAAGTAAGCTTAGGAGCTCATATTGGAATTGGAATTTCCATAGGTGGAAATTGCCCACCTCAAGGGAGAAGAAACTGAGTTGGTCTCCACTTGCTGTCATTTCAAGTGAAGAGAGCAATCTGAATTCCAAGGAGGGTGAACGTAAGAGTCACTTGACAGTCAGACGGGCAGCATGTAAATCTGATAAAAGAAGGGCCTTTGCTTTCCACAGCCAGTCTTCTCAAGAGGAGAGAGCTGCCACAGTGCAAACAACTTACAGACTGTCCTATGATCTTCCCTGCTGCCTCCCCCATTGACTTCGCTTGTGGAAAGCCACAGGGCTGAGATGGCCATAACTTTGAAGACTAGTCTTGTTCAGTGCCATTGTAACTTCAAATGGTCACTGAATGAGCGGTTGTTAACCAAGGACTCCCCCCCCCCCCAAAGTCAGCAAGGGCTTGCCTGTAAATAAATGTAAGGTTGGGGAAAGGAAGGCTTCCTAGGGAAGGGAGAGGAGCCCACAGCTGACCAAAGGATCCACCCTAACTAATCAGGCAGCAAAAGGAGATGGCAAGAGATTTGTACTTTCGGACTTGCAAGATTCTGTTAACATGGCCTTACAATAAAGTAGAATTGGTTCATCTGGCCATGTTTCCTCTCTGGTCTGTTTAGGAGTCTTGACCTCAGCATACCCAGCATGCTCTCCTTCCCCTCGGGATGTTGGGCATTGGGACAAGGCCTTCCGAGGGGAGATGCCCTTCAGGATATCAGCATTTCCTTGTCCTTTTGTTCAAGGCTGTTAACAGAAGACTGTCTTTCTTTAGCCCCTGACTCTGGGCACTATGAGAGGAACTTGCTTAGATGAAGTCAGAGGTGTCCGGTGAGATCCTCCATCATTGCAGCTTGTCTTCTGACGTTTAGCCCTCTCCTCTGAGGCATTTGCCCCCCACCACACTATTTCTATGTCATCTGAAAGTTTAATGGTTTGAAATATTTTCTAGTCCCTTCTTCAGATAAAGATGGCCATGGAATGTGCCATTTGGCATTTGCCATATGTTGATTTTATTTTAATTCAAGTTGATGTAAAGGTAAAAGTGACATGCTTCTTCCAGTAGAGTGGTTTGACTTTCTCCCAATTTTATTTCATTTTCTGCAAACTTTTCCATACAGTGTTTCTGTTTTATATTTTTATGTGTTTTTCTTCTTTTTAGAGCGAGTTTTTAAAAAGATTCTTGCTCAGGTAGCCCCATCGTCTGTTGTGTTGATGTTGTGCCTTTTTTCCACCAGGTATGGTGAGAAGGGGGAAGCCATCCGAATTGAAAAGGTGATCTATACCGGGAAGGAAGGAAAGAGTTCTCGCGGCTGCCCTATCGCAAAATGGGTCAGTGAGGAAAATGCAACATATCCTAGAGCGGGCTTTCTCAGCCTTGGCCACTTGAAGATGTGTAGACTGTAGATGGGGCTACCTGAGAATTCTAGGAGTTGAAGTCCACACATCTTCAAGTGGCCAAGGTTGAGAAACGCTGTCCTAGAGAGTTGAAAAAGAACATTGTTGTTTGTTTATGAGGCTCTGTCTTTTTAACTGCATTTGTGTAAGGATGGTAAGGTTTGATTGGAGTTGTCTCTAAGCTCTTCAAATAACTAGAAAGAAAAAGTTGATGGGGGTATCTTGCAACTTCGATAGCTCAGAGTCCCCATGCTCAGAGACGGTTAGGGTTAGGTTAGCCAGTCATTTACCTTTTGCAAGAGTGCAGTCCTGGGAGAAGTTCCAACCTTCAAGTCCTCTGGCTTGAGGCTTGTCCACCCAGCCAGCCTGGCCTGGCCTGCAGAATAGGGAGCAGGGCCGTGTCCAGGCAAGCTTGGGCTTCCTACAGTAGTCCACTGTCGGAAGCCCAACCTTTGGCGTGGCGTGGCTTTATCTAGCCATGTTGCCTGGGAGGCAATCCAGCCTGCTGAAGGAACAGAAGGGGAGTCCTTTGTGTGGCCAACCAACATCCTTGCTTGCATTCCAGGTCATCAGGAGGCACAACGTGGAGGAGAAACTGCTGTGCCTGGTGAGACATCGTGCAGGCCATCACTGCCAGAATGCTGTCATTATCATCTTGATCTTGGCTTGGGAGGGAATCCCTCGGTCCCTGGGGGACACTCTCTACCAGGAGCTCACTGACACACTCACAAAATTTGGAAACCCTACCACTCGGCGATGTGGGCTGAATGATGAGTAAGTTTGTCTGACTCTTCCCTAAAAGCAGGAGAGGAGGGCAAAGGGAAGCCTCTCATTGGCTCCAAGGTGTTAGCAGCTCTGTTTTGCGTTGGTGTGTTGTTGCCTTCCTGTCCTACCTTTGAACTGAGAAGTAAAATGGTTTGCTTCTGGCTTCCACATTGTTGCAACAAAACTATGTTTCAAATTTTGCTGTTTTTATACTTTTATTGCAGTATGCCACCTAGAGTAAGTTCTTATCAGATAAGCAGCCATATAAATTTAATAAATAAATATATTGGAGTGCATCTCAAAAAAGCGAGTCTGGACAGCTGTCAGCAATAAAACCAGCAAAGGAAAAAAATATTCATAATAAATAGACAATTGGCAGGTGAGATATAAACCAGCCCCCTCCCCAATCATTGGCAGTAATGCCATACAAAATACTTAATCAAAGTAATTCACAGCAGCCACTCTGAGCCACGTCCTTAGGGTCTTTAAAAGAGTAATTTCTGATTTCTTCCCGGATCTCACCAAGTGACATGCTTCTCCCCTTCTGGATAGGATGGGATGGATAAAGGTGCTTCCACAAATAACTTGGTCCCATGCCAGGGAAAGCTTTATGGATAACTATGAACTTTGAACTGGATCTGGAACCAGGGCAGCTCGAGAGCAGAAGTGCACAGATTGAGAGGTGCCCGTGGCTACTTACACTGCTGGATTTCCTACTAAATGCAGCTTCTGGATGGTCTTCAAGGGTAGTCCATATAGAAGTGCATTGCAGTCGTCCATTTGGACTCTGAATTAACTGTAATTAAGACATGCGTGACTACACGCAGAGCCTCCCAGTCTCAGAATGGATGCAAGTTGGTGGGTGAAGCAATGCTGTGTAAAGGCTCTCCTGGTCAAAATTGCCAGCTAGTCCTTGAATAGGACACAAACGGAGGAAATCTTCCATATTCTTCAAGGTTTCTGTTGGGGTCAGTGCAACCTTATCCAGAACCACATAAAGGTAGTCCTCACTTAACTATCCTAATTGGGACTGGACATATATAGAATCCCCCTAACTAACTTGCTCATACTGAAAAAGCTGGATAAGCAGCAAAATGTTTCAAACAAAAAAGAAAAGTTCGGTTGCCCTGATTCAACTTCCAGATAAATTTAGCTGGATGATTGAGAATCTTCATTGACTGTGGGCAAGACTTCTCCCACACATCAACAGCAACTCTCTCTGGAGGACGAAAACTAGCGTGACTTAGTGCCACTCATTCCTGCCCTGAAGCCAGGATATCATGATATCACAAGAATGTCATGATTATTAGTATCCAAAGGTTTATTATGAGCACTACCTATATTGTATCAATGGCGACATAGCCGGCTGCATTTGCTTAGGAAACTGCTGATGATGCTGTGCTCTTGGTTCTCCTATCTGGGGTGGGCAGCCTGGGACCCCTTTCTACAGACTTGATAGCCTATGATCCCCACTCCCTTTGGATTCATTGCAGCCGAACCTGTGCATGTCAAGGCAAGGATCCCAACACCTGTGGTGCTTCCTTCTCCTTTGGCTGCTCTTGGAGCATGTATTTCAACGGGTGCAAATATGCACGGAGCAAAACACCCAGGAAATTCAGATTACAGGGAGACAATCCCAAGGAGGTTAGTGTCCTGGTCATTCTTGTTTTAGAGGGATTTAATGGAATCTCACACTTTAACAGATGGAAGAGTAACAGTGAAGGGTGATGGTTTTGAGGAGGGGCTTTCCCTCCAGGGAGGCAGCCTGAAATACCGCAGACTGCTTTCTTCCTTTCCCAAGAATCAATAATCATACAAATAATCATACATTTATTGATTAGTTCAAATATATTTACTTGGAAGGAAGAACCATGTACATTGGATTTTCTTCCAAGATTTCAGCCTTAGTCATGGAAGAAATGTACACGTTCAGACAAAAAGAAACCACATTATCTAATGCTATGTAAGGCTGCAGAATGTACTTTTTAAAGACTGTATTCTCAGCTCATCCATCCTGTGGCAATGTTTGGGCAGAGGTTTCTCCTAGAGTGAACTGCTTTGAAAATCCCATTTTCCTACCAATAAAAGTACCTTTGGGAAGAAGTTGGGCAAACTGCATTTTATATAATAGGAAATAATGAGGGATTGACTCATTATTTTAAAAAGAAGCTCTCTTTTTAAAAAGATTTTGTATTTCATTATTTTTACAAATGACTCAAGGTAGAGAACATGTGTAATAATACTCCTCCCTCCTCTTATTTTTCCCACAACAACCCTGTGGGAGTAACTGGTCTAAAGTCACCCAGCTGACTTTCATGCCTAAAATGGGCTTATTACTCACTGTCTCTTGGTTTCTAGCCTGGTGCCCTAACCATTAGGCCAAACTGGTTGAGAAAGGACGAACAGCTTCAGAGAAGGAAAAGAGGGGAGTCTGTGAACCTTAATCTCATTCGATTGTTTTGACTTCCAAATTCATGGGAATCCTGCTGGGCATAGAAACAGTTATATGCAGAGCTCCTAGTTGTGCAACATACCTCGAGTCACGGGTTGGGAAGATGTGATTATGTTCATGTTCATTTGCTCTGCCTGAAGAAAGAAGGGGTTTTGCTCTGAGGAAAGGCAGTTGTTTTGCAGAAAAACGGTTCAAGTTCGGTTCCTGCAGCAGACTTATTTCCAAAGGAACATGGGGCAGAGAGAGGAAGAACTTCAAAGAGTTGCTACTGACAGCACCAGGCTCACTAAAAGCCCTAAGGAGCTAATCTTGACTTTCTCTCCTTCCAGGAAGAAGTTCTCAGAAGAAGCTTCCAGGATTTAGCTACAGAGGTTGCACCACTTTATAAGAGACTAGCACCCCAGGCTCATCAAAACCAGGTGCCTTGATAACTTTTCCATGCTTTGATTGGGGCCCTCATAAACATCTACCAAGCAAAGGTTCTGTCTACAAGTCATGTGACTCTTAGGAAAAGGGTTGCAGTCCCCAAATCTTGCAGGAAGAGCAAAGAGAGTTTGCTTTTTCACATGGAAGATGAGTTGCTATTCCCTTTTGCTACAGTGGGGCAAAACTGCTCTCTTTGGCTTTTGGGAAATGCAGTACATCTTTGTATTAAAAAAACCCAGGAGAACATACATTTGGCCTCTGTTTACCAGTTTGTTGTCTTCTTGTAAGAAAGCTGATTTGCAACAAGCTGGAAGAGCTCTCTCTTGCAAGTAAGTTTGACTGCCTCTTGCATGGATCCAGCTGCTCAGCAAGTATTCCAGTGTCAGTGAGTCTCACTTGCTTGAAAAGAGAATCATAGCGAGGTTGTTCCTGATCCACGTGTCTATATGGGTTGGGTTTGCATATTGTACTTAGCCACAACGCAGTTTGTGCTTGTGACTGATGAATCCTGCCATTGTGATAGGCGTGACCCAGCCCATATCTCTAAGCTGCCCTTCCTTGTGAATTCTCCATCTGCCCTTGATGATAGGAGGAAGGTCTTCCGTTGCTCAGTTAGGGCCATTATAAAATGAAGTCTTGGCGTTATCAAGAGACCAGATCACAGGCCTCCCAGATGACATGGGGCTCGACCCAAAGCTACAATTCTCACAGGACGGGGGGGGGGGGCAACTGGTTGAGGGAACAGGTAGTCAGACACAGCTGCTTTATCTTTTTTTCAAATTAAGGCCCTAACGTGAAGCCTGCTGCAATAACACAAACTGCTTTTCTTCTCTTTTGATTAGGTTGCAAATGAGGATGTAGCAATAGATTGCCGGCTTGGGCTGGAAGAGGGGCGGCCTTTTTCTGGAGTGACAGCATGCATGGATTTCTGTGCTCACGCACACAAGGACCAGCACAACCTTTACAACGGGTGCACGGTGGTAAGGGGTGCTTTCACTTGTCTTCAGTTCTGCCTGTGAAATATTCCAGAAGGGCCAAAATCTTGTTAGACTGTCACAGGAAGGCAGTGAGCCTTAAAGATGGAAAAACAAAGTACGGTGGAAGCTTCCATAAACTCTTTCTTCTCCTTCCAGTTCAAGCCTTTGAAATATTTGATAACGTATCTATGGATACTTCTGCCATAATTACTCTTTGTTGCTATTTTCCAGTAAAAAATATAAATTTTTCCCTTTGCATTTGAAAAACCAATCCGGTCCATGTAGTCAGAATTTACTTAAACAAAAATGAAAAGTGGCTTTACACCACTAGGCTCAGCGGTTGTTCTGTGTGGTAGGCAGTAGAAAGAAAATTCTCAGAGAGTTTTGGAAAATGCCATTAAACCAGATATGGTAAGAGTGAGACGCAGCTTGAATTAATTTCAAGTGTTGGTAGTATTAGGCTAAAGGAATCCTTCTGAGAGTGAAAGATAGGGAACTTTGCAACTGAACTGAGATCAATCGCCATCACCCTGTGGTCTCTGGTGGGAAGCTGAACTGGGGCAGTGCTAAGTATGGCCAATGGTCACTTTGGCACATGTCACACAATATAAGAAAGAGGTTTGTGTCGTCTCCCAGAATTCTGAACATTGGCCATGCTGATGATAATATTTATTTATTTATTTATGAGACTTATATACCGCTTTAAGTGCAAGCACTCTCTAAGCGGTGTACACCAGTAAGCAATGTATATCTATATATTTACATTGCCCCCAACAATCTGGGTCCTCATTTTACCTACCCCGGAAGGATGGAAGACTGAGTCAACCTTGAGCCGGTGAGATTGGAACCGCTGACCTGCTGAACACAGTCAGCTAAAGTGGCCTGCAGTACTGCACTCTAACTGCTGCGCCACCTCGGCTCATAATAATAATAATAATAATAATAATATAATGTTGGAAAGGACCTTGGAGGTCATCTAGTCCAACCCCCTGCTCAGGCAGGAAACCCTATACCATTCCAGACAAATGGCTGTCCAGTCTCTTCTCAAAAACTTCCAGTGTTGGAGCATTCACTGCTTCTGGAGGAAGGTTGTTCCACTGGTTAATGGTTCTGTCAGGAAGTTTCTCCTTAGTTCCAGGTTGCTTCTCTCCTTGATTAGTTTCCATCCGTTGCTTCTTGTCCTGCCTTCAGGCGCTTTGGAGAATTGAGAGCTGAAATGCAGCTGAAGGCATTGAGGCTACAGACATTAAGGTGCCACTATATTTTTAGTTCTTTTGCTACAAGGGATTAACAAGATTACAATTCTCAAAGTTCCTAACGTGCAAGTTGATATGGTAAGAGCCATTTATCTATCTAGAAAGGTTAGAGTAGACCAACTGACAGCAGAATTGCAACAGTCACAGAAATGTTAATCGGTTAGATAAGCCTTTTAGATATGGAGAGATCTCTAGGAAGAACTAAAGATTTTGTTTTCCAGGTCACCTGCCATCCTATTTGCTGTCATATGTACCTCCTCCACGACCAGTGTAAAGTGTGGTGCTCAGAATTCCCATGTGTACTCTAAACAGAACTGAGTACGAGGGAACAATTATTGCACTTCTTGTGATTTGGATTAAATGCTTCTGTCGGTGCAACCCACAAGTTTGTTAGATGGTTTTAGCTGCTGTATCAAATAGCTTGCTTACATTCAGGGAGCCTCTGCTGAATATATTCTCACCAAGCCGGGTTTCCCCAGTTCCAAACAACTGTTTTTTCCTACCCAGACATTTCTATTTGTCTCCACCTGAAAACAAAATGTTCAATTGGATCTGCAGTTATAAAAATTTTAAAAGCTGCTGCAAGGAGGAGTTCATACTGATGCCATCTTCAGGGAAAATGTTCCTTCCTTTCGACTTCAGTGACTGTGATAATATTCTGCTCATCAGTTTCTCCCAGGAGGCCAGTTTTGTTGCACACTGTCAGTTTATAGTAGAAATCTCTGGTTTCAGGCAAAAAGAAGCTATTTGTTGAACAGCCACAATTAGCATTTTCATTCTCGAGAAGATTGTTGCTCGTCCCTTTGGCCAGGATATGAGAAGGGCCGGCTTTCTGCAGGCCGTGGGGAGTCTTCTGCTGCCCTGCTGTGGCCCCCACAAGAGTCCTATTCAGTCTCGGCTCCCCTCACCCCCCCCTTGTGGTCCACCAGGAGTGCTTGGGAGGAAAGCAGCTGGGGCTCATCCTTCTTTTTCTGGGATCTGCAGGTTTTCCAGACTTCGTAGTTGCAGGAAAGAAGCCAGGTTCAGCAGAGTCTCGGGCAAATATCCGTTTTTTTCTTCCTTCCTCTCAGCGGTCTTTATGCATTTTGCTTCTTCTCCTTTTCCCACGAGAGCACTCTTGATTTGAGTCAGTAGAAAGGTGGGCAAACAAGAAGGAAATCTTCTCCCAAAAACAGAGACCAAAATGGTGGTTTTTCCATTTGCAGTAGGGGTAGGATTCCAGCAGTGCCAGATCGCTGTTTCTTCCTAGCGATTTCTTTGTAGAAATTTGCCTGTCGGCCTCGGTACTTCCTGATTTTCCCCAGCAGGACGTGGCTGGTGTGCATTAATGGTGCTCGGATGTGTGGGTGTATGCATATGAGAAGCAACTGTTGCGACTTTCTCCAGTCCAGAATGTGGCTGTCAGGCATTTTTTGACTATGCAGAGGAGCTTTTTAGATCAGCCCTCTCCAGCTGGATGCTTTTCACACCTCACAATTGCACCTTCCCTACTGCTTCAGCCAAAATGATTGCCGCAATGCTGGCTGGACATGAGAAGCAAGAGCTGAGGCGGGCCCATGAAAAGGCTTGGAAAGGCTGTTGTGGTGTTTTTGCGTGTTGGAACTTCATGCATGGATGACTGTTTAGCTTGTCTTTCCAGGTGTGCACCTTGACAAAAGAAGACAATCGCACCCCTGGGAAAATTCCTGAGGATGAGCAACTGCATGTTCTTCCCTTGTACAAAATGTCCACCACAGATGAGTTTGGCAGTGAGGAGAATCAAGCTGCAAAAATGGGCAGTGGGGCCATCCAGGTCCTCACTGCCTTCCCCAGAGAGGTGAGAAAGCTTCCTGAACCAGCAAAGTCTTGCAGGCAGAGGCAGCTGGAAGCACGGAAAGCAGCTGCTGAAAAAAAGAAAATGCAGAAAGAGAAACTGATTTCACCTGAAAAAATCAAGCAGGACATCCTTGAGCTCCCAACATTCCAACAGAATACAGGTAAGGACAGCATAGGCTTTGTAATGGCCAGTCTTCGTAGCTGCAGAAGAAAGTCTGGTCCTGGTCTGCTGGAGGTCAGGCTGTCCAGGTGGTCAAAGCAGAGCCCTAGCAACAGGCACTCTCAGGCAAGGATCTCATCCCAACAGTTGAACGGCCCGAGCCAAGGCTTCTGTCCCAGTAGCTCTGGCTTTCCATGCCGGTATGGTGGGTGGTGCTCAGATTTTGATTGGGTGACTGGCTTAGTAAGCAACGGTAGCCTGTTCCCTGTCATTCCCATGGCATTCTTCCCAGCCATTTGTTATTTTTTAGCTTCCCAGTGGCTATATCCCTGCTTCTGAAGAATGTAGGGTGGTCGAATGGACGGACACTGCTAAGAACTGGCCTCAAATTTTGCAGTCTCTTTCTGCTCCTACTGCATGAAGAAGGAGCAATTTAAGAGAGCCACGACAACCCCTTCCCCCCCTTTTTTTAACACTGATCCTGATTCAGTTAACTTATGGAGATACTCTTCCTACCTTTTTGCTTTATAGAATCTTGTTATCCACTATGGCATCTCTGGGTGCTTGTGTAGAAACATGACCTGTCAACAGGAATTCCAGAATACTGTTCAGGTTTTTGTTAGAATCTTGCAGAGTTTTTGAGCCATCAGTTGTATAACGTGAGGACCTGTCCCAAAACAGGGTTCTCAAGAAGTTGCAGTCTAGATGGTTTTATGCATTTCATTCTGCTTCAGCTTTTGAAGTTGATATCAGGTGATGGCAAGCAAAGTAATTGGGCTCCATCCCCTTATTCATTTTTGTTTTGTTCTAATTCCTCCAAGGACCTACCAGGTTATTAATCACCTAGAAAAACAGTAAATTATTACCTCGTTTCCTTCTCCATGTATTGTCATATCAATTCTGTGAAATAGGTGAGGTTGACAGAGAGCTTCTTAGCTTTGGGGGTAAGCCTGATGGCTGATCTGAACTAGAGTCTCTCACGGTTTTTAATAATTTAAAAGATGCTCCCAGAACTCCTCAGCCAAGTCCACGGCCCAGATTCAGTGCTTGTGCTGAGGAAGTCAAAGTGACTCTGCAAATTCACATCGGTTCCTTTTGTGCATCTGCAGATACAGCTTTGAAAAGTGGATTACCCCAGCCATCCATCAAATCTTCCATCAAGGTGGAACCTCAGAGTCACTATAACACATTGAAGTACAATGGGAATGCAGTGGTGGAGAGCTACTCGGTGCTTGGCAATTGCAGACCCTCTGACCCATACAGCATGAACAGTGTTTACTCTTATCATTCATACTATGCACAACCTAATCTGCCTTCCATGAATGGGCTGCATTCAAAGTTCTCCCTTCCATCTTTCGGGTATTACGGATTTTCCAGCAACCATATGTTCCACTCCCAATTTTTGAATTACAGTGAGAACAAGAATGCACCCTGGATAAGCAGCCCCTATGAGAAGAAGCCTGATGTCCAAAACTTACAAAATAATTTGAGCCATGCTTACAGAAGTACTGAACTATTGGATGACGTGTCACCCCCTGTACGGAGCAAAAATCACCATCAGCGCACCTATGAGAAAGCCAGCAGACATGCAGGCAAGGCCCCAGCTGTTCCCCAGAGATGTCACTCAGTTCCTGCAGAAGCCTTGTCATTTGCACAAAATACAAACTGTTTTAGCAACCGAACAATCAAACAAGAACCAATTGATTCCTTGACACACACAGAGTCCCTTTCTCGATCACCTGCTCTCAATGGCCTAAATCCAAATCTGAGCCCATCTGATTTATCCAGGTTATCTCAGAATGGTGGTCCAGAGCAACAATGGAGCCCTTATAAAGTCAACCGAAATCAGTCCCAACCTGAGAGAAATAGTAATGCTGAAAGCTTGTGGAACATGTTTACGCCAAATGACAGTGTCAGCATGCTTAATGCAAGAACCCAGAATAAATCAAATTTGTTTGGTTCCCATTCAAATGTTAGCAGGTTATCACAATCCCACCTTATGGAGAAGCAGTGGAATTTGTTTCCAGGGGAGGGGCAGAATCTGTCACCGAGCCCTGATATACTAGGGAAATCATGGAGCCCTTGCAAAGTTGATGAAAGCCCATCACTGTTTTCTGCCAATTCAGACCTTCAGGAGAAAGCCTGGGGTCTTGGGCAATTGAACTTCAGTTCCATCAAGGGAAGCTCCAGGCTTCAAGATGAGTTTTGGCATGCTAGTAAAGTAGATGAAAGGAGAACTCCGACACCAAACACAGGTCTACAGAGCAGATCATGGACTTCCTTTGCCTCATTGCCCTCTACAACCTCAAGTGTTTGTGGGGAGAAGCCCCCGTGTGCTTCCTTGAAAGAAGAAGGAAGTACATCATTGCTGGGGGCTGAAAGACCCTGGGATTCCTTTAGTTTGGATGACAGCATGGAAGAAACACCTGAGAAGAACATCAAGGAGGAAGAGGATGATGAAGAAGAGGAAGAGGTCTGGTCAGACAGTGAACACAACTTTTTGGATGAAAACATTGGTGGGGTGGCAGTAGCTCCAGCCCACGGCTCCATCCTCATTGAGTGTGCAAGGCGAGAGCTGCATGCCACCACCCCACTGAAGAAACCGAACCGATGTCACCCCACACGCATCTCTCTGGTATTCTACCAGCACAAGAACTTGAACCAGCCCAATCACGGACTTGCCCTTTGGGAAGCAAAAATGAAACAGCTGGCAGAAAGGGCGAGGGCAAGGCAGGAGGAGGCAGCCAGGCTCGGCCTTCAGCAGGACATCAAAAACCTTGGCAAGAAGAGGAAGTGGGGAGGCAACTTGGCCATTGAGCCCCAACATAAGGAGAAGAAAGACTTAGTCCCAAAGAGGCAGGCCTTGGCCATTCCCACCAACTCGGCGGTCACTGTATCCTCTTACGCTTATACCAAGGTAACAGGACCGTACAACCGCTGGATATGAGAAGATGACAGCTCTCCAGGGGCCACGTTACCTCAATGCTGGCAGCACTGGAATGCAGTGCTGGTCTGTGGTGCTTTTTCCTTTGGAGAGAAACAGAACATCAAGCCAAGTGTAAAGTTTCTGTACTTTCACTTGGGAGTTGAGCTAAAGAAACTTATTGCTGTCAACCTTTTTCAGTAATCTAGTATTTATATCTTTGCATTTTAAATCTGTACATCACAGTAACGGCAAAAGAAATTTATAGTGTCCTTTTACAAAGGATGGCTTTTTAATTCCATGTCCAATACTTACGTATATTGGATTTTTAACTGCAATTATTACAACTCTGAAGCAGATTATGTGATTAACAAAAAAGACAACACCCCACAATAAGTCAGGTACAAATTTGCACCTGTTGGGGCTGATAAATATCTTCCCTTGGAGACCACCCAGAAACATGAATTTCCAGTTCAATCAAAGGACTGTTTGAATAGGGTTCAGTGGTTGATGCACGGTGGGGTTTCTTACTGATTCAGTAGGTCCCAGTGGCTGGGAAGATATGGAAAGGAGGCACGTGCCGTTCCAGATAAGCAACCATTTCCTGCTCAGTTGTCTGAACAGTGTTTAAAACTGTTCAACTGACGTTGCCTTCTCTGCTTCAGATCTCGGTTAGATGAGCTGGACCCTCATTAGTTTTCTACTAGACCCTGAACAGTAGCATAAATGGTGAACTTGAGCAGAAAAAAAGAAGGAAAACAGAGGACTATGAGATCTACCAGCAGATACATTTTGCTTTTGTAAATTTCAAGGCATGTTTTATCTCTATTATCAGGTAAAAAAGAAAAAGATCGTGATTTACACCGCAAGCAGTAGTTTTACTGCTCCATTTTAAATCATTTATTCAGTGAGTCCAGTTTAATTTGGAGGGAAAAAATGTTTTTAAAATGAAGTTCTGACAGAGAAGGGAAAAAAGGAAATGGAAGTGGTAGGCAAGAAAGATCAAGGGAAAACAAACTTAGGTAAAATAACCTTTGGCATCTTGATTTCTTGCTCTTTATTCTATGAGATGAATGAAACTACATAGTAAGGACATAAGATTTCTTTTTTCCTTTTGTTAGCAGTGCTATTTAACTTAACTTTTAAGTTTGCAGTACTGTACAATATAACCATGCTAATTTCCTTGGGTGGGAAACTAGTTATGCTTATAATAATAGTGACAAGCAATGCTAATAATAAAATGGCAGCTTAAACTACTGTATCTTTAAGAAACCACTCCACAATACCTTCTATGAGCAAATAGACAACCTCTTTTTTTATCATCTCTGATGCAGTTGGATTAAAAGGGTGAGTTCTTATTGTATTTTCCAGTGGTGCAGGCTTACCAAATTAAAATAGTTCCCCTTGCAAATAGTTATCCTAAAAATATGAACAAACTTATTGCAAGATTTATTTTACTTTGCCACCTTTGAGAGGAAAGGAGAAGTAAATGTATGTGGTAACTAATACAGTACAGCATAGCTGGTGCTTTGAAAACGTTGAATCCAGTGTTTAAAACTGATCTATCCTCCTTAGTCTTCTCTTAATAAGATACCTGATCCATATAGATGGCTACAGATCTCTGGAGCTAGACATTCCCTGACTAAAGTGATGGTGGAAGAGCCTCCTTCCTCAATTAGAATGGAATTCAGTTCAGTCTGGTTTCATCATTTTGCTTAAATGACATACAAATAGCTTTGGGCATTTCATTTGTTTTGTATCATAATGATAGAAGTATAAATGTTTTAAATTGCCTGTCATAATTAGGTGGATCTTTGTACGGTTTTTCTTCAAATCATTTGAATTTCACCCTTTACTAGAAAAGTTCTGAGCTAAAGCATGCAGAGCTATTTTGGTTTTTCAATGCTCCCACCATATCTGTGTGGGAAATATCCATTGAACTCCATGGAAATTGGAGATGGGAGCTCTCAGTCTTGGAGGTGGCATCTTCAGAACATTTCCACACCTTCAGATTGGGTGGTGGCAATCGATAACTTTAAGAATCTTGCCACCTTTTACTACGGGTCTTTCTGTAGAAAAATGGAGATCTCACTCCTTCACCAGAGTAGATCCCCACTGGCTTTAATAAGCCAACACGAGTGGTTTCTCAGTGGTGTATAAGGCAGAAGAATCAAACCTATTAAAGATCACCTTCTGAACTTAACCGGTGCCTTTTGAGAAAAGATGGCTTGCAGATCCAACTCTGTACATAGCATTTGTTTACTAGAAAACTTTCTCAGTCCTCGCGCCTGACATCAGGAGCATGGGATCACTGTAGAGCATCCTGCGTGTTTTATGTGGTTCTGATTTTAAACTGTAAATAGCAAAAAAAAAAAAAAATTTTTTTTTAAAAAAAGCACTTTCACCAAGATTTAAAAGAAAGAGATACCCAATAACTTGAAGAACAGTATGTTTTAAAACAGATTATTGCGGGAGAAATGTAAATAGAAACAAAATATTTAACAAGCTTTTCCGTCCTTAATTTCTTTTGTTTACTGTATTCTGTAAAATTGCTTATATTTTGCAAGGAGAATCAATGGATTATAATTGATTTTGTATGCATACCTATGAGCATATCATAGCTGTTAGGAATTATTCCAAGGCAGATTTATAGGAAACGTTCTGAGTGTCATAGGATTACATGGACACCAGCCACTAATTTTCCATTGGTGTCAATCAGCCAGGTTTCAAGGCATCTGCACTAGAGGCTCAGTTAAACCCAAAATAAAAATGTTGGTTAATCATCCTTTCTGAATTGTATCACTTTGGAGTGCAGGTGCAGGAACTGCAATTTAAGAGCCGCTTTGTTTTAAATTAAGATGATTGGCAGAAGGGGAAGTAAAGAGAAGAGGTTGCTTTCAAGCAGAGGAAATGGACTGGCCCTTGCAGCCCGTAATGGTTCCATCTAGGAGGCCCATCTGAACAACCAGTCACGAGACACAATTTCTCTGCCTTGTTAGGCCAACTTCATGCCTGTCTGTTGTTGGTAGTTGTGAGGTGGATCTGTTAACTAGAAAAGAATCTCTTCTACCCCAATATTTTGTATGGGTTGTTTAAGCTTCTGTAAATTCCTTGGTTTAGTGTCTCATTTGGTAAATGTTGCTGGGGTGACCTGAAAGCTTCACTTAGATTATTTTAGAGAATAAGAATTTGTAAAAAAAAATATGGAAAAGAAGGGGCTCCAATACATCTGACTTGCTGAAATCATGTTAGTTATACCAACTTCTGTCTTTGGAAGTGTTCAGCCTTGAGGTTATGATTTTCTGAGCTGGAAATGTCATCCATTGGATCTTCCTCCAAAGGAAGGTTCCTTGTTCTGGGTCTTCAAAAACCAGGAACTAACTGGGGGTCAAGAGATGTTGAGTTAGTAGTTCCCTATTTGGTCCAGATCAGTTTGTACAGAGAAAAGGAGAAATGCTAATGCAAAGATCGGCTCCTCAGTTTGTTTTATTTTCACGAATAATCAAAAGGACCAAATTATGTTCTTCTTCAAACTGGTGCAAGTCCAAAACAAGTTAAACTGGAATCACTAGTTTTTACTGAAATAGCATATCTTTTAAAGGCCTGAATGACTGTGGTAGAAATATAAAGAAATCTGGTCATAAGTCAGTATTGAATCTATAGAATGTGAATGCCATCAAAATCTGGCATATTCATTATTTACTGCAGTTCAAAAATCACAAAGTAACATGTACAATACAAATAACAAATAACAACAAAATACAGAAAACGGAGTTACCATGGATTTCATGGTTGATTATACTTTTTCATATGCCTGATTTAACATAAAGATGTTTTAAGTAAAAACAAGACTGATCCCAGATAAATTTATGTTTTTAATACAAAAGGTTAGCTGCAGTCTGAGGTTGTTTTCATGCTATATATAAAGTCTACCTCATATCTCAGTTGGAAAAAAAGTTTGCTTCATGTGAAAGATCTATGCACAGGATTCTCTGCTGTAGCTTTGTGGATAGAAGTTACAAATTCTTTTCACTGGCTCTGTCATTTTCTCCTGGTTTGTACAATTCAGAAAATTGCATGACACAGTTTATTTGTATTTAGGAAGGGTAGAGGTAAATGGCATCTTAAGGCTCAAAGATGTCCCAATAGGGTGCTGCTGTGTGCTTCAACACACACACACATACACATACACACACACACACCAGTCTTGAGATCTTAAAATAGTTTCTAGGGATGTCTAACTCAACTCACAATGAGATCTGTAGGACTAACGATGCTATTAATTTCTTAAAGTAAGCTTGGTGAACATCTGCCGGTTGGCACTTGTGACTGAATATCCTAAGCTGCAGGAAGTCAAGGTGCTAGGCACCACCTGGTCATTGCATTGTCTTCTCTAAAAACATGAACAAATGCTCCAAGCATTGTCTTTTGAACTGATGTGTCAAACGTAGATAAACATTCATAAATCAAGAGCAAAATAAATATAAAATTGAAATGTATTTGAGGAGGTGTAATGATGGAAAGAGGTTATTAAGTGCCATCAAGCTTAACCCTGGTGCTATAGACAAAAACAATCCATAATCCCTGGAAAAATTCTTGAAATGTTGAATTGTGTTGCACTTGAAGACTTGGCTAGTTCTCATTGACTTCTCTGGGAGGAGTTTGAGGTTGTTTGGCTATAGGACATAGTCTCTGCTTTGGGCACTTGCATCTCTTTTGTCAAATTGGGAGTTGTTCACGTCAGTCATTGTTTATGCACAAAACGTAGAAGGATCAAGTGGCAGATGAGCACTTGACATTCCTTTACCAGTTTTCCGCTGGACAAAAAGTGGCTCTCTGCAAAACTTGTTACAAACTTTTAATGGGTGTGTGTCTCCTTGTTGCTGCTCTGTGACAAGTAGGCAGCTAAGAAGCATCAAAAGAAGACATCGCAGCATATGTCTTTCTTGCTCAACATGCCCCCCTTCCCCATATGCAGGGATTCCATTGCTCCCCCCCTCCCTGTCTGAGTGGGGAAGGCTAGAAGGCTCAGGCTTGCCTGGGCTGAGTTCCCACTCAACTAAAGGCAAAAGAGGAAGGAACAAAAATATTCTGAGATAATACAGCTAATGGTGCATAATGCCAGAATGTGCTTTGTAGCTCATTCAAAGGCATATTTTTAATCAGCTAAAATCTTGTAATGAAAAGGTGCTACCTTGATGAGTTCTTTAAAAACAAGTTGCTTTTTAAGGTGAGGGAACAGATTCCATCTTGCTTAGGTGCTATTATCTAACCAGAGAAGTTACAATTAACTAAAAACAGAAAGGTTGAGTATTTTAAATATTTGTAGTTTCTAAAACCTCTCTTCTGGATCTAAAATACACAACTGCATAATCTGATTTCATTTACATGTATGTAGATCCAGGACAGATTTCTCTGGTTTGACAGCTCTGCACTCCTAGGGCTGGTTCTGAGAATGTGTATTTTTTACAAAATTAACATCGCTGGAAAGGGCTTTTGGGATCAAGCCACAAATTGTTTGATACAAATGGGTAAATGAAAACCCATTTCTTTAAAATAAAGAAAAAAAGGTACTGCAAACTGTACTCACAGTTAACACTTGTGCCAATTTAGCAAGTGTGCATGGTGCAACAATCCATATTACTGTATATTGGTAACTATTATGCAAAACTATGGGTGCTTAATTGAAGTTTTGAGGTCACTCCAAGAGAACAGCTATTTGTAAAAGCAGTGCAGTTGTCATCTTACTTGGCTTGCTTTTGCTTGCTTTCACTGTTAACAGCAAACACTTTAGGGCTGTCACCCCAGTGCTGCTTGCCTTACCCAAGGAAAAGTCCTTGTGGGACCATATTTACACCTCTGTGAACATATTTATGGAGGTCAATATCAGTCAAGGGTCCAGCCTGTTAGCAGGCTAGGTTTGGGCAGGTGGTGTGAATGTGGGTCTGATCATACAAGGTTGGCCAATCTTTAGTCTAATAAGTCAGCTTCAACCTGCTATTATGGCTTTGTGTATTTACTATTTGTAAGTAGATGTGTCTAAAACTTTTACAAAATACTATTTTGGTGCTATTTATTTTTCATTTCTTCAGTCTCTTTTTCACTTTGGTTCATAGAATTTGCTTAAAGTGTAGAGAACCAGGATTTTCTCATATAAGCTTGCTGTTATCACAATACATTCAAAATACCTCAGAAAACAGAGTATTGTGGCAACCTGTGATTCAGTTATAAATAATGGCATGGCTGCAAATATTAGAAATAAGGTTACGTATTTTATTAATTCAACACTGTACTTGACATCTTAGTAACTGTACTTTTGCATTCTATTCTTGGGCAATTTCTCACTTTCAATATTAATGAACTATCTTGAGGAATGAATATCCTAGAAGCATTTAAGAGCTGGTGCATTCTTGACAATATGCAGGGCCTTCCTGAAGTACCTCATAGCAGAATGTGACCAACACGAGAAAATAGTTTTAGAAGTAACATCTTAAAAAAATATGATCAGTAATAAAATAGTTGTTTTAATTAAAAATAAAAATTTGGCATAAAGTTCTATCTTTTTCTGCAAAAACATTTTTCTTATAAAAGTTTGTGGGGCAGGGTCAACAGGATCCTGGTTTTATTATCATGCACAAACAAAAAGACATGACATTTCAAAGCTACCATCTGGTGATTCCTGCGTGGCTGATTAGTAAAATCAAAGCAAGATCAGGGCAGGATGATCATGACAAAATTTAACCTGATGTGCAAATGTTCGTTAGCAAATATATCCAATTGGATTACAGCTTCAGTAAAAGATACCTTTAAATGATACCATTTTACACTTTTAATATCTGGAACATTGTTTTCAAAATGGCAAAATGTAGCTGTTACATTGAACAGCAAACTAATCTTATTGCTGTCCCTTTTAAAAGCAATAAATGCATTGAGAGTTTTTGCATGCAGAAAGATTATTATTACATCGTCAAAAGAGTTTTTTTTTTTAAAAAAAAAATATTTATTCTTTGTCTTCTTGCCCAAGCATAGTAAAGCAAACTGGCTATGTTTTCTTCTGCTCCAGTATCAGGGATTTATTGTTATTTTACAAACAATTTTTGGTTGCTTTTTCTCATTTTAGCTCCCGCTTTTGGAGATTTACTCCCTGCTATTCAGTTTCTGGAAATATCTATTTAGCTGGCTTTTGGCATTTATTTTTCATTCATATCTGTCTTTTAAACACATTTTATATCAGTCTTTTAAATGTTTTTTTTTAACTTAAAACAATGAGGAAAAGACCAGTTTAGATTTGGCAGACTAATTCAGTTTTGTTAACCGAAGGCTGTGACTACTCACGGTGTTTGATTTCTTTCTTGTCTCCTTGAATTCATATTGGGTGAACGAGACCTCCAGCGGAGGCCAACTGCGACCACACTTGAAGATTTCTTTGTTGATTTGACTGTGGCTACTTGAAATGAAGTTTTATCTGGGGTTGGTTGACAGACGGTAGATTTACAATGTCTCAAGGCAATAGGACTTGTGTATTAAACTGTAGATAACCTTAGTACAGTAAGTCTATGCTGATAATTTTATTTTGTATAATTTCCTTGTATTTTTTTCTTTCATACTTTTCTCCCCATCAATGTCTTGGCAAATTTATTTCTAGGATGCAAAAAATGGCAAGTATGAAACTTTCTTTTTTTTAATTTGTATTTTATTATGTTACACAGCCAACTGGTTTGTGAAATGTATTATTCTGGATATCTTTAAACTATTGTGGGTGTTTTAATAAATTTTATATTTATTTTTTGCACTCAAATTCTGTGTGTTTTTCTCTCAGTCAACAAATACAGAGCTGTCCTGTTCTGGATATATGGCCCACAGATCTATCCTCTCATGCAATCCCATTCCATTTTTATTTTAGCTCTGTCATTTATTTTTCCTCACAACTGAACAAGAAATGGCTTCCCCCTCCTTCCCTTATCTTAATCCCCAGCCCTTCTTCTGTCAACACCGTGGCTGAATTGGTAGCCACTACTCCATGGACGCTCTGGCTGCATTGAGTCCCATCTTGGGTTCATCTTAGTATTTTAGACTCTACTCAACCCACCCCCCTTAAATAATCCAATCCTTTAAGAGTCTTTTAAAAGGCATTTTGAATTTAAACACTGTAAATATATCCATTTACAAATCCAAGAGGAGCAAGTTGCAGTTCAAATGCAGTTGAATTTGATCAGGGTCTAGGACAGGCTATTTATGAGGCTTGTTTTCACCAACCGAAAGGCATATTGCAAGGGTGGTCTTCACTAATGTGCAGGCAAAATCATTTTGTGAAACAGTTCTGAACCAAACGCAGGCAACTGGTTCCTTAAAGCTAATGGTTAATCAGTCTGGGATGACACAATAAGTTTGCAGGCTTGTGATTTAGTGTGCTCTGTGATCTCAGCCAATTGTGATTTTCAGTAAACAGTAGTTAATCAAACCATGTGAACCTATTACTTATTTAGCTAATTCTTGGCTAAAACAGAAACAAGAGCAGACAATTCATCTTCTGAATCTAGCCAAAAAGCCCATATGTTTATGGAGGTTCATGACACCCCAGGCTTCAGGACCTGTTTTATTGCCCAGTCCTGGCAACTGATGGACTTGGTTTCCTTTTAGAGAGAGCTTGGGCCTTTTTCTGAGGGTCTGGTGGGCAGTTTGGTTGAGGCCTTGGTTATGGCCTAGAGTAGGCAAGAGACTGTATTGCTCCTACATGGCCTCTCCCTGGGAGGCAATCCCAAGATACATGCTGATTTACTGAGGAGCTTCAGGAAGTGAAGTGCAAGAAGAGACCAAAGGATCATAACAAGGAAAACGAAAGGTGTGCATCTCATTCAGCATGAGTAAGAACCCCTATTAGGGATTACATCATGGGGACTACATGGTGAAATGTTTTTATTTTTCTACCTGCATCTGCCAGTAGCAGTCAGGCAAATCTGGTCCTCAGTGAACAGGCCGCAGAATCCATCATCAATATCAGTGGTGACAGGCTTCAATAGCATTTATTTAGGGCAGGGCATATAATACGTGGACTAACAATGTAAACATTTCATCTAGATTAGTGAAACACAGTAACATCTAAATGTTAAAAAGATCTCTGTTCAAATACCAATGTCTAGGCCATCTAACAACTGAAGCGCAGAATTGTTTGTGTTAAAATCAGATACTGGACTGGTAACAGCCACTCACAATGTGATCTACAGGCAACACAAACTTGAATAGAAAATTAAACCTTACATAAGGATCCCTGCAGGCCACATATTTACTTAGAAAATCACCATTCATTTAATTTATTTATTTATATGGAGATAGATGTTATATATGTGAATATCTCTGGTTCTATATCTGTATCTCTCTTGCTGTCACCCCTCTGAGCTTCCTCCCAGACTATCACCCAATTAATGCACAAACCTCCTCCTACCTACTACTACTACTATTACTATTACAATAATAATAATAATGTTGGAAGGGACTTTGGAGGTCATCTAGTCCAACCCCCTGCTCTCCGACATGCCATGTGTAGAAAAAAAATGGTGCAACCAAATATGCATTTGTGCATCACAATACAAGAATATGAATAAATTGCAAATACATGTAATATGTGTCATATGTTTCATTTGAAATATTTCTTAGTTAAGACACAGAAACTAGAAAGACTATTAGTATGTCACATACATGCTTGAAAGTTGTCCCTTCAGGCCATTTTGGACTCCTTGCAACAGAACAGAACAGAACAGAAAGCCGGCGAGGATCAGCAGGCCAGGGACCGCCACCGCCCTTCGGCCGTCACATCACCGACGCGCCCCTTAGCCACGCCTCTTGACGGCGAGGACGCGAGCTTACGTCATCGGTCGGCGCCTCTGACGTCGCGGCATCATGGCCGCTGGTTTCTGGTTCCCTGCTTGCCGGAAGAAGGTGGGTGCCCGGCAGGGAGCCGCGGAGGGCGACCGAAGGGCGGAAGTGCGCGCGGAGGAGCGTCTCCCCCGGGGCTTCGATCCAGCTGAACCTGCTAACCAGAATCGTTTCCGTTTCCCGCCAGGTCGCTTTTCTTCTGTGCCGCGGAGGGCGATCCTTGGCTTCCCAAACGGTGGGGGAAGCCCGGGTGACGCGAGTCCTTCAGGAGAAGTTTCCTCGGGCTGTTGCGATCAAGGTCGTCGATATCTCAGGTAAGGAGAGGCGTCTCTCCTGATATCTCTGTGGTATTCTGAGGGTTTTCTGTGAGGCTCTTCGTGCCGGGCGTGGATAGGAAATGGAGGGTTTGTCTGCTGATTCTGCGGCCAGAGCTCTCGTCTTACCTTCAGAGTGGTCATTTTGCAGCAACGTCAGATTTGAAGAAAGGTATTGTGTTAACTGAGAATCCAGCTGATCTGTAATAAACATTAGTCTGAACGATACCTAAAATGAGCTTCATATTATTCAAAATATGCTTCCTAACAGTTAAAGTTTACCAATAACTCTGTGATTTTCTGCTTGTGAGCTATTGCTATATTCAGTTATGAAATACTTATTTCCCATGATAGGAACATGATCTCTACTTAAAATAGTCTTAATAAGATTAAAAACATGAAGTTTAAACAGCTGAAATATTTGGAGCACATTAATCCCCAAATGTGATAAAATTAACTCATTTTGTCAAGGTGGTTGTGGAGCAATGTATGAAATACATATAGAATCAGAAGAGTTTAAGGAAAAGAGAACAATTCAGCAGCACCAAATGGTCAATCAGGTAAGCAGGTGGAACTTCATGCTATGGGAATTCTATGGGAACTTTGGATTTCAAGCATTTCCAATTATTTACTCCTCCAGACCTCATGCATGCCTCTCTTGCTACTTTTTTACACTCTTTGGATGTCCTAATTTTAATTGGGAGGGGCTCTGTTCTCAACAGTGGCCTGGAAATGCTGTTATAAATAAAGTATAAGCTGCTATATTTAGTATTTGGACTTGTTTCTTATCCTACGAGTGGATAGCTTATATATTTTATATGTTGCCAATTTGTGCCTGAAATATTTTTTTTCTTTTGCATAGCTGTTTACAATGCCTCCTTCTTCTAGGCTCTAAGTGAAGAAATTAAAACAATGCATGGACTGCGGATATTCACTTCTGTTCCCAAGCACAGAACTGACTGATAGCACATGAAAACTGTGCTTTTCAGAAGTTATGAGAAGATGCTCACTGGAAAATCCTAAAAACAGTGGGTTGTATTTTGTTTTCCCCCCTTCCAATCACCAATGCCTGGTTTCCGCAGCAATATTTATGTCAGATTGAACATTTAACTCATTTAATTGTATTGGATATTTTTTTTCAAAAAGACTAGTTGAAGTTATAGTGAAAGTCTCCTTATCCATGGTATCAAAGCCAAGAATGAAAAATAGGAAAAAATATTTGCAACATTATCTTGCTCTTATTTTTAATTCAAAGCTCTGTCATGGCTCAGATGGTAATTTACTTGAAATATAACATAAATTGCTGCTGCTTTTGTTGAAATTTCTGATAATGGGGGATGCTGATAATATTACCGTGAATATAATTCCCTGAAAATAAGACCCGGTCTTTTATTTATTTATTTATTGCCTCCAAAAGAGGCATAAGATCTTATTTTCAGAGGATGTTTTACCTTAGGACCACTGCAGGCAGGCCTCTCACACCCTGACACATATCGTGCCGCTGCCCGAGTTCTTCTGCAGCCGCTTGCGGCCGCATGCCCTGATGAGAGGAGATATGTAATAATAAAGTTGGAAGGGACCTTGGAGGTCATCGAGTCCAACCCCCTGCTGAGCCAGGAAACCCTATACCTTTTCGGACAAATGGCTGTGCAGTCTCTTCTTAAAAACTTCCAGTGTTGGAGCATTCACCGCTTCTGGAGGCATGCTTTATGACTGAGTCATGTAGTGGTGGAATTCCCAGTTCCAGTCTATTACCATCATTAACCAAGGACTGCCTTTATTTTGTACTTAGCCTGAGCACTGTACAAGAACTTGAAAGGTGCCATAGCTTTAAGAATCATACTTCCTTAATAGAGTGGTATTCTTTTTGTACATTTGTGGGGGAGCTAGAAAAATAATCAAGTTCATTTACAAATATTCCTTTTAGAAGTAATACTATTTTAATTTCAATAGTATTCTTTATTTTTCTTTCCCACTAATTGAGAGAACTAAACAGATGTCAAACATAAAAGCCCTTATGAGCAGTGGTAACTTAAGCTTTCTGGCCCATACATACTTTGTGGTTCTGAACCGGGTATAACGTAGGATGGGTAGATGGATTGTGTGGCATCAAATTGTTTTTGACTTCTAATGATTACATCAAATATAATATAGGCTGATATTAATGAACAGCATCTGTTAAGGTATGAACATTACACAGGGCCTGTAAAGATGAAGCACCATATTGAGGCTCAATATTTTGAGGCAGGAGCGTGCTATTGTATGAGTAGGTCTCTTCCCCCCTCCTGCAGCAGAGAGGTTGCACCCTCTGTAGCTCTTCTTAGTCACTCACACAAGGACGTCATCCCCTACAGGAGTGGCTGCCTGCTCAGGGAAATAATTTGAGAGTTTGGGGTAGAGCTGTACTCACAGGCACAACTTTGTGTGATCTGCAAACTCTCATAAAGTAGAGACCTCCAAGCTGAATGTCTCCTAATCCCTTCTAAGCTTATAAACACTCGTGCAAATACTGTTGCCCTGACATACTTTGTTATGTGGAAGGACTAAATCATATAGCTATGTTTTTGTAGGAGGTCATTGTGACAATAAACTGTCTTACTTATGGAATAATGTACAAAGCTTCCATCATGGTCCTTAATCATGTTTTAGTCTTCCTGGAAGGAGGGAGGATGATGACTTTTTTTTTTAACTATTAAGTGTATTTTACAGCTTACACTGCAGTTTTTTGGGATCTTTGTCTCTAAAGATGCCTCTTAATAGGCTTCAGCTTCTACTTACGTCTGGTGTAGTTTACTCAATCTATGCAACTATTTGGAATTATTAGAGCCAGTTTGATCTAGTGATTAAGGCAGTGGTTCTCAACCTGTGGGTCGGGACCCCATTTGGGGTCAAATGACCATTTCACGGAGGTCGCCAAACAACGCAGTCCGCCATTTCCCCCCCTTTTCCTTAGCTGTGCTACTCCCTTTTATTCTATTGGCTTTTGAAAGCCAATAGAATAGACTCTCTTGAATAGAGTCTAATTCTATTGGCTTTCAAAAGCCAATAGGAATTGTCCAGGCTGTCTCCGCCCTGCTGAGCCCGCCAAAAGTCCCATTCTGCAAATGGTGCTGCACCAGTTGAGTAGTCCTCGACTTACGACCGGTTGAGTAGTTCTCGACTTACGACCGGTTGGGGGTCGCGGCATTAAAAAGGTTGAGAACCACTGGATTAAGGCATCAGGCTAGAAACCAGGAGACAGTGAGTTCTAATCTAACCGTAGCTTTAGTCATGAAAAGCATTTAATGCTGGAAGCTCCCCAGTTTTAATTGCTATGAGATGGCCGGCAAATAAATTCTATAAAGCCAGTTGTTCTCTCAATCCAACTCACTTCACAGGGATGTTGTGAGGAAAATGGGAGAAATGGGTGTGTTCACTGTGTTATTTGAAAAAAAAACAATAAAGGTGGGATATAAATAAATAAGTCTGGATTATCTTTGACACAGAGCACAACTATCCAGCAAAATATGGCTCTTTAACCACCATATTGAGTTCAACAGGCAATACTTTGACTTTCAACTAAAGATGTAAATTTGTTAGATAGGGCCCAGTGTTCACGTCTGTTCAGTTCCTTCTGGATCTTGAGCTATCTTCTGGAATGGTTGCTCTTCCCACCAGCTTGGTGTCATGCAAATTTATGCGTGAAAATTTAAATAAGCCTTTTTCAAAACAAAAATTATCTAGTAATGTTGCCAAACTTAGGTAGTTACTGTTTTTGGTGCAATAATTTAGTATATTTTTCAAGGTTTTTCCCACTGTCATTTGCTATTAGTAATATTCCTTTCTTGAGTGGTATGGCTAAAATTTATATATATATTATCTTTAGGAACTCTTGGAGCATTGATAGGTCGAGGAGGACAAATCTTGTCCCTTTTTTCAGAAGGAGAAAAAAGGCTTAGGAATTAAGTCATTTTAACATGGAAAAAATTTACAGGAAATTGCAAAACAATTTATACATTTTGAAACAAACGTTAACACTAAAAGTCAGCGTCGATTTGTAAAGGCAGCCTTAGAAAACTTTCGGGTAATTTCCTTTGCAAATTGTAGACAGGAAATCACTTCGCACGTAAGATCCCTGCGGGGTATTCCCCGGCAAGGCTGTTCTTGGGAGCCTCGCATATAAGAGCAGTCTATCCTTCGGCTCAAACTGAGGGGGACCACGAGCCAATGAGCCCAGCGCTTGCCCCGCTTCGCCAATCAAAATTCACGGCGACCTTCTTGACCCGCCTTTTGTCCTCGCCGGTCCGTCGGCTGCGTCACTTTTCCCCTTCGCCAATCGCCGAGTTCCCCGCGGGCGTCATCACCTATGCAAAGCCGTCTCCGTTCAGCCAATGGGGCCGCGGGGGCGGGGCGGAGTCTCCCGACGGAGTTTTTATAAGGGGGCTCCCCCCCCCGCCTTCAGCCATTGCTCTGCTTCTCCTCTTCCTCCGCTGGTGGTTTCAGATCGACAGGCGCAGCGACTATGGCGCCTCTGGGGTACCCGCGCTTGCTCCTCCGAGCCTCCGCCCAGGCCGCTCTGGGAGGGGGCTGCGGCTGCAGACGCCTGCCGAGGGCTGCGCGCCGCCTGCACCTGACGGCTGCCAGGTAAACGAAGGGGGCGCGATCCGGGCTCCGCCGGGAGAGCCTCCGAAGCCCGGCGCGGTGTACCGGAGGGCGCTGCCCGGGGCTCCCGGTCCTTCGGCGGCTGCCTCTCTGGGGCGACCGAGCCGCGCTGGGCTCGCGGAGGATGAGAGCGCGCCGGGCCCCCTAGTGGCCGCTCGCCGCGCTGCCGGCTGATGAAATCGTGCGGGCTGCTTGCACCGCCCGCCCCCCCCCCTCCTCTCCTCCCCCGGCGGCAGTTGCGGGGCAGGCGAGGCGGCGGAGCAACCGGGCCGGGAAGGCGAACCCCGCACCGGGCTGCCCCGCGGGAGTGGTTAGCGGATCCGAGTCCTGCCCAGAGCCTGGCTGCGGCCGATGGGTGCCAGTCCCAGCCCTCCTCCCGGGCAAAGGGAGCCGGCTCGGAGCTCCCCGTTCGCTCCCTGTGCTCGCTCCGGATCCCCCCAGCGGGCATTTATCTTTTCTCGCCCCCACGAAAATTTGATCGAGGCAGGACAACATTGACAGCCTACTTGCAAGTGTGGAGCTCGTTGTCCCGAAAGCCCCCCGAAGCAGGAGGCGCGCAGCCCGCCCGCCGCCTTTGTCGCTCCCTTGCCCTGGGGGAGGGGGGTCGCTTGGCTTGTACGCTTTTTGCAAGGAGATCAACTCAACGCCCTCAGTAAGAAGCGAGCTCTGATCGCGACAGTTTGCCCTCTCTAGTAATGGGGTCGTCTGAAAGAAGCCCCTGAATTGCCCAGTAACAGCTTGGCTGAACAGGGTGCTCATTGGGGAAAGCAGCTTTTGGAAACCTCAGAAGGAGAGCAAACCTCTATTTAAGACTCCTGTAGGAAGCTCGTAGAGGAAACCTGCATAGGCTAGAAAGCAGGATAGTAAAGTTCAGTACCAGGAGAACTCAAACATTAGAGCCTCCCGTCCCTGGTTCAGATCTCTCCCAGCAGTCTCTGCCTAGGACGCCACAGGCTATGGAAGGGGGTACCTCACAGTGTCAGAAGGCGGTTTCTGGCGTCCAGGCTCAGGACCCCCAGTTGGGGCTCAGCTCCGAAGTTGCACCAGCCTCTGGGCAGCCGCTGTCTTCCTGCTGAGGTGCTGTGTGTGGCCTCCTCCTGCAGAGAACCTACTTCGGAGTGAGCGTTGGAGGCATTCATTTTATCTGGCCCCACGTCTGTCAACTGGGGACATTGTGCACAAATGGTCTGGGCTGCTTAGGGAAACTGAGGCTCAGTTCTGGGAAGTCTGAACAGCTCCTCCTTTGCAGGAATGAAGCAGTTGTCATTTCTGGACAGAAGCTGGCCCGGCAGATTAGGCAAGAAGCCTGCCACGAAGTGGAACAGTGGGTTGCTGCTGGCCACAAAAGGCCCCACCTCAGCGTGGTTCTAGTGGGAGAAAATCCTGCCAGCCATTCCTACGTGCTGAACAAGACCCGAGCGGCCGCTGACGTGGGTGAGTTTGCCTGAGCTGACTTTCCCAGCTAGCTGTTGAGGCTCTTTCTTAGTTGTAGGGAGTGGGGGGGGGGAAATCTGGGGTGTCTGTCCACCTTCTCTTTGGGCTTCTGCCAGGCAGCGCTTGCTTGAGCAGTTCCGTGGGGCTGTTCTTCAGAGGAAGAAAGGGTGGGATTGTCTTTTGAGGGTTCATCTGCCCCCTCCTCTTGGAGACAGACAGATGCTACGGCTTCACGTCAGAGTCAGTCAGTGTAACATGCAGATTTTAGAACAGTTCAAGCCCAGATCATAAAACAACCAAATGCAGTATAAATCTCAAAGTCTCCAACTTTGGTAGTGATTCCAAAGTCTTTATGACTGGGAAACAGAATTTAGCAACTGGACAGGAAATTTCAGGCCCTTCAGTGTTTTATGGCAGATGAGGATGGACCTTGCGGGAGGGTTTGTCATTTAAAGCTGCATTCTGGGTTGTTCCTGCAACTGGTAGACGTGGTGGCAGCAGCTAGGACTGCAGTCCTAAAGGAGGATCTCTGGCAGCTGCTGAGAGGTGTTCCCTAATTGCACGTCACCAGCCTCTTCTATTCTGGGCCACACCAACTGGCATGTGGAGAGGGTGTTTCAAGTAACTTCCATCTCCTTATATTGCATTTGTTTCTTACAGGAATTAGTAGCGAGACAATCCTGAAACCGGCCTCTGTCACAGAGGAGGAGCTGCTTGATTTAATTGTCAAACTAAACCACGATACCAATGTCGATGGCTTGCTTGTGCAACTTCCTTTACCAGGTGAGCAAATCCTGGGCTTTTGAGGGGAATTTGTATCGGACATTCCTGACCTTTGGAATGCCCCAAGTTGAACTGTAATGCTGTGAGGTGCCCTGTTCCTTCTGAGTTTTGTAAGTCCAGTTAGTTGCACTTTGTGCAGTAACCCTCTTCCAGATTAATTCCTAGCATCCGGTAACATTTTGCACTCTTCTTAAGGAAGACTGTCACTTGCTATTAACTCTCCTTGCTAATGTCCTGTTTTGTGGTCAGACATGTGAAATCCGTCACACAGAGAGCCTCCCCTTTCTTGCAGAGCACATTGACGAGCGAAAGGTCTGCAATGCTGTGAACCCCGAGAAGGATGTGGATGGATTCCATGTGGTGAACGTAGGCCGCATGTGCCTGGACCAATATTCCATGTTGCCCGCCACACCTTGGGGCGTGTGGGAGATCATCAAGAGGACAGGTAAGAGCAGGGCACATATCCTGTGGCACAGTGGTCAGAATGCAGCTGACTAAGCCTTCCATCCTTCCGAGGCCAGTAAAATGATTGTTTTTTTGGGGGGGGGGGGGCGACATGGCTGACTCTGAAAGCCACTCAGACTGCTGTAAAGAACTGTGGAGTGGTACAGGTAGTCCTCGACTTACAGCAGTTTGCTTAGTGATCGTTCAAAGTTACAACGGCACTGAAAGGGACTTACGACTGTTTTTCACAGTTATGATCATTGCAGCATCCCCAGGGTCACGTGATTTACATTTGGATGCTTGACAACTGACTCATATTTATGTTGGTTGCAGTGTCCTGGAGTCCCCCCCTTTTCCGACCTTCTGAAGGTAAAGTCAGTGGGAAAGCCAGAGTCACTTAAGAACCCTGTTACTAATTTAACAACGGCAGGGACTCATTTAACAGATGTGGCAAGAAACGTTGTAAAATGGGGCAAAAATCTCTTTTAACAGATTTCTCACTTAGCAACATAAATTTTGGGCTCAGTTGTGGTCGTAAGTCGAGGACTCCCTGTATAGAAGCTTTATAGATGCTGTTGGTTTTGCTTATCCCGTTGATGGCAACATTCCTAGGAGGGACTTTTTTGTGTGCTTTATTGCAGGGATCCCAACCCTGGGCAAGAACGTGGTGGTGGCTGGGCGATCCAAGAACGTCGGCATGCCCATTGCAATGCTGCTGCACACTGACGGACGGCATGAGCGCCCAGGAGGTTAGGAGTCCAGAGGGGCTAACGCACAGTTTTGGCAAAAGAGCCAGTTGAGATGTCATTGTGGCACATGGAGGCACTTTTCAGGAGGGGTGACATGGCCAAGAAGCCAGCTTGCGGCCTAAAAGCCAAAGCAGGCAGAGAGCAGGGAGCTGTGTCTTTGTGTTGTCACATTTCCAAGGTGCTGGGTTCTTGGAATTGAGAGCCCTCTAGACAGGAAGGTAGATGTGAATGGCCAGTTGGGGGGGCGGAGGGGGAGGGAGCATGCTTCTTCCTCCAGGCTGCTATCCATGCACTGTGATATCTTGGGATCAGTTGTCTTCTCAGGCACGTGCAAAGGTCCCTCAACTGTAGCCTGGTCTGAGGGGCTTTCTGTTAAAAAACTGGATTGCTTAGTCCAAGAGTTGTTTTGTGTGGGACAGAATTTATGGTTCTTTCATCCCAAACCATCCCAGATCTTGATCCTAGCATCTCTTCTAGTTGTTACTACTATTGATTGTGATGCAGGAATTTAGCAAGTGGTTTGCAAAACTTTCAGGCTCTCTAGTAAACATGAGCTTCGTTCATTTCTGCTGTATATGGCTATTAAATGGGTCCAGAGTAGATTGCTCTGTTATTATTATTATTGTTATTTTTATTATTTTATTGTATTTTATTTTTAGGGGATGCAACGGTAACAATTTCTCATCGCTACACTCCAAAAGAGCAGCTCAAACAGCACACAATCCTTGCTGACATTGTGGTTGCAGCTGCAGGTAAGGCCTTGAACGGCTTGTTTGGGAAAGAAAGTTGAAAAAAAGAAGCTCCTGAGGGGACACTGTTGACCCCCAGGTGACCATGCTAGGAAGCCCTCTGCAGGGATCCTTCTGCATTCTGGAAGTAATGTGGAGCCTCTTGGGAGGGGTCCCACACCAAAGGCCTGGCCATGGATCTGCGTTTTCTACCTTTTTTTCAATTCAGGAAGCAAATCATAGTAGTGTCTTATATTAACTACTGTTTTGTTAACTTTCAGGCATTCCCAATCTGATTACAGCCGATATGATCAAAGAAGGAGCTGCTGTAATTGATGTTGGCATAAACAGAATCCAGGATCCTGTCACCGCCAAGCCAAAACTTGTTGGAGATGTGGATTTTGAAGGTAGGCAATTGATTTGTCAAGTCTGAATCCCTTCTTGGGGATTTCAGCTACTGGAGCTATAATATCACCTGCCTCTACATGCTCACTCCAAGGCAGAAGGTAAGTTGTAGTTTTGAGCAAGTTAGATGGCAAATCTTTGGACAATTTGCATTATCTTTCCAAATGGCAGGAAATGAAGTGGTTGGTAATATAACTAACTGATAAATACTTTGTATGTATCAGTTATATGAGTTAGTTATATCAGTTAGTTATACTAGCCTGTAGTTCTTTCCTGTAACTTTATACTGGATCTCTCTGTATTTGGAAAAACTTTTGGTAGGCTATGCAATTTGGAAAGTTATTGTGGATCTCTGTATGTGATCTTATTTCAGTAATTCAGGGCAAATGTCAGAGAATAAGTTTCCATTATTTGGAGCCTGATCTTGAATTTCTATACAGTTAGCAAAAGCTAGAGGCCATTGTGAAAAGGAGGATATTCTATTAACGGGGAACTTAGTTACAAGGCAAGGGACTTGCAATTCAGAAATTCAGTGCAATGCAGTTCAGTGGTGAGAAAAGTAAGGTTTTACACAGGCAAGAAAAAGTAAATGCACAATTATAGAATATGAGGTACTTGGCTCAAGAACAGTAAATGTGAGAGGGTTTTAGGAGTCCTAGTGGACAATCACTTAAATATGAGCCAGCTGCCAAAAAAGCCAACACAGTCCTAGGCTGCATTAATAGAGGGATAGAATCAAGATCACATGAAGTGTTCATACCACTTTATAACGCCTTGGTAAGGCCACACATGGAATACTGCATTCACTTTTGGTCACCATGACACAAAAAAAGTTTTCAGACTCTAGAAAGAGTGCAAAGAAGAACAACAAAGATGATTAGGGGACTAGAGAGTAAAGTATGTGATGAACGGTTGCAGGACAGGATAGCAATCTTCCAGTATTTGAGGGTCTATCACAGAGAAGAGAGGGGGTCAACCTAGTCTCCAAAGCACTTGAGGGCAGGACAAGAAGTAACATGGAAGATTATTAAAGAGACATCCAACCTAGAACTAAAGATAAATTGTCTGACAGTGAGAACAATTAACCAGTGGAACAGCTTCCCTCCAGGGTGCTCCATCACTGGAGGCTTTAAGAAGAGATTGGATATTTATTTGTCCAGATGCTGCTTGAGCAGGAGGTTGGACTAGAAGCCCTCCAACGTCCCTTCCAAGTATTCTGTTATTCTTAGATCCTGTCATCTGAATGCTGCATTTCCTCTTTCCCTTTTTTCAGGAGTCAAACAAAAAGCCAGCTACATCACGCCAGTCCCTGGTGGGGTCGGCCCCATGACTGTTGCTATGCTCATGAAAAACACTATTATTGCTGCCAAGAAAATGCTAAGAGCCCAGCATCTAGAAACCTTCAATGCTTGATGATGGACCTTGTGGCCAAAAGTGACATTCCAGATTGTCTCCCAACAACAGGCTAGAAGCCCTAGAAGCAATGCAGTATTTATTTATTTGATGAAATGTTTTGGCTAGCTGCTCTGCAATATTTATATAAAGCAATTTTCCTCCAAAGCAGAGGAGCTCCTGCCAGTTGTACACATGATTCCGACCTTTCAAACTGCTATTCTGAAATGCAGGAAATGAGAACACAACTTGAATGGGAAAGTAGGCAGCCTGAAAGAGTAACAAAGGGCCAAAAATGTGTCTTTGTAGTAGAAATGTTTTAACGTACACTTGAACTGACTAACCTCGACTGAACCCAAGATATAAATTATTTGTTAGGATTATAGTGCAGCTAATCTGGAGTCAAAAGTTATTATTTTCTACAAAGCCATATTTATATTTGATAATGCCTAGCAAAGCAGTTGGTAGCCTGATCAATACTCAGTTTTTTCCTGTTTTAAAGGAAGAATTGGCTTGAAAGCTTGACGATGCTTAGACAAAATAAGGTGAGCTCTCCATGCTTATTCCAACTTGCTTTGTGTTTATCTGGCAAGTAGTAATATTGCAGGATGTACCTGAATAAAAACAATTGTTATTTGCTTGTAAAGTCTTGCGTTCCATCATATATTTTGTCAGGTTGAACTTGTGGCTGGCAGTCTGGGAGAAAGCATCAGCTTTTCCTGCTCGACTTTGCAGGTTCCCTCTGCTGCGAGGGCAGAATAAGTTCAACTTAAAGATGCTGCAGAATGCTGGGAACATCTCATCATCACAGTGTTCAACAAGGATGCAATCTGATAAGCTAAAATTGCTTCCAGTCTAAGGAATTCCTTTACCCCATAGACTCTGGGGTCCTGAAATATCTTCCCCACAGTGTCTCAGTAAAAATCTCTGGGTTTCTCACTGCTTGAGTTCCACAGCTCATCTAAGGTTTATGTTCAATTCTTTAGTGGTGGATAAGGCCCAGGATGACCCTGTGACCTCCGAGTCTGCAACATAGGGGGAAAAGACATGTGGACACTAGAGGGTAGTTTCGCTGCCCATGTCCTGTGGGTGCTGCCTTTCGGTGTCGGTATCTTCATAATTGGATCCCATCTCTATCTTCACCTGGGGTACAGTACAGACGGGGCTTCGAGAATAGCTGAAGGCAGGAGAAGACGGGCAGGAAATCTTCAAGTGGAGTGTAATACTACAAGAAAGGCAAATAAATTGGAATTAGGAATCTATCTCAGACAAGAAGTTGTAGTCAAGGCAATTAAGATCAATATTATTTCTTTGCCCTTTATTTCTCTTTAACCTGGCAAGCAAAAATGGTGCCACGGCATGGAAACTGCTGCCTAGTAAAGCTTTTTCTCTCTGCCTGAATAGAGTAAGCAATTTTCCCAGTCAGCTCCAGAACGTTCCAGATTAATTCTAAATTCCACTTTACTCTGGGACAGTGTAGGACATCTATCTCTTTCTTGCTATTTATGTTTTGCTATTCTCAAAGGAAGAGGAGAAAGAAGGAGGAGGAGAAAAGACAAGTGATCAAGTTATGAATCAGATTGTGAAAAGCACAGTCAGCACTGATATGAAGACAAAAAGAAAAACTAAATGTTATTGCAACTGACATAACTGATTGCTTTTATTGTAGAAAATTTAATACTTACAAACCTATACTAGTAAATTTGAGAGCTGTAAACAAATGAAAACCAACGCAAACTCAGTGAAATATATTTGTTACCTGTGATCTGGATCAGAATTGTTAGGGGAGGAATCAGAATGCAAAACTCCAACTGGAAGATTCTTCTCCTGGAGGGAAACATAAGATTGCACGTGAAGCTGTTTCCAGATAAGGAAAAACAAAACAGCCAGTGAAGAGATGAGAAGAAAAAAGGGTAAAAAAGGCAAAACCACTTTGGCAATAAGCTTCCTTTTCCTGGATTCTCTTTGTCACTTTGAAGGGGAAGGAAATTAATCCGCGGCTGCACAAAAGCTTAGATCAACCACGGCCTGAAAAATCAGGATGTGACGATGTCTTGAACAAGGAAAGACAGCAAGGATTGAAACATGGGAACCCGAGTTACATAACTTTCATGCTCAGCCCAGTCTTTTAAGGTTCCTTCCCTTCGTTAACTGGCCTGGGGCACAGCCACTTGAATGTTCTCATTAGAAGCCCTACTGGGACAGCTGGAACTAACAGCATCTGCATCAAACTGCAATGCTGCCAAAACGACAACATGCAATGAAATAAACATCTGATGCAAATACATCAGTTGGTATAATTGGAGTGATTTTGCATGCCCACAGCCAGAGTCAGCACGCTCTGCAAGGAGTGTGGGCCTGGTGCCAGGTGAGGTGGTCAGACACTTGTGCCAAAATACCACCCAGTGGCCTGCCTTCCATCCCTCCCTCCCTGGGTTTCTAACCCACCTCATCAGGGTGCTGCTCCTCTGTTCTTTGGCCTTTCTTTTTCTTTTCTTTCTTCTTGTTATCCACCTTCTGTTTTTCAGGAATAATGTTATCAATCCAAGCCAGATCGTGCTGGGAAAAGACAAAATCCAACATCTTCCGGACTAAAATCAAAGCTAAAATCTGAAAGGTGAAAAACAATATAAAAATAAGCATCGTAGGTCACAATAGTGAGCCATTTCTGCAAGTCGCTCGGCTAGGCCACAGCCACCCCCCTCCAAGCTGCTATAATCACTCTCCATTTGGTGTTGAAAAGGAAGGGATTGTGCTGTGCACAGGAGAAAGGGCAAGATTTATTACACTGTACTCTTTAAGACAGGTTGGCCTGGAAGCAAGAGAGAAAGATTATTCCTCATTGTCATGCTGAGAGACTGCTCTCCTGCAGCTACCACCATTGATTATATAATTATTGGTCACATCGGAGTTATGGAATTTATTTTTCAAATGGACAATAAGCCGTGCCCTTCATTTCTTAATCAATTTGTGAGCTTATTTATGAGCTAAAAGAGGCTCTCTTTAACTACAGCTTAGTACCGTACCCCTTTTTGAAGAGGGTTGCTGAAGGCAGCCAAAAGAAGCACGGACTACTTTTTCTGGTGAAATAAGGATAAAATCTGTGACTTTTAATTTACTACATTTAAAATAATTTGTAGTTTTGTAGTGGGTGGTGTTGGTGGTTGAAATCTTCCGATTTTCCAGAAAAAGGAAAGGAGAGAAAAAAGAAAGAAATAACATTTTTGACCACTAGAGGGAGACGTCTAATTTTGATTTGGAATCTGTTATTAAAAGAGAGAAACATTTTTCAAAAGTCTATACAGAAAATCAAACACACAATAAATTCTCTAGTGTTTAAAGGTGTCAATGACACAGAGGAGATTAAAAAAGATTATCAGCCCACTCTAGGAAACTATCAACTCACTGTGTCAACTCTACAAATGCTGGATAATTCAAATAACTTGGCTGTTCCTTTGGAATAGAAAGCTAACATCAGTTTCTATTATGATGATGGTTTGAATAAAAGCCTCCTAGTGCAATTGAAACAAGAGTGTCAAATTTATAACTCTTAAGAAGCCAACTTTCGGACTTTTTCCTTCTGGACATCAACAAGGTGGAGAATTTTTTGAGAAAGAAAAGTATGATTGATATCTTAGAGATGGAAATTTCACAGGCCGAGAACTCCTTGAAGAAAAGTGACACCCTTGAGAGAAAAAAAAACCCTCATTCCATGAAGACAAGATAGATCACAATGGGTTGGACACAACTTTGCAACTAACAACAACAACATATGTATACAATAAGTTTGTAAATGTATACCCTTTTTTTTGATGTTTTGTTTTGTTTAGCTTTGTTTGTCTGTTCCTTTTGTAAAACTGTGAAAACCCTAATGTAGTTTTGGAGATTTTTAAGAAGAAACTGGACAATCACCTGTCTGAGATGGTATAGATTCTCCTGCTTGAGCAGGGGGCTGGACTAGAAGACCTCCAAGGTCCCTTCCAGCTTCTATTCAGATTGACTGACTATCAATTGTGATTCAGGCTACTGCTGATTGATTTAAGAGTGGATCACCACCAAAGGGCACATCTTTTGGACCAAAATTTATAAGTGGAACTGGGCCCCAGAGCAAGTTGTAACATGATATGGAGGTGCCTACCATCACAGGGAAGATAATGGCTGCCACGGTGGATTTCATGATCCAGAGGATGGCCAAGCAGACAATCTGAATGGTAGTGAAGAAATGGATTTTTCGAAGGGGCACATGGCGCAAGTAGACATAATCTGGTTGGTGCTTGGCTGGCATCAAGAAGAGTTTGCAGCGTTCCCAAAACTATTAAGGGGGAAAAAAAAAACCAATGAAATATTAATACTAGCTGCAGGCAAAAAGCACTTGGAAAGCGGTAGGAACAGATGCTATTGCCAGCTGCATCTAAGAAACTGCATCAAAACAGGATTTTTACCAAGAATAGCCGAAGGCTTAAAAAGTCAAGATGTCAGCCATATCAGTGCAACTGAAATATCTACCCACACAAAACAGACAAAAAACATTGTGCTCTCCATTGTGGTTGCCATCGATCTTTTGCTCATATCCTGCTGAAATCCCTGATTGCTATAATTCTTTCTCCTAAACAGATGATGCTAGGTAATAAACTTTTATAAGCAGTGCTTTTTTTCAAAAAAAAAAAAAAAAAAAGGTGCCGGAACTCACGTCATACAACCCGCCTTGCCTACCCTATAAGGTTCCATCCAAAAAAGATGCTGGAACTCCGTTCTGGGCGTTCTATGAGAAAAAAAGCTCTGTTTATAAGGCACTTAGCACCAGGTGCTTCTCTACTTTCTTACAGTGTTGTGTGAAGTTGAGGTGTACCATAATGTCCTTCCGGACTGTGTCACCAATGGGGTTTATTAGCTATGAGGTTAGGGGAGGAGCCCTCTCATGCACACACAATGTATAAGGTCAAAATCCTGGCCTACTGACCCTGCTTCCTGCCCACATCTCATCTGAATGGCCCACAAAGCTCCCTTCCCATTCACACTGACTGTAGGACTTGCACCCAGCAGTGACTCCAAATGAGAAAAAGTCTCAGTGGAGCATCTATACCTATGCTCCAAAAAACACTGGAAAAATAATCCAGATTTTTCAAAGTTCATATGTATTATTTAAATTTATGATCCTTTTCAGGTTGAATTCATACCCAGTTTGGGGATAGATATAGCTTTGTTTAATCTGCCATCTGCCACATTTCCCTGTTTTTCTCTTGGGCCCCTCATCAAATTCCAGTGTGATCAACAATTGTATCTTCTAACAATTGGAACATTTAAAAACACTGGTTAGGTTCACGAATTGCACACAACCTTATGTTTTGTTTTGGCGATTTTGCAATATGTGGAATCAGCCACTGTAGTTTTAGTTATGTGTGAACTAAACAACTATTTCTTATTCAGTGAACTATGGTTTAAAAATCAGTTTTGCAGAAAGTATGAATCTAACCACTGTTTTATGTGGCTCTTTGATGGCATAATTTTTTTCTTGAAAAAGTAGATTGTGTCTTACAGTTTTGACTCTGGGTAGTGACATAGGCTATGAATGGTCTACTGGATGACCCTTTTCTGAAGACTTATATTGTGCTGATTATGTGTTTTAGTTACACAACAACTAGAGAAGTGCAAAACTCTCTGGGTAGCTTATCTGAACCATTATTCAGAAACTTACTGTCCAGAATGACTAGTGCCTGGGTCTGTCTTGTATTGTGCCCTAATTACTTCCAGGCCCAATTAAAAAGGGCTCTAGAGGAAGCAGATCACTTGAACTTTTAGTTATACATCTTTGCCCCTGTCAAGTAAGGCTGTCAAGTTGCTTTCTCAGAGTTGGAGGCTATTCAGGCATATATGGAGATGTGCTCAACTCTAATAGGGATGATTGGCTATGGGTTGTAGGGTCTTCCGTGTCTTGCAACTTTCTAACCTATAACTCTGGACTGGACCACACTGCTCTGACAGAGTTGGTAGACAAACTGGGGGTCCTCCTGGTTGAAGAGAAGATGGCAGCCATGGTCTGTTGCACCTATTCCTAGATCAGGAGAATCTGCTAATGATCGCTCCCTGTAGGGATTGTAGGCAATGGCCTTAAAGGGCAGAAGAAAGAGCCGGCACCAAGTCGACTCTTTCAAGATATTGGTTGGTTTCTTGAAAGGGTCCTTTGGATCAGAAGTCCAGTTTTGTCTCACCCTCTTCCTCCATGCCTAATAAAAAGCAGGAAGAAGCCCAATCTGGCAAGGTGGCTTTTTGCATGGAAATTCAGTGGTGACCGACAGCACAAATGCAAAGCTCCCAGCAGAAGCCCCTGTATGCATACCTGAATGCCATTGAGTGAGGCCACTCCCATGTAGAGAAAGATTCCGTACAGGACTGGCATGGGGATATACTGCGGCAGAGAAAGCAAGCAGCCAGGTAAGGGACACACACACACATTGCTAAGTTCCAAAAGGTGAACCCGCTTTTCAGAAATAAACTATTTAAAACTGCAATCTGATACAGGTGATCCTCGCTTATTGATTGCCTCATTTAGTGACTGTTGGAAGTTATGATGGTGGGGAAAAAAGGCTTTGTGACCAGTCCCCATATTTCCATTGCAGGATCCCCAGTCATGTGATTGCCATTTGTGTGCTTCGCAATTGCCTTGTCAACAAGCAGAGCTAATAGAGAAGGCAGAAGTAAAATGGCAGATTGTGGTTACGGGATGTTTGCTTAACAATCAAGGGGGATTCCCACTTGGCAACCAGGGCATTTACTGACCAAGTTGCCAATCCCAGTTATGGTCACTAACTAAGGACTAGCTGTACTGCAAGGAATGAATTTTATTTTGAGTAAATGGCTATTAATCTTGCCTGTCATTTCAGGGGGTAGTTTAAAATTTCTGGGCCATTTGCTGAGTCCACATCACAAGGCTAAGCTACTTTACCTTGAGGATAGGTGCCAGGAAGACCGAAATCCCAGTCAGAATGAAGACGACAATCCCTGTGACTCTCTGCTCCCTAATAGAGACCAGAAGGCAGGGGTGGAATTCTGTCCTTGAGTGCAACGTTTACATATTTTATAGATTCCCAGGTTTAACGACTCCTTCTGGTGTGCCTGATGTTGAAATATCACTCACCCCAATATTCCGTGGTGTTTGTTCCGGAGGAGCTGCAGAGTTCAACCGCAAAGAGCAGAAAGCAAATCTGGAGCAATACCTATTTTCACCCAATCCTTATACTGCGACTGAGAGATGCAGCTCTAGAAGCCTGCTTAACTGTTTTCCCTCATCCCAGCATTTTTGCATCCTTGACTCAGGTGAGAAAGACCTTCTCAATGGCTTCCAAGAAACCCTCACCTCACTCCCAGGAACTGTGGTTGTTCTCCTGGTGCGCTGGTCTCTGTCTCCATCTTCAAACTATCAATGTGCGCTATGGAAATTACGGTGGCTGCCACGTACCAGGGCAGCCCCATGAATGAACACACCGCCAAGAGGACTCCAACCCAGAACAAGTCCAGATGGTAGCCTGAAGCTTTCTAAAACACAGAGGTAAGGACAGTTGAACAAAGGGGGAAAGGAGGCAACCCCCCCCAAAAAAACTCTGAGTTGTAAACTATGCTGAAGTTTTTTCTTTGTCCAAAGTAAGAGAAAACTAAAATCAATATACCATAATCCAGTTTGATTTTTTTATTGGCCCTTTGGGACATGCAGGGATGTGACTCAAATACACAACCCAACGTAATAGATAGGGAAGCAGAAGGAATGATGGAAACTCTTCTGAGCACTCACTGGTTCACTTTGCCAACAGTTACTTTCTTAGCTGGAGAGGCAAATTAATAAATACAAAATTCAAACATTTCCTTGGTGAGCACAATATGCTGGTAAACTATTATACCCAAACAATACAACATGCCATAGAAAGCTAACCAAGTTTAAAATAAACCCAGTTAGATTCTCTGTTTTAAGCTGATCTTGGTTTAATATATCGTACCAACTCCATTGCCTCGTGTCTGAATCCTTGCCCAATGTGGTAGAAATGGGGTTAAACGGCATCCCAACTTTCTTTGTGTACCAAGTCTCAATCGCAGTGTACAAGAAGAAAAAACAGACCTTCAGCTTGTGCTCCTTTCTGTTCACAATGACTGCTGTAATTTGCTGGTCCATGAAGATCAGGATCGTGACCAAAAGAGCCGGAAGGGCACTCGCCAAGTAGATCCACCAAGGGTTTTTTCCAAAGGGGAACACGAACCACCCTCTATCCAAGCGGGTGGGCTAGAAGTAGAATTCAGAAAGAGCGGGTTACCACAGAGACTCGGCAACCGAGAGGTTGATGCTCCTTATAGGCTCCCTTTTATGTGCTTGCTGCTATTCTCAGCTGGCTCCTAAGCTATATACGGCTCAGAACATATATATTCTGCCGTGGGCAGAAAAGTCATTTCTCTCTCTCTTTACATTTTGACATGAGAGAAGCCCTAAGAAGAATGTTTCCCAAGGCAACCATCAAAAAATGGATCACTCCAAAACAACACATTCTTCAGAAATCCATATACCATGCTGCACAGCCAGGCACTTGCCTGGGCGAAGCAGTTTGGGAGCCTTCTTTAAGCCAAGGTGTAGCATTCGTTTATTTACCTTAAATTCTGTAGGCACTTGCAGTTTTGGAGTGTTCAGCCCACACAAAACATCAAGACCAACAAACATTAGTATGGACATGAAGATAGAGAAGTCACTAATAAATTTACGGAACTAGAAAGAAGGAGAGAAAACACACATGTACGAGAAATAGCTATGTTAGAATGTCAGCTGGAGAAGAAAAGAACTTCATGCAATCCTTTGGCTGTCAGAGAGAAACACAGAACAGTCGTTTGCCAACATTACTTTCAGTCGAGCCCTAGTAGGTTATTTGCTACCGCCAGAGCCCCCTCTGACTGTGAAGTTAGAATAGTGAACTTCTTTCTGCTCCCCTTCAGAGGAAATGGAAAAGCAAAGGGTGACCAAGGGGACGCTGCCTCCTTGGAAGTGGCTCCAGAAATGCTGCCACAATCCAGAAAAGGTGCAATTTGCAGGGACACAGGCCAGTTTCTCTCATTGTGCTAAGGCCTTACAGTTTTTGAACCCCCTGGTTGCAAATCAGTGCATTCATCTCAAGTATCCCCCCCCCCAGTTCATTTTCAAGTAGAACCTTGAGGATGTAGAAAGCTGAAGCTACTAGAGAAAGCAATCCAAGGGACAGGACACCGGAGCAGAGAGAGGGAAGGGTGTGTCAAAACCTAGTTGGGTATCCAAACCTTAATGATACTGGGCACATGCAACTTGGGAGTATCCAATCCAAAACAGAGGTCTATTCCACAGAAGAACAAGATGGAGAAGACAATGGAAAAGTCAGCAATTAGGCCCCTGACCTAAAAGTGGAGGGTTGAAAGGAAGAAAAAAAAAGAGAACAAGTTATAGGGCATTACAGAACATTATTTAATGTCTTCTGGAAGAGGAAGACCTTTTTTGACAGCCAAGTCATTGCTTGGAGAATCTTACCTTGGTTGGAAAATAGCGGCTACACTTGAACTTTTTCAGAGTCAGAGTCATGGAATATGTTCCAAAGAAGAGAATGAAAGACATGAGAGCCAAATCAGGGACAAATTTACAAGACGTCCCCACCAGACTTCCTCCATATTTCAGGCACTCCTTTTTGCTCAACTGAGTCCAGTCCAGAACTGTTACATTAATAGGGTTATACTTGAAGGATAAGAAAATAAACCATATTATTCAGGTACTGAAGAATAAAACTAAGTAAGTTAACTCCTATGTGCAAGAGATACAAGCCTGCTAATTCTTTAAAACAGGGGTCCTCAACCTTGGCCACTTCAAGACTTGTGGAGTTCAAAGCAAAGCTGGCTGAGGAATTCTGGGAGTTGAACTCCACAAGTCTTGAAATGGCCAAGGTTGAGGACCCCTGTTTTAAATATTATATATAACAGAATAACAGAGTTGGAAAGGGACTTCTGAGATCTTCTAGTCCAATCCCTGCTCAGGCAAGAAACCCTATACCATTTCAGACAAGTGGCTGTCCAATTTCTTCAGTGATGAAGCACCCACATCCTCTGAAGGCAAGCCATTCCACTGGTTGATTGTTCTCACGGTCAGGAAATTTCTTCTCAGTTCCAGGTTGCTTCTCTCCTTGATTAGTTTCCATCCGTTGCTTCTTGTCCGGCCTTCAGGTGCTTTGGAGAATACCTCTCTCTTGTTTGGGGCAGCCCCTGAGATATTCGAACACTGCTATCTCTAGTCCTTTTCACTAGATAGGCATATCCAATTCCTGCACATATGTATCTATATTTCTATATCTATCTGCATATTACATGTGTATTTTGCATGCAGGGTTTTCCAAAGTTATCAATTTAAGTGTGCTTATTAGGAAGTGGATGAGAAACCATTCTGATCATTGCCATTAAATGGTCAGGATTGATCACTGGAACAAGGAATTGTTCTCACAGCTCTAAGAGGTTCTAACTGATGTCTCTTGAAGTCTCTCTGCGCTGATTAGATAAGGGATGGACCAACTTTTTGAGGGCCAGGAAGTTGCCACCCACCACTGATGAGAAAAGAGAGGTACTATAATCAGTCTTTGCTCTTGCAAAGATATACATCGTATTTTGGATTGGAGGAAAAGAGGAAAAAACTTACCATAGAAATGTTAACATTGTTTGGTACCAATGGAACTGAAGCATTGAACAATGTTGTATTTGCTGCAGAAAAGGAGTTTGTAATTATTAAAAAATATATTAAGAAAAAATATTACTCCATAATACAATACCATATTTTTCGTTTGAACCTTCTGAAAAATTCTCTTTTGGCTACACATATTAAAGGGGTCTAATCAGCTTCATTTTTGATCACCATCTCACCATCCGGAAAACCCCTGTTTCAAGTATTTACAGAACTCTCTGAGCTTGGAATCCAATGAAAAGAAGAACTGTAAGAATTACATCCCCACAGCTTGTAAATAAACAACTGCTTATGTGAACAGTTCAATAAGCTACAATGTTGTTCTAATTCGTGCAGAAATGTCTCCCTAATTAACCTAAGATGTGCTCTTTCAACTGGCATCTGAGAAAGCAAGGAGGAGGCATCTGATTCCAATTTAGTCCGAGGACAGAATTCATAGCTGGGGTGGATCCTATCTACATATTACTTTCTTCTCCAGATGTTTTTGGTGACAATCAAAATCCACTATGCAGTAATATAGAGACACCTCAATCTACAGCAATGTGATCTAATCATAGTGGATCTAGATGGTCTGTATTGTCACAGAGTTCTGAGGTGGATAACTCCATAGAGCCAAGATCCCTTTAGGTCTCATCATTGGGTGGTGTTCTTATTATTTTTAAGATGGAGAAGAGCACCGTGGCATTGCTTACTTTCCGTTGCCTGAAAATAACCTCTAAAGGCCAAGGCCTTACCCAGAGTTGCTTTACAGGGAGAGCAGAAAGTGTCAGGGCCAATATTTCATTTGTGTGATAAAAGACCCATTGACTTCCTCGCTTCGCCAGGGTGGCCAAATCCCTCTGCTGTTTTGCAAGCTGCATTGATTACCAGTTTGCTTCTGGGTCCAATTCATGGTGTTGATTATTACCTTTAAAGCCCTATATGGCATAGGCCCAGGGTATCTGAGGAGCGATCTCACCCAAATGGGATTAGCCCGTCCCACGCAGGCTGGCAGAAGAGGCCTGCTACAGATCCCATCTGCTGAGGAATTCTTGGTCCCAACCTTGTGGAACACTCTGCCACCAAAGGTGAGAACTACTCCCATCCTTTTGACCTTCCAGAAGGGTAATAAAAGTCGCTTTTGCCAGTGTGAAGTTGCACGAGGAACCTCTAAGTTTATCCAGGTCATCCGTCTGAACTATTGCTGCTCCGTAGGGGACCCTGGTCAAAGAGACACAAAAGCAGAAGCAGCCAGAAGCCTCTCTTTGGAAGGCTCCCTTTTTTTTTTGGCAGGCTGAGAATATGTCCTCCGGCCTAGGGCTCATGGAATGATCATCCTGGCAAGAGAGCAGAGCAGGAAGGCAGGGCATGTCGTGGGTCCCAGGTACCAAGGGCCTGGCATCTGATGGGACCTAGAAAAAGAGCCTCCTTTGGAACGTCATTTCCCGAGAGGTCAGTCTGGTCCCCACCTTGTTGCTTTTCACAAGGTCTCAAAGACATGGCTTTGTCAGCAGGCTTGGGGGATCCCATTCAGAGCTGATCAAGTGGCTTCTCTATTTGTTCTTACCCTCACAGGGTGTTGGGGGAGGTTAAATTGTGGAGTTTTATCTGTGGAATTTTAATGCAGGATAATTTTTTCTTGAGGCAAACAATGTTCACACAATTAATGGAGAAGCAGTTGCTGGTTTAGAATCAGATTTTCTACTGCAGAGAAAGTACTGAATTTCAGAGGAAAAATATAAAGAATTGGATAAAAGTGGGATAATTCTTGCTATTCATTCCAGATTTTTTAAATGTTGCTTCTCCCTACACCAGAAGTTTTCTGAAAAACAGACATATTCGGGTGACTTTTAATAACTTCAAGCGTAAAATAACTAATTCTTCTATTGGATGAATAATGCTTTTTTAATGGCTGATTTAATGCTTTTAGGTAGGTTGCGTATACTAAAGTAGAAATAACAATAAAAATAAGAGTATCAAATATTTAATAATATTTATAAAATGATACTCACTTGAGAATGAAACCGGCCAAATAGAAGGGTGCAGCAGAGACAAATACGGCATAAATAAGTTACAGTAATCAAAAACGTTGATTTGCAAAAATAAGAGTAATAAAAAAATTAAAAGGTCTTAAAAGAATGTTATGGATACTCTCCAGTGGCATCTAGAAGGGAGGTCAAGAAAATGGGTGCAGTAGCACAATAAAAGCCTCCCCTTTTGTGGGCCAATACAAACGTGTACAAAGGAGCAGAGTTTCAATCTGATACTGAGACTACATCAAGATTTTTTTATTCCCCAGTCTGAATTCCACTGACATTATGGAATGGTGAAAAACTTAAATGGGATTCAGCTGAAATAGAGGATAGAAAACATTACTGCTATTTTCATGTACAAGCTAAATACCATCCGTATTTGAGTGTATCAGGGATTGGTTCTGGATTCTTCACAGCCATTGAGCACATATCTAGATCACAGGAATTCCTGACAAAACATCACCTGCTGTTTGGCCTGCAGCATTGTAGGGTCCACAAGGCTCTTCTGGAAGATACTTCCATAACTACACATGCCAAGCTGCACCCAGAGATGTGGCCTGAGGTGCAATCACAATGCAGATGATACCAGCTCTATCTGTCTTCTATTTTTCCAAACTCTTTAACTACATTCTCATTTTGTGGTAATTCATATCATCTTAGATTTTGATGAACAACATGCTGCTGCCTAGTTAATATGGCATTTTTATTTTGTATTTCATTTGACCAGAATTCTCACTGGATCGCTAAAGGAATGTTTAACGTTGTTCTTGTTTGCACTTTTAATATTGAATCCATTTTGTGAGATAACAAAAGCAAGGTTTCTCAAATGGTTTTTTAAAATATCTCTACAGTGAAAAATAGATTCATTAAACCTAAATCAGATTGGTAAAGTCATGCTTTAATTATCTTTGCCCTTCTTTCCATTTCTCATATGATACCATTTCATGAGTTTTAATAAAAATCAAGTTTTGTCAAAATTGTTATTTAGATCTCTATTACACAGAGATTCTGAAAACCAAGTGATTGTCCTGATATTCCTTATTAGAGAGGACATGGATCTAGAATTTCATTGATTTGGAAATGGTATTTTATATTCAATACAAAATACATCGGAGGATTTGCTAAAAATGGAACTATCATTATGTTGAAACCAACAACAGAAGCTTCCTGTACTACACTTAGATCCCCAGTCAACTTAGTAAAGGTTTAATATGGATTCCATTTTGACCATTCTGAATTGTTAAGCATGGCTGGTGTTAACTATCCCATGGTTAGCATGTCTCCTATGAACTGCAGTTTGTGATGTGCAATAATAAAGGAAACGGCTTCAGATTTGTTCTATGCATATCTATTAAGCCGAAGAGAAATTAGATCGATTGTAACCAGTTGCTTTTCCTAATTCCCTTTGCTAGGGTGACCATGTTTCAACATCTCTTTTTCAACTCTGATGTTTGACTGAACTGGGAACTGTAGTTGTAACAATGAGGTTCTAGTGGATATAAAAATGTGTGTCTCCTTCAAATTTGATGTTTGCCTGAGCTGGGAACCTTGATTCTAAAAGGGAATTCTGCATTCACTATAATAGGCCCCATATGAATTGCAACTTGTACCTTTGAATCTCTCTTAAGACAAAAAGAGAATCCTGAAACCAAGTGGGAGAACATGATTACGTGTCTCTTTTTCAAATTTGAGATATGCCTGAGCTGGATACCTTAATACCTGTTCTTTGCAAAGTTCTTTGCAAAGTTCTTTCAGAAATCTTTGGAAGTCATTTTCAAAAGTGCACAATATTAAGCATGAAACAGTGCTCTGTTATAAAGGGTAATGCAATGGCTGTGCACAGGATTTGCACTTACCTGCATCTGGAGCTACACATTCACATTTATACATAGTCACATAGTCTGGGTTGTAGTCAACATTGATAGGGTAGACCTTAAAGGCTCCAATCATCTTTTTAATGGCGTCATAGATGAAGATGAAGCTAATCAGAGTGGAGAACCCTTCTTCAGTGAAGCGAGTGATGTACTTAATTATGAAGCTGGCATCTGTGGCCACCAGAAAAAGGCACTGGGCCGCTGAGTGCAAGCCGATCCAAAGGCGAAACTCTAGGTAATCGATACTGTTACTTCTGAGGGGAGAACAGAAACACTTTGTTGATCACAACAGCACAACCGCAGCCGCAGCCACAGCAAGGTATTATATTCTGGCAGTGAAAAAGTATGGCAAAAGAAACACATTGTTGACACTGCCTTAAGTAAACTTCGATGCCTGCAGAAATGTACCTGACATTCTGAAGCAGTTTAGATGCAGCAGCCCCGCTGTGTCCTCGTGGCAAGCCGGTCTGAAAGGGCCACCCAAGGAAGCAGAAGCGGCTACTCGTGTAACATTATAGGTGAGCGAGTTGATGTTCTTCGTAGTCTATTTGCATTGCATATATGGGAGAAGGCAGCGGGCAGCATCTTGGCAAAAGAGGGCAGAGAGTAGGGCTCTGCCTCTGGATGTGATCTAACTGGTAGCACCTGATAAATGTGTGAGTTTCTCACAGGTTGGGCAACGTCTCCTATTTTGAAGAGCTGCAACTGTTATATGTGTGAAAAATGGTCATTTTTTTTCAGTGCCGTTGTAACTTTGAACAGTCACTAAATGAACTGTTATAAGTTGTAATTGGACTAACTTCTTGAACTAATTCCATTTCATTTCTTGAGCTAGTACTGCCCAAGAGGCAAAGAGAACCATGAGGAATTGTGGCCAGTACTTTGTGACGTCCAAAGACTGCAAAGGATCATTGTTCCCTGTCCAGTTTGAAAGGGTAACTTTCAACACCACCCCCCCCACACACACACATCGTGTCAACTAGGCATGGATTTCTGAAGCCGCCAAAGAGGCCTTCGCTTACTTGCTGAAATCATATAGCAGCTTTTCAAAGATGAGGATGGGCCCTGTGCTGCTCAGGATGATGAGGGGCTGCCCTGCCAATAGGCAAAACATGGAACCTGCAATTGCTGTTCCCAGGAAGCTCTCCATGACACCCTGGTGGGAGAAACAGAACCATCTGAATCATTTTCAGAAGCAGGGGCACCATCTGAGTGCAATAAAGAGTGCAAAGTATGCCTCATGCACTCTGTTGACCCTCCTAGCACTTTTCCATCTCTATAGACAGGAATGCCCCTTGCCCTATGGAAGCCCTCTGTATGTCTTGTGTTTCAAGGGACCTTTTAGCTATGAGGGCAAAATCTATAGAGAAGAGGCATTAACCTTGAGGGTGATGGGGAGCCCACATGCCACCACCACGTTAGGAATCATAGATGGACACAGATGAAGCCCCCAAGTTCTTCCAGTCTGTTTCCCTTCTCCGTGTTCTAAAATATTGCCAGGGAATCCATTGGCAATTGGAACTCTTATTTCTAGGCTCACTGAAGGGAGTATAGTAGTTGTGATTTTCAGGCTGGATATTCAGACTTCAGCTGACTCCTCAAAACAGAACTGATGGGTGTGCGGAAGTGCCAAAGCCTTCTTATTCCTAGCTGCTCAGGCCTTCAGATGTCAAGGGCCAAAATAGTATGGATTTTACAATGCAAATGTAGAGAATTTGGGGGGCTGTTTGGGAGGCTGGCCTGAACTTGCCTGGTAGTTGTCGGTAGCATCCCCCAACAAGCCTCCAAATGTAATGGCGTTGGCAATGCAACCCAGGTAGATGAAGAGCACAGCAGAGATCGACTGGATATGGAAGCCATCGTAGAAGTCACTGGGGAACCAGGGCAGTTTCCTCTTGAGATCCAAATACAGCCCCCCGCAAAACCTGAAAAGGAAGTAGGGTTGGCTGTGCTCTCGTTGCACTGAAGGGCTTTTCTGTTCTGGCCCAGAGAAGTTCAGTTTTATCCCTTAACTTAGGTCCACAAATTATTCTGCTGCTGCTGCTACTGCTGCTGCTGCTGCTGTTTATGGAAACATCCTTTCTCTCCCTACTGATTTCACCAAGCCCCCCTCTTACTGACCATCTTTTGTTTGCCCTCCTGGATCTTGCCCTGCTAGGGAAAGAATGATCTTCCTGAAGGTTTGGTACACAAAATGCCGGAGAAACGGTTGTGTTGCATGAGGCCATTGGGTAATATTCATGTCACCCTGTGGTGGCTGAACTACCACAGTTTATGTCAATCACATTGGAAGCAGGGATAGGGAGGAAAAGAGTGAGGAGCTGAATCCTCACTTTTCCTTCTATAAAGTATGTACCAAGCTGGTTTTACCCATCAGACCTTTGCTGGCCAGACCATAAGAGCTGGGATAGAGGGATGAAGATTTCTGGAACTTATACTGCCCTTTTGAGCAGAGACCCTCTTTCCAACATGGACGGAGCAGGTGGGATTTAAACACAGATCTGTAGGCCCATCCTTCTTCTCCAGCAAATGAAGCAACTTCTTCAGCTGCAGAGGGCTATTCCATGCTTTTGAACTCTACCCCAACAGCAGATTTTTTTTCCTTCATTACTGCCGGCTGATTGCAGGGAGGTTTTTCTCACCGTCCAGTCCACATCAGCTCCTCTCCGATGTCATGGACAGCAGGAAGATCTTCTTCACTGCCCCCACCCCCGCCCCCTGCTGCTCCTCCAGCTGCCCCATTCATCTGGGTCGCTTCGCTCAGAGAAAACACAGATTTCCTAGGAATAAAATGACATGGAATATTAGTATGCGAAGAGTGCAAATGGCTTCGTGTATGTAATGCAAGAGGGGCAGCTGAAGGCAACATACAGAAGTCCTCTCTCTATGACGACTCTGTGACAACTCGATGCCGCTAGCTCAGCACTGCCAGCAGAGGGCGGCCTTCTCGCCATCCTTGCAGCCTACTCGCTGCTGCCATCTCTTTGCAGGACATCTCAACACTGTAAATTGGCTACAGGGACAAGTCGCTGCACCGCATGGGAAGCAATGGGATGGGATGTCAGCTTTTTTAAAAACTAAAAAAAATCTTCCACCTGGGTTTGGACGGAAAGCACTCAACACATGACCAGAAACAGAGGGCTTTTCTCCAGTGCCAGGTGGAGGATTTCATGGGGTTTCTGACCGCGTGTAGAAAGAAAACCAGGTCTGGCAATATGGTGGGAAAAGATAATTCAAAGAGTAAAACCTTCCCTTCTCTCTCTGACCGTTCAGGTCACATTGTCCAATTAGTCTCTGAACAGTTGTTATGAGAAGAAAGCCTCTGTCCGCCACCATCTCTTCAGGGACCTCGACTCTCGCCCAGACAGGAACCCCCTTTCCCCTCCCCCCTCATTACAGTAGGCAAGCTAGAAGCATCGTGGCACTTCTGATGCGAGGGATCTTCATAGCTTGACACAGAACTCTTTCTTTCCTAAGGTTGCCCCAAAGCCAGGTGGGTGATTTTTCCTGGTCACATGTAGAGTGCTATTTCTAGTCATGCTCAGAGTAATTCTGAGATTTTTTTTTTCAGTTTGGACGGTCCTGTCCATGCAGCCCATTTCCATAAAGCATCAGACCCGCAGCTGAATGTGGCTGCAAACTTTGCAATCTGCTTCATGGGCAAGGATTTGAATGCAACTCAAATCAAGTCTTTTTAGATTTTAAAAAAGCTGACATCCTGCCCCATTGCTTCCCAAAGCCACCCTTATTTGCAGGAGAGCAGAGGCTTCCCGTTTTCACAGCCCATCCCACTCGCTTCCCATCCGGTGCACCCCTTACCTCTTCTCTGCAGAAGGCAGTTTCTTGGGTGGCTCTATTCGAACGTTTGGATCCCATCCACCGGGAGGAAGGACTGTGACTTCATCCAAAAACTCATCCAGTCCTGCTATCAGATCTTCTCTGTCTCTTGCTTTGTAGGCTACATCACTGAATAGCTACATTCGAAAATGAAGAATCGTTAGCTAGGAAGCAATGGTGGAGAGAGCAGCCAATCTCCTGTGTACAAACTCAATTAGCTCCTCACTTCTTGTACTATATTTAAGAACAGTATTGCATGCATGAATGAGAAGACATTCTGATTGAATCACTAGAAGCAAGACAACCACTGTTTAAAATACCCCAAGGAAAGAGTCTTTTATGCCAACACATTTTGGTTCACCCACATCACCTCCTTGCACAAAATATTTAGTAGATCTTTGGGATCAGTTAGGTTGCGTTGTGCTGTTGCATTTGGGGAGCTTCAAGAAAACACTGACAAGGAGGCAGATGGCAAAGACCTGCAAAATTGACTTACATCATCTACCAGAAGGGTAGCAATGGCTCGGCCAATCTCATTGTAGGATTTGGCTTTTCCAGAGGGACCCAGGAGGATAAATAGGAATCTGGTAAAGGAAACAAACCAAGATATGAGCATCTGCAAGCCAGCTCAACACTGCTCCCAGATAACGGGCTCCTGCAGGACAGAATGTCTGGCCCTTTAAATACTGGTAGCTAATAAAAGCATCACAGCCTTGAGGTGGACAGAATATCACTTGTCCTGCTATGACTCTTTGCTAAAAGCTGATTCTGCTCTTTTCACCTGAATAGGTACAAGTCAATATCATGACAATTCACAAGCAGAGTAAGCCAGACACTCGTGCCATTTTAGACCACACGGAATACGTGAGATGTCTCTCCTCTTGCCTGGAATGTACTTTTAAATCAAATAAAAAGACCAGAATGTCTGTGATTCTTGGAAGAAAGGAGAAGAATTCTGAATGGAACATAGTTAAATATGATTATTAGCTGAATCTTCTGATTAGTTAGTGGATGAAATTTTAATAATGGTTTGGAATGGTTTGTATTCTCCACAAAAGTGAGCCAATTCAGGAGACTTTTAAAGCAAGTGTGAATCCGGTATCTATGTGGTGTTGTATACAGTGAAATAAGATATAACAAATGAATCGTCCCTTTAGGGACCATTTTAGCAACTCCAAATGAACTTGGGTAGAAATATAGGAACGGAAATGAAATGGCAAAGATAGGAAATCCCCTCCACATCTTAGTCCCATTTCTGGAAGAAGGTGCAGATGTTTCTGGTGATGGACGTACCTGGTTGGAATAGGCACTTCGGTCATCCCGCCCAACATGGTGGACTGTATAAGCCGGACAAAGGCTACAAAAGGCTTGTCCAGGAAATCCACTTCTCCCACCAGAACATTTGAGGCTTCAGCATTTTTGGGGATCTTCTTCATGAACTTGTTTCTGAGCTGGCGAGAAAAGAATATTTCTCAGAATGTTCCTTCTCTTCTGATTTGTCTTGATGTGCTTTCCTAACCAGCACAGTCCAGAGGAAAGGGACATTCCAACCGACACTTTTCTTGTGGAATTCAAGATTAGATATCAGCATGGAACTATCTGGAAGATTCAGGGAAACAATTAGAGGCATGCAAAACTAATTTCTTCCATATGCCAAATTTATAAGACTGGTGTCCAGTTTTAGATTAAAACATAGAGGTCTATCCAGATTTCCAATTAGATGGTAGCTTGGCTATTTATAGCAATGTCTTTTTAAATGCTGATTGTTTCCCTTTTCCATCCACCCCAATATTGTCAGGTTCAAGTCACTGGAATAATGATGAAAAGGTGCACTGGTGGATACTGAAAAAAAGAGAAGCCCAACAGAAAAGTAGCTCAATAAAAGAAAAATCATAATTAAAAAACACTGATAATTTTTTCACTTTCTGATAAATTGAGTATAATTCTTGGAATTATCACATGTCATTTTTAATTGCACTAGAAAGTGTTTGCTAGAATCAGATTCTTCCACAATAATCCACATCTCATTGCAAGACCTTGGAAGATCCAAGTTCCTCATCGAAATGAGGGGAGATCCAATCTTCAATTCCAGTTTATGTAGACAGTTCAATTTGATCAAGGAATTCTCTTGGAAAATGAGTAGCGTTGGGTCCTTCACTACCTCCTTGAAAGAACAATATTCTTTCATCATTCCAGACAAGCGTCTTATGCATGTGGAATCTTTGTTCCCTCTTTCATTTCATTGAAAGGAACCAAGACTGAATTATTTGGGAACAATTCTGCAGGATTATCAAATTAACCACGTGGAGTCAAGAGTCGTGCTTTCCTGAGAGGATCAGCTGGGGCAGGTCCTTACAGTTCCATTGATTAATTGTTCTCATTCCAGATTGGATATCTCTTTAATTAGCTTCCACCCACTGCTTCTTGTCCTGCACTCAGGTGCTTTAGAGAGAATAAGTCAATACCCTCTTCTTTGTGACAGCCCCTCAAGTATTAGAAGAGAGCTATCTTGTCACCCTTAGGCTAGACATACCTAGTTCCCTTAGCCATTCCAGACCTTTTATCATCCTTGCTGCTCTTCCCTGCAGTCTTTCCAGGGCTCCAGCATTATTTTTGAATCGTGACAACCAGAAATGGACACACTGGTGTTTGAAGACCTCAAGATCCTGGTGTGTATTTGGACCGTTATCATTCTTCCTCTTAAATGAACTCAGATCACACACCACAGGAGCAATAATATCTAGATAAAACGATGCTTAGAGTTCAAAGCCCCTTTCCTCACCTAAAAATGGTAAAGAACAGCAGCTTCTTTTGAAGTTTCTGAAAGGGATGGTGGCTGGCATCCCCGGGGGCACAAAAGCTAACTGAGGGGAGGGACAGCAGTGCCATGTACTGTCCATGTTCTCAGGACAGGCAAAGAAGTCTTGCCTTGAGGCCAACCTGGAAATCTCTAAAAGAGAAGCAGCTGGTGGATTCTTACCTGGGCTGTGCTTGGAGTGTCTGTGATGTCATTCATGCTTCGGCTTTGTGTGTGGCCTAAAGGAGGAAAAGGTTTGTTTGCTTGTTTGTTTGTTTGTTTGTTAATCTGTCCATCTTGCAGCTTGCCATGCTCTGGGCAGGTTATCATAAAGATATATCAGGGTACTTTTATCTTATTGTTGAAATAGGTGTTTTGTGATCAGGAATGACTATTCTTTTTTTTTTTAAACACACCAAGCTATATGCTCTCCAACTTCTAAATGATTTTCTAGCCCCCAAATTTACATACCTCTGCGTCAATCACTACCCTTAGATTTGGTGTTTCTTCAACTCCGTCTGTTCTCTGTTTTCAATTATTATATCAGGTGGTGAGGAAATGAACAGTTCCTCCTACAGTGTTTGATCTCTAATGGCAGAACTAACATGAAACTTACGTAATCGTCCATAAGCTGAGTTCTGTCTTATTCTGAGATCTTCAGAAGAACAATAAAAGCCGGCTCCTGTAGCTGGATTCTGGACAGGACTACGATCTGTTGGCAGGCAGAAACATAATGGAGATGAACCCAGCATAGCCCACAACTTCAATGAAAATATGAGCTAGTGAAACATTGGGCAAGAGCCCAACACTGAAGAAACTGTCCCGATTCTTTGGGTAAGAAGTTTGGGAGAGGTGGACCAGAGACAGAATTGCCCACGATACTTTTTCTGTACGGTGTGTCTTTGTGTCTCTCTCTGTGTGTGTGTGTGTAGAAGAGCACACAGCAGTGACAGATTGTCCACTGCAACCTGAACAGCTGGTTCTTTGCCATCTTCTATTTCAGGGAATTTCTGAATGTCATAATGTAGCTGAATAGCTTATGTACTGTGAATCTTCCCTTCCATATTTTTGGGAAGAGCACACAAACTTTTTCTATAATTTACTTTTTTGGATCAGTATTGGATCAGAGCCATATCACCTCTCCACTTTTGCTGTCCTTCAGGGTCTTTTGAGGATTTTGCAGCAGCAAAAGAAGCCCATAAGAAGGAACTCAGGACTTCCTTTTAGCTGTCACCTTCTTCTCTACTTTGCCAAAAATAGCTCTCTGGAAATTTCACTCACTTATGCTTGAGACAGATTTGCCAATATCTGCCAAGGATCGATGGATGGATTTCTTCATCTGATGTCGGTGCTTTCTCAGGAGCACATAGCTTATTTTCTCTCGCAGCTCTGGCTTTAGAAGGCCATCTTCTATTTGTTTCTCAATGACATTATCTGGAAAACATGGATTATATTATTGATAATGTCCAGCCAAAATAGACTCTAGAGGCCGAGGCCATCGTGGCCAGCATTGGCCATCCTAACTCTTCTGTCATTTTTACTTCCATCAGTGTATTAAAAGAGCTACAGTGTGACTAGAGTGTAAGATGTGGATTGCCCTCCGATATGATCCCGTAAGGCAGTAATGGCCACAGGCCTACAATATGTACTAGACCAGGGGTAGGCAACCTTGGCTCTTTTATGACTCGTGGACTTCAACTCCTAGAATTCCTGAGCCAGCAGTCCACGAGTCATAAAAGAGCCAAGGTTGCCTACCCCTGTACTAGACATAAGTGCACTTTCCAAAGAATTCTGCCATGCGCTGATAAGGATGATTTGCACCGGCCGCTAGGAATTGGCTGAGCTGGAAGGGACCTTACAGATCATCTAAGAAGGTTATACATTTGGTAAATCTTGGCTGAACTCTATATTTAAGTAGGATTCTAATGACTTTCAAAGAATCTGATGTGAATGCAGAGGTTTTGTGACAATCATATTTACAAGGATGCAGACCCTACAGCATATCCCATGCTCCGGAAGCCATGACTTGTGTACGTGAATAGGCCATCATAGAGAGAGTATTCCTACCACCAAAGACACAGAGTCCTTCAAGTGACTCCCCTATAGCCTGAGTTGCCAGTAGCAAGGTTTGGATAGGATGAGCTTTTAATTTCAGATCTTTGCAGTTGCTTTAGATTTTCATACCTTACCTATGATTTGTGGCAGGAAGTAGCCATCGAGATCTAACAGGATGGTTCCCATCTGCAGGCAAGTGCGCAGTTCAAACAAGCTATGCAATGTCAGAGTTGATACATGAGGTTTACTCCATCGCTCCCCTCCTTCTTCCACCTTCTCTTCAAACTTAATCCATCTGAAACAAAGAAAGATACCAGCGTCTTTTTTGCCATGTGAAACGGTTAGTGGGAAACAGTGAGAAACATAAAAACAATACACACGTACATAGCAGGAACCAAAGTCTCCCTCATATTCTTTTCTGCACTCTTCTAGGTCATTAACTATATCTATCCAGCCACAAATTTAACCTTTGTACCTGCTTGGAGCCAGATGGGTTCTGCTTTCACAGTTTTACTACCTGGCTGCCTCCTTCCATTCCATCTCTTCTCCATCACGTTGGAGGGTGTCCATCTCCGTGAACAGTGTTGGGTTGGGGGGATCATCATCCTCACCCAGGATATATCGGAGGCGCTCGGCAGCAGGTGACACTGAACCAAAGATGAGAAGCTGATTAAGGACAGACGGAACCAACTCACGATTCCATGTTTCTAACCCAGTTTTGAAGTCCTTGGGAAAGAAAATGGTTTCTAGTAAGGAATCATTTCCAAGGTCAGCAGAAAAAAAACTGTTGAAATCAGCTTTTTAAAAGTCTAAGACACTGGTTTGATTACATCCTATTGCTTGTTTATTATATTGAATTCCTAAAAAGAAAGTTGTTTGGACGATAATGATTTTAAGATATTGCAGCTCATTAAAATAATATTGTCAACTCTACAAATGAGCATGGCTGCAGCCATTTTTCTTCTCATTCTAGGTTGCCACATGGATAGGAGGGAGGGGGGGCGCCCAGGTGCTTTATCCGTCAAAATAATCTTTTGTCCTGCCCAGCAAGTGCTGGCTTTCTCCCTCACCATCTTTGGAACCTTTGGCCCTGGGCCCTTGAGCTGTGTGGAGGGGCACAGGAGTCACAAGAAGGAAGGAAAACTGAGCCAGCAAATAAATGTTCCTCGTGTTTATTACAATTCCTACTAGTTTAACATGAGGCTTTTCCACCATAATGCACCCTGAAAAAAAATAGGATATTCATTGTATTTTAGCCTAATCTGATTAAACTAACTAAGAGCATTAACACTGAACTGCCAGGGCCTAGGAACTATAGGGAAAACACTTCAGACCTCAACTTTTGGTTGGTAAATCTATTTCTGGAATATCCAAGGGACTTTGGGGCTAGGAAGGGCAACATACTGTAGTGCTAAAATAAAATTACATTTGTCATGTATTAGTTTAGCAACCCCCAGATTGAGGTCTATGGTTTAGCATGGTGTGTGAACAAAACCAGGATGTTTTTTTCAGTAAACCACACTAATAAATCTAGCATAATGTAACAATATAATGTATATTTTATATAAGTATATTATGTAATTATATGACATATATATATATATATACTTTAAGGAATATCAGAAATCAAAATCTAATTGACAAATACTGTAAGAATTTTTAGCATAGATATAGCAATGGAATTTGGCCTAGAAATGTGCTACAGTAGCAATAAAATGGAGTAAAATCACAAATAACTATAGAATTGAAAAACTGAATGGCCAAAATATCAGATATTGTCAGACGAAGCCTACATGGGTATTTTACAGTTGAATAACATAGATGGACATGTTAAAAATATGATTCATAAAGAATACATTCAAAGAGTGAGAAAATTGCTGCCTGAGCAGGGGATTGGACTAGATGACCTCCAAGGTCCCTTCCAACTTTATTGTTGTTGTTGTTGTTGTCAAGTAACAGATCTGCGAACACCTAGAAGCAAGCAAATCTGCAAATACCTCCAAGCTGATAGGAATAGGCAACACCCCAGATGATAGGCTCAAGATCCAGATGGAGCTCAACAGACTTAAACACTGGGCCCTATCTAACAAAATGAAATTCAGTGTAGACAAAAGGAAGGTTTTATGCATAGGCAAGAAATACCAAATATACAGGTACAGATTAGGTGAAACCTGTCTCAATAGCAGTAACTGTGAGAGGGATCTTGGAGTCCTAGTGGATAATCACTTAAATATAAGGAAACAGTGTGTGGCAGCAGTCAAAAAAGCCAATACATCCCTAAGCTGCATTAACAGAAGGATAGAATCAGCTTGACAAAACCTGCAAAAATCCTGGAAAAGATAATCAAGCAGTGAATTTGTGAGCACCTAGAAATGATCACTACAATCTCTAGAAACCAACACAGACTGTTAAAAACAGATCATGTCAGACAAACCTAATAGCATTCTGTTACGAAGTGACCAAATTAATGGACCAATGAAATATTGTGGGTATTGTTTACTTTGATGTCAAAAAGACATTTGACAAAATATATCATAGTCTGCTTCTTGGTAAGATAGAACATTGTGGGATAGATAGCATCATCACCAGATGCATTTGTAACTGGCTGGCCAACCACAGTCAACATGTAGTTTTCAATGGAACTACGTCTACATGGAGGGAAGCATGTAGTAGGGTACCACAAGGTTCTGTCTTAAAATTACTTTTCAAGTAAATGATCTAGATGAGGGGATAGAAGGAGAACTCATCAAATTTGCAGATGACATCAAGTTGGGAGGAGCATGTTAGAATATAGGCTCAAGATTCAGAAGTATCTTGACGGACTTGAATACTGGGCCCTATACAACCACATGAAATTCAGTGGTGAAAAAAGTAAGACAAGAAAAGCCGAGTGCAGAGATATTCAATAGCGATACTTGGTTCAACCACAGTAACTGTGTACAGGATCTACTTCTCAAAGTTGCCAGCTCAAAGTTGCCAGCTTCCCAGAAGGTTCCCTTCAAGACTTCTGGGAAGGTTGCTAGTTTGCTCTTGACCCTCCTGTGATAGGTCCACTGTCTCTCTTCAACCCAGCACTTTCAGAAACACCTTTCATTCCCAGAGTTCAGTCCATTTCCCCACCAGTCCAGGTTGTACTTTATGGCTTAAGAGGGCAAGCCTGGCTGCGGCAGTGTCCCCAAGATTGCCATCCGTCTTACATGACCTGGAATGTCACCTAAGTGTCCCTCTTGTATGTAAACAGTTAAATCACTTGCTAGAAGGGGCAACATCGGTTGCCCTGGTGCTGGGCTTCCCTTCAGAGCTTCCTAAACTTTCAACAAACCTCAGACATGCATATATTGGAAATTCTCAAATGGAATGGTTTCTTACCTGGAAATGGTTGGAGATTTTCCCCCATTTTTTTCTGAGAGAAGAGCTGTTCACAGCACTACCCACAGCTCTTCCTAGCTCCAAAGACTAACACAAGCTGCAGCCACAAAAATAATCCCCACCTTCTGTTTACTTGAATAACCAGATTATGAGGCGTATCAATCCTCTCCTTCACTCCCAGCCCTCATGACATAAAACTACGAAATCAATGTAGCTTCTGTGTTAAGAAGTGGGTCTGCTGGGGGTGCTCTGTGCAAAGGAGAAAGTGTGCAAGCACGCCCATGTTTGAGGGGGCATCTTGTCCTTTCCTAACCAGAGACTGTAGGGCTATCTGCATTGCAAAGCCAGGCACACTGCCACAACAGTCTGATGATCAATTATTAAAGAACTGAACTAATTCAGTTCTTTTTTAATTTCAGGAACGTTAATCAAGTTGAATCAACCCCTCCCCCCAACAGCATGGAGCCACCACTAAACAACCATGATGCTAATATTCTTTTTTAAAAATCTTTCTTGAACAGTATGGTGACAGCAATAGTTTGCCCTCAGAAAGATGAAACCAGGTTTCTAAGAGAGCCACGGTTTCTTGACCAAGTGGCTGGTGTCTACTTGGCTTCAACAAAAATAATGTAGGAAGGGAGGCAGGCTCATGTTGCAGTAGAGAGAAACCGTTGTGCAGGGCTTGGACCCTTTGCAAACAATAGAGGGCAAAGCCAAACAGCTAGCAATTTTCAGATGCACCCACCCATCCTGCAAGCTCTCTGATTCCTGCACATCGGCCTTTGGAAAGAAGAGGGGAAAGATCAGGAAGACTAGATCCCCCTCATCGCTTGAGGAAGGCAAGTAAGATTTTACACTTCATCCCTACTCTGTAACGAATAGCGTCCAGTTTATGCAAGCCCACTGGCTCTAAGCAGGGCACGTTGCATCTTCTGAGGGGTTGGGAGATGCAAACCATGTCTGTGCATTTACGCACATGCAAAGATATTCAAATGCCAATGAACATGGGTTCACAATACCTTTCCCTGCTCCAGAGGCCACCACCATGGCTGCCCTCCCAGCTCTCCTCCTCTTTCTTGCCTTTAAGGCAGCCACCACCACTCTACTGAACAGCTTTCACAGTCCTCCTGCACAAGCCATGTTTTGGCTCTTGCATTGCAAGCACTTGTGATGATGTGGCAAAAGCAGTTTTCAAACAACTCTGAAGAGGGGATCACAAAAGACCCTGAAAAACCAAGTGTATTTCCAGGACTATGGTTGCCTCCTCTGGTCTGGACAGAAAGGTGCTAAGAGGTGGGTCTGGCTCTGGAATCACCATATGGGGTCATTTTCAAGAATAAATGGATGTGGGACATCTTCCTCAAACGCTTTGCTTCTGATTGCTGGGGGAAGGACTTTCTCTCCTTTGGAAAAGGATGGGTTTCATTCTCAGACAAAAGTGTTCCGTTCTGCAAAACAAGTGAGGACCATGTCCCTGTTCACTCCTATGGCACAAAAACAAGGGACCTTGAGGCCAAAGGAAGCCCTCACTTTTTAAGATTGGGCATCCCAACTAGCAAGTTCCAGAAGGCAGGACAATGTCCCTCTGTGGACAGGAGAAGGAGGGGTTTTTTTCTCTCGCACACTTAAGGATTGTGTAAAATCTCAGCAGGATGTCTTCCTGCGAACACCAGAGAAAGCAAGCAACTATTCTGGTATGCAGCCTATTAAGCTTTTATAAGTAGCTTATGAAGTAGGCTGAAGGGAACATTTCTGTTTTGGGCTACAGAAGAAAACCAGCCATTCCTAAAACAGTACTTCCTGCCACATCCTAGGTTGAGATCCAACAATTAAAATGGCAATTTAAAGCAGCTCTTCATTTTTTTTAAAAAAACAGAAGTTGTTATCTCCATGTGACCTTTGGACTCTGACCTTTGAGGACATCTTCATCTTTTAGGTATCTTTAGCTAAGTGATTGTTTCTACAATGGTCTAAAAACTGTCTCCAGCTTTGAACAATCAGTAGAAGTTGATTTATCACTAACATGTACTCCAGTCTTAATTATTAATTAATTAATTCTAAAAGTTGCTGGGAATATAATGGGCAACCAGAAAGCTTTGCGGAGTTGGTAGCAATGGGCTCTACATGGGGCTGCCCCACCACTGCAATTTAATTTTTAACTTGCTTTATAAAAGATACACTTCTCGGCTATACTAACACAAAAAAGCAAGAAGTCAAAAAGTAATCATTTTGTAGATAGTGACTGATTTGAATCTGATTAGACCTTTGCTATATAGGTGGTGATGCAATTCAACCAATTTTTATAAATGTCTTAAGCCTGCCACTTGCTCCGGGTTTGAAAACATATAGAGGTAGATTACCCTATTTAACAGTCGTTCGAAGTTATGTCAATGCTGAAAAAGTAACTTTGCGTCCAGTTCTTATGACCATCACAGCAACCTGCAGTCATGGGATCATCATTTTGCCCTTGATAAGCAAAATCAAAGGCGAAGCTGTAATAAAATCCCAAGTCAAGGCCACATGATGTCTCCCTTAACTATCTGCAGAGACATACTTTTAATGACCAAGTGGGAAGTGAAGTTGTAAATCTGCTGTGGTTGTAAGTCTGTTGTGTTATGTTTAGCATGTCCTTACAGGTCTCACTTGTGATTGCTGAGTACTGACTGTATCCTGCGCCTTTGTAGACTGTTATAATGCTGGTAAAAGTTCAGTTGATCAGTGGATGGTGACAAAGAGACAATGGTTCATTGCCGCTATTCTGCTATGGCCCAGGCAGGGCAGCCTCACTGACAAGGAGGCAGCAGCACTCACGATTCCTGCCTTGGTACATAGCTGTTGGAGATTCTCCCACGTCTACCCTATTTCACCTGTTTCTATTTTTATTTGGATTTTAAAACTCTTTTCTCATAAAACATTTAAAATCAGAGATCCTATGTTTTCCTTCCATTTCACTACTCTATATTTCTGCATAATGTATGCCTGGCAGTCAACTACATGCAGCCATAGAAGTAATTCCGTCATTACTGAAATGAAATTTGCAGGTCTTGGTAGCACAAAGTCAACCCTTCTAAACATGGTGGAATCCTGGCTTGTTTTTAGTGCTCTATTTTCCTTCCTCCTCTACTCACTGGTCCTGCTGGCGTGGTCATTTCCACTCACATCACCTGTCCGCCTTCCTTCTTCTGTGTCCGAATGGATCTGCTGCTTGTAGGGCCTTTTGCATTCACCATTTTTATCTTGGCTGAAGGAGGATCTCCTTTTGCGTCTTTTTTTCTGGTTGCTATGGGGCCTTGGTAGCCCAATGTAAATGGAATGATAATCTGCTAGAGGAGACAGCCAAGCAGCACACACAGAGAGAATGAAAAGGCTCCCCATTCATAAAAATACCACACAGCATGCATAGTGTGTTAAAATAGTCTCCCAAGAATAGAACAACAGAACAGAATAGAATATTTATTGGACAAGTATGATTGGATAGACAAGAAATTGGTCTCCAATGCATAAGCTCTCAATGTACATCCAAACAATAAAGTAATGTAATCATAAGATACCAATAGGAGAAGGTAGTAGTAAAGATGAGAAGGATAATAGTAATCCAGCCCTACTACATGGGTAAATATCCTTTAGACACAAGACATTGCTGTGGGAATTGAGTATTCAACAGAGTGATGGCATGGGGCGGGGAGGGGGGGGGAGAGAACTGTCCCTGTGTCTGGTTGTTTTGTCATGCAATGCCCTATAGCGACATCCTGAGGGAAGAATTTGAAACAGTTTGTGTCCAGGATGTGAGGGGTCTGTAGATATTTTCTCGTCCTTTTTTCTGGTTCATGCAGTATACAGATCCTCAGTGGAAGGCAGGCTGGTTGCAGTTGTTTTTTCTGCAATCCTAACTATCCATTGAAGCCTATACCTGTCCTGGTTGGTTGCAATGCCAAAGCAGACAGTTTATTGAGGTACAAATGACAAACTCAATAATTCCTCTGTAGAACTGTATTGGCAGTTCCTTGGACAGTCTGAGCTTTCTGAGTTGATGGCAGGAAGAACATTCTTTTTAATGATGTTCTAATATTAGGTGTCCATTTCAAGTCCTGGGAGATAATAGAACCCAGACACTTGAAGGTCTCTACTGTTGATACTGCGTTGTGTAATATTGTAAGAGGTGGTAGCATAGGGAAGCTCCTCCTAAAATCCCATATCAACTCTACAGTTTTAAGTGTGTTCAGCTCCAGATTGTTCTGGATACAACCTCCTGTCTGCATGCTCATCACTATCTCAAATGGGACCAGTGACTGTTGTATCATCTGCAAAGCTCAGTACTTTAACAGCGGGAGGGAGGTGAATGGATAGGTTTGTGAAAGTCATGTAAATGGGGGCATGGCATAATGTAACAACTGCATCTCTTGGCTCTTAGAATTTAAGGGAGTTGGTCTGTATATGCCTTTCTGATAGTTTGACAACTTCTTAAAAATAATTCAATCTTTTACAAGCAACCAAATTTTGTTTTAATGGGCCAATTTCATTCCACATAGAAAGCTGACATTTCCACTCATTAAACTAAATGGGTGTGCCAGTGGTAAATGTCCCAAAAGATTAATAAAATGCCTTCTTGTAATTTAAAGCCACACAGTGCATGGTAACATTGATAGTATTAACTTACCTTATACAAAATCCTAGTCTTTTAGATACATTAAAAATTGAAGGGTTTTTTTTTTCAACTACAAAGGTAAACCTTGTAGGGTAGGCAAGGCAGGTTATACGTCGTGTGTAAATTCCGGTACTTTTTTTTTTTTTTTTACAAAAAAAGCATCGCATGTAACTAAAACATCTAAATGATATTTTACTCAGGGAAGTACGCAAGGGAAATGAGGGGCGTATTCCACGCCCAAGGGATGTGTGACATCAGAACTGGAAAAATCATTGTGCCACAGTGGAAGAATCTACGGCCGAATCAAGGAGAAGCTCTGGAGAAATGGTTCACCTTACCCTCTTCATCCCCATATCGCATTCTGAAGGTGCTGAGGCATCTCTCGCCCAGGGTGTCATGCTCGTGCATCATGGCCAACCAGTAAATGCTATCATAGATTTAAAGATAAAAAAATTATTAAATAATAATGAAATTCTAATACAGCTAGTGAGAAATTACTAATTCACTACTTTAAAAGCAAAAAAAAATGAAATAAGGAGCAATGAAAAGATTAATGAGAAATAATTACTCAATATACCATTCCTTTTGGAAGACGCAGGATTCTGCAAAGGGAAGAAATTGAGTACTTAAGATGTAAATAAGGGGAAAAAATGCAATTATACATGAACCATGGTGCTGCAGCGATTAGAATATTGTATTGCAGGCTAACTCTGCTCAAACTGCCAGGAGGTTGATTTCTTTGATCCTGACTAGCCAAACCCAAGTCCTGCAGTGTCTCCACAATGAGGGGGCTCCAGAGCTGCAAGACCTGGATGGTTTCATGCAGAGGTTGCAGGACAGATTCAGGAGCCCCACAGCAGCCCGGCATGCAGGGAACTGCATCCGCTGCCTGGGGCAGAACAAATGGCCAGTGGCAGAGTACATCCAAGATTTTCACAGCCTGAGAGACTGGCCCGAGCGTATGCTGGTCTACCAGTTCTGGGAGGGGCTGAACAAGGAGCTGTATCACAACTGCCTGCTGTGGGAGGTGCCCCATGACCTTCAAGCGTGGTACCAGTTAGCCACAAATGTGGAGCTTGACCTGATGGAGTACCGGGAGCACACTGCACCTGAGAACTGGCCCCGCTGAATGACCAAGAGATGCCCAGCGCCCTGTGGAGGAAGAGGCAGTGCACCTCCTGCCACGGGAAGACACCCTGCCGGAGCCTGGGAGGGTGTTTCTGATGTGGGAAGGAAGGCTATTGAGCTGCTGATTGCCTCGCACCACGGCTGGCATCTGCACCGCAAGCCCCGGCCGAACTGAAGCCAAAAAAACAACTGCGAAGCCGAAGGAGAAAACATGGGCAGCTCAACAGGTCAACAGGTCCCCAATCCAGCAAAGGGGAGGGAACTCTGGCCCACAACAAGCTTGGCTTGGTCTTCCACAAGAGCGGCACTGAAGGGGAAGACGACCTGACGGTAAGCGCCTCCGTTCTCCCTATGATGATCTGGGTGGGGAATTTGGTGCCCTCCGCCGGGGGCCCTCACAGCCTTGCTGGACTCAGGATGCCCTCGGTGCCTGATTAGCCTTCAGACACTAAATTGAAACAAGCTTGAAGAACAAATCACTGCCAAAATCTAAAACCCGAGCTACAAGTATTTTCTCTTATTTCAATGCATATTAATTTCCCAACTGCCCTTTATGGGCGACTGGGAAAGATGTGGTCACATTTCATGGCAGAAAAATCAATCCCTTCCAAAGTCACTTTGACAGGGACCAACAGCTAAACCCAACACTGGTCTCTCCCTCTGGCATCTACAGGCTGTTTATTACCGCACGCTGAGAAAAATAAGAGGAAATGTGGTCTTATTACAGTTAGGTCAAAAGTAGATTTATATTATAGTATATTAAACCTGGAATATAATTTTAAAATTTTATTATTTTATTTTCATTACAATCAGATAAAATTCAGATACATAAAAAGATAAATTAAACCTGGAATATATATTAAAACTGCCACCAATGAATACAGTAAGTTGCTTAACCATGCTTTTTTATAAGTTACACACCACAGCTTAAATTAAATAAATGCCTTTCAGTCACAACTTAATTAAAAAAAATGTCGCAGTAGAGTTCTGGATCTGGTATTATAAGCGTACTTTAAAAATTGAACAAAAATTCAGACTATTTTTTACAAATAATACAAATGAATACCTTCTTCCATCTATGATACCTTTTTTTTGGAAGCCTCTCCCTTTGAAGCATTCTTTTTCTCAACAGGCCTACAAAGAATTCTGAACTGTTCAGATAATGTACTTACAGTTGAACCTTCCCAAGAAATGCTCCAGACTACATTCAGGGGACTCGGTCAGCATCTGGCCGGCTGCATGCTTTGGATCCCACTAAGTCCTGGACAACTGGCAGAGTCGGCAAGAGGCCAATGGATGCTGGGATAGTATCGATCCACAAAGGTTGCAGCAGCTTCTCTCTTGAAATGTGTGTGACATGATGTGGATTGATCCCTTCAGAGCAGCAAGGAACTGGATCATGGGATGGTTCTCATGCTCATACATGTGTGTGTTCAGACAAATTCTGACCCATTTAATGCACAGCCCGTTTCAAGCAGCCAATTATCCCATAGCTGATAAAGATATTAAGCAGAATGTGTTTCTAGGTCTTGGATGGGTTAAGATTGTTAGCTGCAGGGATGAAAGTGCCTTAGCCAAACTGTTTGGTCCTTGTTGAATGGTCTGAATGAGCAAATACGAGGGAACCCTGGCAAACAGAGGCCTCCCCCCACACATCCCTGCTCTGGAGTTTTCCCAGTATCACTAGTCTGAAAACATATTAGAGAGATAGTTGGAACTTCGAAGGAATCTCTCTCTGAGCTCGGTTCTTTACTTGCAGACCTTTCATTACCCAACACGGTTGATCATTAACATCATCCGTGCCAATGTATGGAGGTTTGCTCCCGATTTATGTACAATACAGGTAGCTCTTGACTTTCAACCATTTGAAGTTATAATGGCACTGGACAAAATGACTTACAAGCGGTCCTCTCACAATTGTTGCAGCATCCCCAGTCATGGCTGGTTTGTCTGAATGCCAGAAATTCCCTAGCATTTTTAGGTTTGGCTTGGTCTAGGATGGTCACAGCTTCCGAGCTGAAACTATGGTTGAGTCTGTCCATGAGATTTAGTAGTTTTCATTGTGTCTTGATTGCTCATTGATATTCATGGATGAGCTGAACCTGTCTGTCCTACACAGTGGCAGTTAGTCTGCAGGTTGGAGATGACTTCTGGTTTTCCTACTTGGGCTACTTACTTGGAAGGGGCCTTGGAGGTCTTTTAGTCCAGCCCCCTTATCTTTTTAAAAAGAGTCTAGACAGTCAGACAAGCGGCTGTCTAGACTCTTTTTAAAAATCTCCAGTGATTTCTGGGGGCAAGCTATTCCACTGGTTAATTGTCCTCACTGTCAGGATATGTCTCCATTTTGTAGTATGGTGACCAAAATTGGTTGCAGTATTCCAGGTGTGGTCTTACTAGGGTTTTTAAACCGGTACTAATACTTCATGTGATCTTGATTCTATGCCTCTGTTTATACAACCCAGGATTGTATTAGCTTTTTTGGCTGCTGCCGCACACTGCTGGCTCATAGTCAAGTGATTGTCCACTAGGACTTTAAGGTCCCTCTCATAGTTGCTGTTTTTGAGCCAGGTCTCACCTAATCTGTACTTATATCTTTTATTTTTCCTGCCTAAATGTAAAATTTTGCTTTTCTCTACATTAAAATTCATTTTGTTGGATAGGGCCCATTGTTCAAGTCTATCAAAATCTTTTTGGATTCTGAGTTTGTCTTCTGGGGTGTTGGATACTCCTGCCAGTTTTGTGTCATCTGCAAATTTGATGAGTTCCCCTTCAATTCCTTCATCTAAGTCGTTTATGAAGATATTGAAGAGAACTGGGCCTAAGACAAGGCCTTGTAGTACCCCAATGCTTACCTCTTTCCATGTGGATGTAGTACCATTGAGGACTACTCGTTGAGTACGGTTTGTCAGCCAGCTACATAACCATGTGGTGGTGATGTTGTCTATCCCACATTTTTTCTAGCTTACCAAGAAGTAGGTTGTGGTCTACTTTGTCGAATGCCTTACTGAAATCTAAGTACACTATGTCCATAGTGTTTCTCTGGTCTAGATGGTCCTCAACTTATAACAGTTCATTTAGTGACTGTTTGAAGTTACAACGGCACTGAACAAAGTGACTTATGACCGTTTCTCGCATACTTACGACTGTTGTAGCATGTGATCAAAATCCAGGCGCATGGCAACTGGTTCATAGTAATGACAGTCGCAGCATCCCAGGGTCGTGAGATCTCTTTTGCGACCTTCTGACGAGCAAAGTCAATGGGGAAGCCAGATTCACTTCAACAACTATGTTACTCACTTAACAACTGCTGTAATTCACTTAATTATGGCAAGGAAGGGCATAAAATGGGGCAAAATCACAACTGTCTTGCTTAGCAACAGAAATTTTGGGCTCAGTTGTGGTCGTAAGTTGAGGACTACTAGAACAGACTGTTTCCCAGTTTCTTACCCGGTGCCTTAACTAGCACACCATTTGATGGGCTCTCTTGATACACTCGGGACTATTTTCCACACATGGGATGACGTGAACTGTGGTCCGTGAGGGTGTCTATCCACTTATTGGTAAATCTCTGTGGATGCAAAAGAGACTGTGTTTGCTGCCAAAGATTAACACAACTCCAATCCATGTCCAACCATTTATTTATTTAATCAATCAATTGATCAGTCAAAATCGATCATAGCCGCTACACTATCAAGGTATCCGGATTACAAATCGGGGCTTATACAAATCATGAAAAACAGAAGCAAAGAATATATACAGCAAAATTCAAAAGCAGCATGACTAGAAAAGAACAAGATTTTACAAGAGTTTCTGTACCTCGTCAATACAGGCCTTTTTTCAAAATGAGTGCATTTCCTAAGGAAGATATTTATTTAACAGCCCATGTTGCTGTGAGATTTTCACTAATGCAGAAGGCACCTCCTTTTCAGGCCTTCTGCTCCTGCTCAGTAAAGGTAACACACTTTATCCTCTAATAACAGTTCATTGTAGATCCTTTGCTTGTCCACAACAGGGTCACTAAGGTGCATCTGATTGGTGACAGGATGCCACATCGTGGCCCAAGTCCACCATCGCATGTAAACACTCTGGGAGAGAGCCAGAATAAAGGTTAGTTTTCAAAGGGTCAAACAATGTGGGATTGGCACATCTGTGGATGTTTTGCAATCTTTCAGATGGAAACATAAGATTTATTTTATTTTGGACATCCACATATATCATTACCTGTATGCCAATTCCTTGCTTTTCATGGTCATCCTCAGAATTTTTTATGGTGATATTAGTACTACAGTCTGTAAAATGGAAAGAACTGGATATGTCTGCATTACAAGATTCTTGACTGGTTGGGTTTTTGTAGTGAAGAAACTGCTTTAAAGTCATCAAGAGACTTTTTTTTAATTAAAGCACTAATTAAATTTGAAACGAATGCAAAAAATTGGACCATCTACTAGCTAATATGTAGAAAAATGCAGGGGTAATATTTTAACGATCTGGTGTACAAAAGTTCTTTTTTCTACTAAATTTCTAAAATGTAAAAACTATAAAACGAAAAAACTTCTACATTTCAGGGTTTTGTTTTTTTTAAATAAAAAAGGTATTAAAAGTTAAGAGTCTCAAAACTGGAAAAAACCTACTTGAATTTTAAACTCAACCTAGTATGCAAAAAAAATTATTGAGTAGTTGTGTACATTTCAGAAGGCAAAGCACAATGCCCACAAATCTCTTTGCTTGGCAGGCTGGCATTGACTAGTCTCTCTGAAATGGGCACTGCGGCCACCTAACGGCTTCATACTTGGCCGTGGCTAATGGCAGTCTCCACCTCGTTCCCATCGTCTTTGTCACAGACTGGGATGTAACCGCCTTCTCGAGGCAAACACCAGCACCAGCCGGCCCCCGTGAGGTCCAGAGTAGCAAAATTGAAGTTGCTCCAGTCTAGTTGCCTGAAGTCCACGGTGTCCATTTGGGAATGAATCTCATTGAGCTTTTGCCAATGTAGCCAGGCCATCACCAAGCCAAAGACCTGCAAGAAGACAGGGGAGACCTGTTAAAGGACCTCTTAGAATATGGCCATCCTGTCCTATGGGTTGGCTGGAATTACTGGGGTCTTCGCCAATCAACTGCAACACCAAACCAGAATGGGAGGATTAGGCTCTGGCATTTCTTGGGTTCTGCTGCCTTTTCATGGGCAAAATGCAGCCCCCCCTAAACAACCTTCAGAGAACAAAATGGATCTTTACCTGAGGGAGGAGCAAAGAGCAAACAATCGCTAAAGTAGCTTCAAAATTGTCTTTGAACCAAAAGCTCACTGCATGGATGCAGCCACGTACGTAGATGGTGTTCACCAACTCCAGTCGCCACAAAAAGAATAAATTGCTAATTAATGACATGATACCGCTCATCCTGGCACAAGTCATTGGCATTTAGAACTCCAGTCATACATTCTGCTCTTACATTTGACTGATGGAAATTTTAAAGAATTTTAAAGAATTTGCACTTTCTGACCAACAACAGGGAATATGGGATGAAGCATTCATTGGCAGGTTATCAGTTTGTTTTAAAGTTCCAACGCTTACCCTTTTCTCCAAAAGGAAGGAGGAAAAATCCATCACACCATTAAAAGGGTGAGTGAGACTGCTTCTATAGGTGGTGAGCGGCTCAGAAAATCTGGCACCGGACTGACTCTTGCCCAAGGCCTGCCATCTCTGGGCGTACCCCTCAGGCTTTTGGATCTTCAGCCTCAGGCGCCATCCTAAGCCAGGGCAGTTCTGCTCTATGGGGAGCTCAGCAGCAACACTCCCAAAGCATCTGTTTCTTTCTTTATATATATCACACTTCATAACCACCCATCTCCCTGCCTGCCCACTCCTGTTTGGCATTCAACTCAGCCCAATGAACTTCAGTTGCTACCTCTTGATTTAGTGTCTGGTATCCACACAGAGTGTTGATGACTTCTCCGGGAGCCTGCAAAGACAAAAAGAAGAGTGTTTAATAACAGCACATGGAAAGTGGTTCTTGCCCTTTTAGCAACACTTCAAAAATAATTTGTCACTCCCTCTTTCTGGAATATTTTCCCAGTTCCTAGTCTAAAGAGCCAGTTGGATGTAGTGGTTTAAGATCCTGGGCTAAAGTCAACATGAACTCATAGAGCAAAATGGACATCGCCAACAAATTCGGGGTGCTTGGGTATGGTTAGGAGGGCACTGACATTTCTAGCCTGCCCTATCTTTGTTTCCTGGTAAAATACATGGGAAAATCCCATTAGAGGAAAATTCCACTTAGGGTTAGGTCACCATGAACTCATAGAGCAAAATGGACATCGCCAACAAATTCGGAGTGCTTGGGAATGGTTAGGAGGGCACTGACTTTTCTAGCCTGCCCTATCTATGTTTCCTGGTAAAATACATGGGAAAATCCCATTGGAGGAAAATTCCACTTAGGGTTAAAGTTAGATCACCATGAACTCATAGAGCAAAATGGACATCGCCAACAAATTCGGGGTGCTTGGGTATGGTTAGGAGGGCACTGACATTTCTAGCCTGCCCTATCTTTGTTTCCTGGTAAAATACATGGGAAAATCCCATTGGAGGAAAATTCCACTTAGGGTTAGGGTTAGGTCACCATGAACTCCTAGAGCAAAATGGACATCGCCAACAAACTCCGAGTGCTTGGATATGGTTAGGAGGGCACTGACCTTTCTAGCCTGCCCTATCTATGATTCCTGGTGGAATACATGGGCAAGCCTCTTCCCCCTCACCTTCCTAATACAGCACGTGTAGGGCACTCCACAGGCCAGAGGGCCACTGCCATTGCATGAATGGTATGGATTCACATGCCAGTCACTGAATTCATCACCTCCACAGCAGGAAAACTGCAAGACAAAGAGAAGAGCTTAATGCATAGCTTCATCTTTCAATCATTAAAATAAAACAATGAGGTAATTCCAGGAAGTTCCAGAACAGAGGCCTTTAGTCTTCAAAGAGACTGGCCTGCTTTAAGCACACAAGAATATTTATCTGAAGAGACCGATGCTCACTTTGTAAAGCTGAAGGAAAACATTTGGTATAGCAGTTGCTGCTTTACCCAGGGAAAGATGGAACTGTGGCCATCTCTGCTTAACAGGCAACGCTTCTTCCTTCTGTTCTACAAATGTCTGTGCTGCTCCTTGGGATTCTTCTAATGCATGTGACGTGTTGCGATGTATTGCGACTCCTTTGCCATTGCTGGCAATGGGGTGGGCGCTGTTTTGCTAGGATGGATCCAGCCCATGCGCCGGCAGTTTGACACCCCTGTTCTAATGGATCAAGGGTGAGTGAGTGGAAGAGGATCTTCCAGTGGCTGAATCTTTTACATGTTCATGCTGAAATGCCAAGTGACAGAAATGGGAGGCCACTTTCAACAGAATCATCAGGAGACTGGAATGAATTTGTTTGGGGCAAAACCTTGTCTGAGGCCAGAGCAGTCTAGCTGGGATTTTAGCAAGACCTCCTCACCTCCCTCTGAGAGTGGGATGAAATAGCCAAGTGGCAGCAGACACCTGCAATTCCTATTGAACCCATGGCAGAAGGTTTGTTTTCCTCAAGTTTCAAATTGAAACTTTCCTGCTGGTCACTGTCAAATAGAGAACAGTTCTAACAACAGCTTTCTGCCAAAAAAAAAAAAAAAAAAGCCGTAACAGAGATAAAAAGAAGCTGGATATGACAAAAATGCTCTGGACTAAGAAAGAACACTTACACTTTCTACCCATCAGTGTAGATGAGTCAAATTCTTAAGAGCATATATTAAAAATGAAAATGAAAACATTAAAAATGTTCTTGGAAGCCTTTGAAAAAGTGCTTTTTAATCTACAAGATTTCTTTGAAAATTTGGATAAAAAGCCTAATGAAGCAATAGTAATAATATATCAACCTAAAGAGGACATTATACAGGCAGCAGCAGAATCAGATTTGCAATTGGATGGATTGGAAATTGATTTGTTGCTGACAAGAGTTGGAGGAGAAGGAATTTTGCTGGAAAATTACAGATTTGGCAGAGAAAGCTGAAGACCAATGGATCCAAAAAATTTAGAGATGACAGAATGGTGTGATGAACTGGACTTACTTAAGAAAATTTATGGACTTTTTGAACAATAAATATTCTGGAGATATCTACAACAGAGAGCTATGATTCTGGGGAATGAAATTCAATTATATGGAAAGACCTTTTTAAGGACAAGTTTTATTATTAAGAATCAATCAAAGATATTTGATCCTGGACAGACCAGGGACAATGACCATAATGGTTAAGATTGAAATTTAAACTGAAGCCATTGCAGACATTCTGTGAGTAAAACACAATAGTGGATCATTAACAGACATTTTGAAGTTAGTTTCTGTTGCTGGGTTGTTTCATTTTACAGTAGATAAATTATAGGTCAAATTGTTTGGGTAAATAGAATCGTAGAAAGATATATTATAGATCTGTTTCACAAAGGGGGAAAACTACTAACGTTGTAATATATTTAGCAGTATTCAATTAAGGGGGACAATATATTTTCTTCTTTTTTAATTAATCCACTTGTTTTTGTTTTTTTGTTCTTGGTTGTTTTTTGTGAATTTGTATTTTAACTTTTGAATACAAAAATGAAAACAAAATAAAACTAAAATAAATAATAAAAGGCATAAACTTTGTGAAGTACAGCTCACTTCATCAAATACGTCATGCATCACAAAAGTATATGCCTTTTAATATAATTTGTTAGACTGAAAAGGTGCCACTCGGGTCCTCCTGATTTTGGCCTATTACAGACCAACATGGCTCTCCTGCAGGATCTACTAGGAGAAGTGGCCAGATCTCTGAATAACTAGGGAGAGTCCTGGGGACATTCCCCACTTCAGATGTTGTTCCCCAAGAATTCTGTTTCGCCTTCAAGCTTAAGAAATTATCCTGTTTGCCAAGAGGCCACCCGGAGTCCCAGATGAATGGGAGAATCCAACGAAGGAGAATATTTTTAGCTCAGGGTTGAAACAGGGGATTCTTGGTGCTCTCCGAACTTGGTTGCCTCCTTGCAGATGTTTCATTGCCCAAACTCGGTAACATCGTCAGTGCCAGAATGGGAAAATCTATCCCAGATTGGACACATATTATTTAGCAGAACAAGGCATTCTGGATCGGTCTAGCGCCCTTTAACCTTTCTCCAATATTACTTTTGTTATAGCAAAATGACAGTTGACCCAAAAATACAGCGTTACCTTTTGCTGAACATAATCCAAAATATTTTTGAAATCCAAGTCGTCATAATAGTGCCTTATTCCATCCTGAATGCTGGAATGGAACATTGCATTCATCTGCAAGAAAACGATATTGATGTCAGGCTGATTGGTCTGTAGTTTCTTGAATCTGGTCCCCCCCCCCTTTTTTTGGAAGATGGGAACCACATAAGCTCTTTTCCAGCACCTGTGTAGTTCCCTGATGCTCCAGGATCTTTGAAATCTCTGGTTCAGTGATTCAGAGATCACATCTGACAGCTCCTTCAGGATTCTGGGATGTAATCCATCTGGTCCTGGCAACTGGAACTCATCTAGAGCAAACCGGTATTCTCTTGCCACTTTTCTGCCTATTTTGACTTGTGTTCCTAATCTGTCTTTTACGGTTCCACTACCGTTGGGCTATTTTTTCCTTTTTGTGTAAAGGCAGATGCAAAGAACTAATGACGCCCCCCCCCCAATAATAATAAAGTTGGAAGGGACTTTGGAGGTTATCTAGTCCAATCCCTGCTTAGGCAGGAAACCCTATACCAGTGACTGATCCAGAGAGCTTACCTGCTTCTCGAAGGTGATTTCGACCAGCAGCAGCAGCAACTCAGTGAAGAAAATGGCCAAGAGGACCCAGAAGAACTAGGCAAGAGAGACAGAAAGGTGGGAGGGAACCAAGAGTCATTAAAACAGGATTCTTTAGCATTGCTGTGGCATTAGAACAACGTTGATCACCTTCCTAAAATACAGACAAGTTGCAGAAAGAACTTTTTGCTACATCCAATGGCAGGAGATGCCACGGGTTGTGGAAAAGTGCCTTACGGTTTTCAGCAGCATCCGGTTGTCTCGGAGGGAGCCCACCATGCCAATAAAAGAAACAGCAAAGATTGTGAGGCCCAGGAGGATGAGAATGACTGCTGGGGCGAGGAACAACCCTTCCAGGGTCCGGTGCTTCTGTCTTTCTACTTCGGCATAAATGCCCACACAGAAGATGAAAAGGCCGATCATCTGCAGAGGAGCGGAAGGAAAAGCAACTTAGACCCTCCCCGCCAAGCCCCATTTCAAAGCCAAGTCCCTGGGCCTCCAGCCAGCAAACAGAGCTGGTGGGGAGATGGCCAGGAAGGGTCTGCAGAGGTGACCTGTCAACTTTCTTGATCCAGCTCTTCTATTGGTAACCCCAGAAAAAAAATCTTCCAACATAAAAACATATTTCACAACTTAAAATTAATACATGAATGTCAGACCAAAGGGCTATAGATCTGCATGTATTTATATCTTCCATAATTTATCGTGATGAGCTATAGATGGCTGATTGCTGTTTTCATTATTAAAATATTTTATAAAGTTATTCCATACAGTAAAAGCACTTGTCTCCTTTATTTTTTCACTTGATTTCAATTTACATATGTAAATTGCACTGTATCAAACCAATTTTTATTAGATGCCTACTCTAGATGTTTCCAATATTTTACTAATATAGCAGATGATCACATGATCTTGGGGATGCTATGAGGTCGTAAGTGTGAAAAACAGTTGTCACCTTTTTTTCAATGCCGTTGTAATTTTGAACAATTACTCAAGGAATGGTGGTAAATTGAGGGCAATCTGTACTTGTCAGTTCAGTCAAGGTGTGTTTCATTCCCACAGTACCTCCCTGTGGGTGAGATACGTAACACATCCCCTCTTATTATGTCCTGTCCACCCTCTCTAGGCAGCTCTTGCGCATGAACTCAGCTCCAGGAGTCTCTGCAGCAAAATTAGACCCCTGCTGAACATCCACCCCTCAGGTCTCATTCAAGCTCATTCAGGTCAAACTTTTGAGAAGTGCGATGCTATCTGAATTCAGCAGCAATACTTTAATTACTCAAGAAGATTTTAAAGGGCATTATTATTAAATTCAGCCTTCATGTCAGTTGCAGGTTTCCCGCCCCATCAAAGTTTAAGTTTCAGTGAATTCTGTCAATGAACAGAAGGAGACACAACCTCTGCATGGGAGAAAAGGTAAACACAACTTCTTTCTGCAAGTGTGAACACTCTCTTTCCGGTTGAGTGAAGCTCTTGGCAGTTTCAAAACAAAAAAGTAACAAACATGGCGAGTGCAGAAATTTTGCCACCTTTTTAATATCTCCTCTGACAAGAAAAATTGTCTCCAAACATTTGCTGTCTCACTTAAGAGCCTGGTGAGATTTTTTTTTCTCAATTTTTCACACAGAACTATTCAGATCAGAAATATCCTTAGGTCTCATTGCAGGCACCACGTTTGTTTGCTCTTATTTTATTCTGTAAATAAAATAGCACTGGATCAACAGGAAGGTGCCCAAATTTGGTACCACACAGAGGTGGTGTCAGCTTCTATTCAACTAGGGATTCATTGAAACATATGATTTGGCTCAACTTTAGGTGTAACTGTACAGTTTGATTTCCATGGGCCCAGCTGGTGGTTTCCTACCCTTTCTGGCCTTTGCAGAATAGCATGATGGGTGGATTTGTGTACATGCATGCACACAAATCCATCCATCATGCTATTCTGCAAAGGCCAGAAAGGGTAGGAAACCACCAGCTGGGCCCATGGAAATCAAACTGGGAGGAAGCTGAGAGTAGGTGAACCAGCCAGGTAGAGGAAGGAGATGGTTTATTGAGTGGAGAAGCAGCGGCCAAACAGAAAAGCTTCCAGCAGCAAAAGCAATTCAGGCTGGATCACGTCTTGTGGCTCTAGGAAAAGGAAACCAAAACACCAGGAGAACAAGAAGGAAGACGTCTCCACTGGCTTCTGCAGGACGGGGACGGGTCAAATATGCATGAGGGAAAGCATCTCTCCCATGATGACCACCAGAAGACTTTGGACAATGTGGCAACGGAGACGTTCATCCATGTCCAGGAAGTCAAGATCTGCTCTTGTCCCAGAAAACAACTCTCAAAGAAACCAACTGGTGCCACAGATTAGATGCTGATTTAATGCTAGCTCTTGGAGAAGAAACCCCCCCCCCACTCTGCATGTACGATGGGCACACTAGCCTTGGGAAGAGAAGCTTCTTTCCTCCTTAGGGAAGGCCTCTTCTTCAGGGAGGCCTTCAAACATTTATCTTCCCAGAGCTTTGAGGTGGTTGTGCCTGGCAGGGAGGGGGCAGGAAATGCCTTGGTAAACAAATGTCAGTCACCTTCTAATCCACCACCACAGCAAGGCTGCCAGAGCTCTCCATCTTCACACAGCGGATCACAGGAAAGGACAGCAGTTTAATTCCGCTTTAAAGGTCAGTTATTTCAAACCAAGCAGCAGCAAGTGCCTTATTAAAAACAGCACCAGAGATCCTGTAAATGCCATCCGTCCCTCACAAGCCTTCTTCTGAAACAGCAGCAGCCAGGAGGGGGCATTCCCTCAGCCCCTCCAAACAAAGAAAACCATACAAATGCACGCATGGACACATTACAGATATAAAAGGGTATTAATTTTTGGAAAGAAGCCGAGAAAAAGAAGTGAAAAAGTCACAGAACCGTACAAAACTTTCCCCAAGTCTGACTTTCTGAATCTGCATTAATACCAGATTCAACTCTTCTGCTGCTCCCTTATTTGTTATTTTCATGGCTTTTTGAAAACAAAAATTTGCCTGCAAAGTGTGCAAACCACTTTGAGATTGAACCATTTCAAATGTGTAATGTCCTGATTTGAAATGGCCTCTTTTGATTATTTTGAAGTTTTCAAGCAAGAAACAGGTTTTTGAACTCAAGAGTTGATTTATGCGCAGAGCACTTCAACCTAATGAAAACTTGGGTCAAACATGAAACAAACATTTCAAAATTGAAATTGTTCAAATATGAAGGATTTGTGATGATTTGTTGGGTGTAACTGGAAACATCAATCAATTTCTTTTACATTTTAACCTTTTTATATAGCATTTCAAAATAAGGAAGCACCCTAACCCTTCCACAGGTTTCCAATTTTTTTCTAGCCCTTCCCACATCCACCTGTGACTGCAACCTGTCCAGTGTGGTGCAGCTGACCCAAGGGGAGCCCACTACAACAAGGGCACGATTTCAGGCCACCTTAAGAGTCTCCAATGTGGGGGTCAAGTGTTAGCAAAAGACAACACTAAGGGAGGAGCGGGAGGAAAGTCTTGTTAGTCTGTGGGAGCTGGCTAGTATCCCCTTTTCCAACTAACAAAATTGTAATAAGTTTCAATACAAGTTATTAGCTGGCCTAAACTCTGGTGAAGTACAGCTGATGTCACTGGATGCAGGGAATGGCTAAATTGAAGTAAGAATTTTGCCACTCCATGCAGCCAAAGAAATAGCCTGCAACTCAGAAAAGGCATAGATTCCAATAAAATGTGCAGACTGGAAAAGGGGATACCAGACTCCCTTTGATGTTTGACACAGACAGAAAGACAGCTATGGCAGCTTTCCATTCTCTTCCCTTGGAGGAATCCAGCTGCACCCTGTCTTGCACCTATTGCACCCTCTCAAACAACCTCAAGGATTTCAGTGCCTTTCCTTTCCCACTCTTGGGCTCTGCAATTGACACCAGAGCAAGACTCGGCTCCAGACCCTCACATGCTGTAGGAGATGCTGGGCAACAGGGATGGGGAGCCTCCGCAGTGGTTGCAGATGCTTCTCCAGGCTAGGAAGTATCTACTGGGCCATGAATGTCCGCTCTGTGCTACAGCCTTCAAGCAAAGCAGGTCTCCCTCCTGCCATCATTCTGCAAACTCCTATGACGCGCAACCCAACCTGGTTCCCTCCAAATGAATCAGACTCTTTGGGTGGGAAGGGACCTTGGAGCTGTTCTAGTCCAACCCCCTCAAGGCAGGTGTCTTATGCCATCCCAGTCAATTAATTATTTTTGAAAACCTCCAGGAATGGAGCATCCACAACACAGGAGGAAGATTAATTTTTCTCACTGTCAGAAACTTCCTTCTTATTTCTAAGCTGGATTTCTCTTTAACAAGCTTCCACCCACTGCTTTTTGTCCTGCCCTCTGGCGCTTTGGAGAATAGGTCACCCCCTCTCCTCTGAGGCAGTTCCTCAATATGGAAGATACTTATGTCCCTCCAATCGTCTTTGATAGGCTAGACATATTTGAATGAATGAATGAATGAATGAATGCACACATGCACGCACATGCAAATGTATACAGAAGCCGTTCCCAGATTTATCTCATTTGAAGCCCATCAGATAGGTTGAAGCTTGGCAGGGCTTTTCCAGCTGTTTCCTGAGAACATGAAGTGGTTTCATGAGAAAATGAGGGCAAAAAAGTAAATGTTTACTCAAATACAGCCAGTTTTCTCTCACTGCAGTTTTGCGCCTTGTTTAGGAGGTCTGGGATTTAAAAAAAAAACCTAATAGGCTGCCCCTTCCAAAAAAGCTTGGAAACCTCTGAACAAGACTCTGGAGGGCACATGGCCGGTTGAGGCTTATGGGCATTGCAGTAGAGGGTGCCCAGGTAGATGGTCACAACCAATTGTTTTTGCCTGACTAAAGAACCAATGCACAAAGGGGCTCTGAAAGGTAATTTTCTTGGTCGCTACATACCAAGGGCTTAACTTGCATTCCTGGGTAGCACTGGAGGGGGGACCAACCAGTTCAGATTTTTCAGAAACTGAAAAAAACATCCGGGAAGAATCCAAGTCGAGTCCTTTCTGTGCAGCGGCCAAGAAAACTGCCACTCAGAGCCCGCCGGGCAACCGAGCGGCGCTCGCGGTGCAGAGAGAAACGAGGGCGCGGCAGGCCCGGTTTCCCTGGCCACCGGGGAGTCTCCGGGGACGGGAAGGCCGTCGGGGTCTGGCTGGCCAGCGCCAGCTCGGAGAGTCCGCCCGCCAGGCCCTTCTCCCGGTCGGCCAGGCCAGGCGCGCGCCGCCGGCCTCGCTCCACCGGCACAGGCGCCGCGCCAAGCCCGGGGCGAGGGGAGGAAGGAGCGCGGCGGTTCGGCCAGCCAGGAAAAGGTGCGGGAAGCGGCCGCCGCCCGGTAACGGCCCCCGGGCCCACAACGCGGAGGCGGCGGCCCCCTCTGCCCGAGGGAGCCGGCGAGCGAGCGAACGAGCGAGGACTCAGGCGAGGCGGCTGCGGACCGGCCAGGAAAGAGCGCCGAGAGAGCGGCCGGCCGGGCTGCGTTGCTGCCGAGCCAAGCTCGCCCGGGGCGCCCGCTCCGCTCTGCTTGCCGGACGGGGAAGTGGCCTACCGAGAAGAGGGTGGAGGACGCCGAGAGCGCGAACTTGACGCAGTAGTAGTAGGGCAGCGAGTCCCGCCAGTCCGGCCCCGCGCCCGCGCCGCCCATGGCTCCGCAAGGCCGCCGAGACGCCGCGCCGCCGCCGCCGCCGCCAGGATAGCCGACCGGGCACCTGCGCGGGGAGGCGGCGGCAGCGGCGGCAGCAGCTGTGACCGCCGGGCGCGGCGCTTTCTCCGGGGGCCTCCGTCCACTTCCGCTCGGAAAGCGAAAGCCATTCAAGGAGCCCGGCCCAGGCCGCCTCGGGAGAGGGCGTGCTGGGAAGCCTCCCCGCCTTCGCTTCCCGAGGGGCGCTCCAAGGGCGGGTGGGGGGCTGCGCCTGGTTCCCGGGCGTTGGGACGCGGGGGGCCAACATCCGCCCGAGGCCCCCGCAGAGGCTTCGTGGCCAGACCCCGCCCCAGAAAATCCTGCCGGGGCCCTTTAAAATGGCATCGCCGGGGAGTATCAAGAGAGCCAGCAGCCTTGGGTCGGGAAAGGGTTGCCTCCTGCCCAAAGACAGGGCCAAGCTGCTGGGGCGATCTGCGGCTCCAAAGAAGATCTGGGCCAGTCACGTTTTCCTAAAAGATGCGAGTCCAGCCTCTGGTTGCGCAAACCTTCGTACAATTAGCTCCACTTCAACCGCTCTTTCTACCACTGGTACCACGCTTTTGTTAATCGGAATTAGAATCAGAATAGAGCTGGCTCTTCCAGATTCCGTTCTGTTCGTTCTAGACAAGTGGCTATCCAGTTTTCTTAAAAACCTCCATTGATGAAGCTCCCACAACTTCTGGAGGCAAGCTGTTCCACTGGTTAATTGTTCTCACTGTTAGGAACTTTCTCCTTAATTCTGGGTTGCCTCTCTCCTTAATTTCCATCCATTGTTTCTTGTCCTGCCTTCTGGTGCTTTGGAAAATAGTTTGACCCCCTCTTCTTTGTGGCAGCCTCTCAAATATTGGAATACTGCTATCATATCACCTTTAGGCCTTCTATTCTTTAGATTAGCCAAACCCAAGTCCTGCAGCCATTCTTCATAGGTTTTAGTCTCCAGGCCTTGAATCATCTTAATGAGGTCTTAATGAGTTCAGGTCTCTTCGTCTGCCCGCTCACTTGTGTTCTTGCAATCTGGTGGTTAGCTTCCTGTTTGTCCTCCATAGTCACAAGGGCAATCCATGCAGGGGATCCAGTAGATTACATTAGAAGTATCTCCCACCTCCAAGCAATCTTTGCAATGCATGGTTTATCCTAGTATGGTAGCCTCTAGGCAGTGCGCAATGCCCACTTGCCCATCTTTGGACATCATTCTAATTAAAGTCTGGTAGGCAGGGAGATAACTGCACTCAAGATGCAGGAGGCACCTTTATATAGGATTTCTGGAGAAAGAGGTTTGTGGTAAATATGCACAGGCTGGTCCTATTAGCTGAGACTGGAGAAGGCAGGAAAGCAAGCTATGCATTTATTCAGATTCAGAGCTTGCCAGGGTCATCACCATCCCTTTCAGCCTCTTTGTTCTGAATCACCATAGAACTATGTCAATGAATGCAAGGTCTGGCTGAATAAATTTAATTATTGCAGCCTCAAAGGAAACACTGAAACTTTGGGGGCTTTCAATAATGCAACTCTTCAAAATAACAGACCCAGCAGCATTAATTCATCACCAGTTAATATTTGAATCGTACATGGAAATAGCCCAGCCATAATTAAGTTTGAATTAAAAAATGAGCGGGTATCAGCACATAAGCATATATTGCCTAGGCAGTAGGACATTAGGGATACACAGAACATTAGAGATACACAGAACATCCTAATTTGCATAAATTATACAAGCATGCTTGGGAACAAACTCTACCTTTGATGCACTTGTGAGTTCTGGTAGTTCAGAATCACAGAATAAGAGTTGGAAGGGACCTTGGAGGTCTTCTAGTCCAGTCCCCTGCTCAAGCAGGAGAACTTATACCATTTCAGATTAATGACTGCCTAGTCTCTTCTTAAAAACTTCCAGTGATGGAGTGCCTACGATTTTTTTAAAATATGTTTTATTGATTTTTAACATAAATATGATGAACAAATATATTGACTCACAACTCAAAAATGGTGATAGTGCACCTAGCGATTTTAATCAGCATTAGTGGACATGGCTATATTAACATAACAGAACAAAAAGGAAACCGATTACACAATATGTGCCTGTGAATCATTTGGACTTTAATGTGACTTTTCTTTTTCTCTTAAGGACTTTGTTCCTGCTTTAATTCTTGTCCCTCCATTTTATGTATTCCTGCACACACGTGCACACTCTCATACATGCAATGGCTCTAAGGCTATTGAGACATACACAGGACTTGAATGAGTGAGTGAAGGAGATTCCCAGCCCCTTCAGAAGGGGAAGATGGTAGAGCTGCTCTGGAGACAAGCAAAGTAAATGTGGTGTGTTGTTTGGAGCACCTTCTGCAGAAAAGCAGCAGCAGCAGCAGATAAAGAGAACAACTCATGACACACCCAGCAGGTGCCTCTTCCCTGCCAGGTTTAAGAGAATGCAAGAAGCTCCCCCTGAATTCAGGCAACCCGAATTTCCCTCTCCAAAGCAGACCAGCTTTAAAGTGTCAAAGCCCAAGTCATTGAAGTGATAATCAAAGATGGAGTGCTCGTGTGAAAGGGATCTTAGGAGGCCAGGCCAATGGAACAGAAAATAAGGGAAGAAATGTTGTGTATTGTGACTTTCAGAAAGCAGAGGCTCTTTGAAAGGTATATAAAATCAAAAGGGAAAATGTTTTGCATTGGACTTACGGGAAATTTGCAGACAGATTGTTTTTAAGGAAAAATAGGACCATGGCACACTTGATCTGCCAAGTCTTGATGTAAAGACGTCACTCCATCCTTTGGGTGGATCCAGGATGGAATTGAATGCCTTCCAAGTAGACTGTGGGCATCAGCCGGAGCCTGGCAGAGCTATTGGCTTCCCAACATTCTCCTCTGGTTTCTTGAACCCAACCACACAAGCAATCCTTGCACGTCTGTTTAGGCAAAATGACCAAGTACAGCAGCAATTGTAAGACTGGTAGCAATGAAATGGAGAAGTTACATTCTGAGGGCCAGCAGGAAACATAAATACTTTGGAGCAGAGTTCAGCCTGGCGCCATTTACAATACCCGCTCAAGTGTTCAACAGATTCCTCTGTGTGGCCATGAAGATGATCCTCCAGGGGTCCCTGTCCAGGAGGGACCAAATGATCCTGAACTGGCCTGCCGGGCAACACTCTGCTAATACCACAATAAGGGCAGATGAATAATGCTCTTTCCCCGCTCTTACCACAAAGAGGCAGGCCTTAATGGCAGCTTTAGGTTGTGCTTGGTTGCAGTCATCCCTCGGTTTCCTCCAGCAGCCCTCTGGGCATCTCTGATTATTGAATACCAGGATGACAGGCATTCAGCAGCAGCAGCCAGACTGCAGGGCCCCAAGGGTCACTGTCCAGGGCCCGGGAGTGAGCTTGGGGGGGGGCAGAACATGCCACCAGTATTACACCTCGGAGGGGGTCTCTTCCCCTGCTGAGCGCTGTCTGTCCTGGAACCCACTCCTGGCATGCCAGTCCTTGGCCAGCCCCCCCCCCCCCAGGCTCTAGGTGCCAGCCCCCCACACACACACCTTCAGGCCCTGATGATGTTGGCGGCATTGTTGCATGGCAGCTCAGGCTTCACTCTCACAGCTCCACCCGGGCACCGATATTATTTTATTATGTGTGCAATGCCCATAAAAACGGGCAGAGCTTCAATGGCACCAACATCTTGACTTTTTTGTCAACCCCTGGCAGATACATCTGGGAAGAGTCCATGAAAACAGGTACTTTCTCTTGCTTTGGATATTTTCTTCTCTTCCTTGGACAACGTCATCTTAGTTTGGAAAGAAATGTGACCTTCTTGTTTTGCCCTTGAGTCCCTCCTGAGTCTTTTATGTTCTAAATACAAATCCTATTTTGCCTCTTACCTCGTTTTTCATCAGATATTGTTTGAATTAATCCGCTGCTGGAATTCTCTTTCCTCCGGCACAAGCTTTCTAAAAATAAGATGAACTGTATTTCATGAAGGAGCCTAGAGACTTTGGGTAGAATTTTAAAATTAATCTCCAGAGTTCCTGTGGTTAAACAAATTGATGACTTAGTCAATGTACTTGTTACTTTGACTTGGGCTGAAAAGTGTCATTCGGGCTTTGCAGAAGACTTCACTTAAGATATATTTGCTCACCGTTCATCTAGAGGTGTCCTTGGCTCAATTTGGACTGAGTTTTACCAAGGATGATGACACTAAGCTGGAAGGAATAGCCAACAGCCCAGAAGGTAGGCTCAAGAGCCAGATGGATCTCAATAGACTTGAACACTGGACCCTATCTAATAAAATGAAATTCAATGTAGTGTAAAGTAAGGTTTTACACTTAGGCAAAAAAACCCCAAATGTACAGGTACAGAATAGGTGAAACCTTGCCCAACAGCAGTAACTATGAGAGGGATCTTGTAGTGCTAGAGGATAGTCATTTAAATTCGAGCTAGCAGTGTACTGCAGCCATCCAAAAAGCCAAGGCAATCATAGACTGCATTAACGGAGGGACAGACTCAAGATTACGGGAAGTGTTAATACTGCTTTATAAGGCCTTGATAAGACCACACTCAGAATACTGCATCCGGTTTTGGTCACCATGATATAAAAAAGATGTTGAGGCTCTAGAAAGAGTGCAGAGAAGAGCAACAAAGATGGTTAGGGGACTGGAGGCTAAAACATATGATGCGCAGTTGCAGGAACTGGGTATGTCTAGTCCAGTGAAGAGAAGGACTTGGGTGACATGATCGCAGTCTTCCAGTATTTGAGAGGCTGCCACAAAGAAGAGGAGGGGGTCAACTTATTTTCCAAAGCACCAGAAGGCAAGACAAGAAACAGTAGATGAAAACTAATCAAGGAGAGAAGCAACCTAGAACTAAGAAAAAATTTTCTAACAGTGAGAACAATTAACCAGTGGAACAGCTTGCTTTCAGAAGTTGTGGGTGCTCCATCACTAGACCCTTTTAAGAAGAGACTGGACAGCTACTTCTCTGAGATGGAATAGGGTCTCCTGCTTGAGCAGGGGGCTGGACTAGAAGATGTCTCTTCCAACTCTGTTATTCTGTTACTCTTTTAAGGGCTTTAAAAAATAAAAGACTTCATTCTGAAAACCAGTTCTATAGACTTAGGTAGAGTCTAGTTTTGAAATCTGGTCCACCAGAGAAGAACAGCACAAGGTGTGAGGCTGCACTCAGGGTCCGGGAGCCTGGCAGTTTAGGCCAGTTTTTGTTTTGCTGAGGCTGAAAGTAATCGAGATTACTAAATTAACTTCAGACACCATTGCCTTCTGTCAATGCACAAGGGAATTGTGTGGACTTTCTTACTTGTATGTGCATGTAAACTGAGCTGGGGCAAAAGGGTAGCCTCCCCCCTTGCTTTGTCTCACAGTCTCCATCTCTGCATCAAAGTGGAGGTGCCTCCCTTATATAAATAGGGCTCACACCCGGGATTGTGACCTTCCTTTTAAGGTTTCAGTGCTAGGAACACCACCTCCCCTGGGAGGAAGTCAACTTTGCCTGAGAACAATGGGAGAGCCAGAGAGTTGGAAGGGATTCAGTAACTTCTCCATTTAGGAATAAAACTTTATTCTATTGATTTCTCTCTATCCCCAAAGACATTTCTTGCTGCTTCCTTTTCTCTCTTCTTTTTCCTTCTGTTAAATTGTGTCTGATTCTGCCATTTTCTTAGCAAGATTTCTCAGAAGTGGCTTGCTATTGCTTCCTTCTTAGAGCTGAAATAAAGTGACTGGCCCAAGGTCACCCAGTTGGCTTTGTGTTTAAGGTGGGACTAGAACTCACCACCTCCTGTGTTCTAGTCTGGGGTCTTAGCCATACTGGCTTCCAAATGTCTGATAGATAGAAGCAAATGTCCAAGGGGCTCAATCCCCTTTTCTCTGGGACGGCCCCTCGAGTACTGGGGAGAGTTATTATATTACCCCTAATCTTTCTCCTCGATAGGCTAGACATATCTAGTTCTCTTTCCATTCTTCATATGCTTTAGCCTCCAGTCCCCTAATCATCCTTGTTGCTCTTCTCTGCACTCTTTCTAGAGTCCCAACATCTTTTTTGCATTGTGATGACCAAAACTGGACACAGTATTTCAAGTGTGGTTTCACCAGTTCAGCCACCTGTGGTCCTCAACCCTAGATTAAGCTTGTTAACTGGAGAAAGATAGTTAAATCAGATCTGGTCGGTTGCAACATTTCACATTTCTGAAACTTTGTCTAATTGCCCATCTCCATGCATGCAGTGTTTCTTCGTTGCTTCTCAGACATACTACTAATGGCAGAACTTCTGAAGAATCACCATGGCTAGAGAAAACCTTTTTTGGACTAGAGCAGTGGTTCTCAACTTGTGGGTCGGGACCCCATTTGGGGTCAAACGACCATTTCACGGGGGTCGCCAAACAACGCAGTCCCCCATTTTTTCCCAATAGAATAGACTCTCTTGAATAGAGTCTAATTCTATTGGCTTTCAAAAGCCAATAGGAATTGTCCAGGCTGTCTCTGCCCTGCTGAGCCCGCCAAAAGTCCATTCTGCAAACGGTGCTGCACCAGTTGAGTAGTCCTCGACTTACGACCGGTTGAGTAGTCCTCGACTTACGACCGGTTGGGGGTCGCGGCATTAAAAAGGTTGAGAACCACTGGACTAGAGGAAGACAGCCCTGCAGAAGACCGGCTCCAATCAATGCAGAACTTTAGCTTTGGTCCGTGTATCAGCCTTCAGTACTTAAATCAAGGGTTAACATTAGACAAACAAGTAGAAAACAGTACTCTGGGGATAATGGTAAAGATGGCATCCTATATTTCTTACACATTTTGTTTGCTTATGTAGTCATTCAGTCAGATGTCCAGCTAGAAAATCCAACAAAGGAACTCTGGGGACATTGTTCTTCCCAAAATAGTTTTGTTGAATACACTACAGGAGTGACCAAAATTGTGGAAACCTTTTGGGAAAAGTGTACAGTAGAAATGCCACCTTTGGTTAAGTTTCCACCAATTTTTCTTCTAATTTCTTTATAACTGTAGCCTTGTTTACTTAATAATATTATTTTACATCGCTTTCTGGGCAACCAGTCAATTCTTTGCACCATTACTTTAATTTTATTATGTTTTACAAGCTCACTAAATGAAAGAAAAAAAAAACCCCAACCAACTTGATAGCGATTCTGAGAAAGCTGAGCACCTAGCTATGTCCTCCAGGAGGAAAAACCAAGAGCTCTGTGGTCTGTGCAGGGAAGAAAGGGAGAAGATTAAGAAACTCGTAGGCCAGGATCACGCAGAGTGGCAGACAAAGAAGAGAGCCAGAGTCAGCTTTTCTCTCTCTAATTGTACTCTGAGGACAGGAGGTCAAGAAGTGCTAAAGAATCACCGCCATTGGATTTCAATGGAATGGAAACCAATGGTAGCAGCACATGAAGGAATCTCTTTACATTCACAATTTGTACCAGAGGAAAGCTAATTGCCCTATTTTGACTAAAAATGGATGAAAATAAGATAAGATGATCCTATACTGCTGGGTACAGTGGAGAGAAACATCTTAGATTTCCCTCCTCTTCTGGTTCCAATATGGATGGGAAATGGATGGGCTTTGCTTCCTTCCTTCAGCCAACAAGCTTAATGACAGCATGGCATTTTCAGAAGGAATAAATTCAAAAATAGTTGCAAAAAAATTTCCTCTCTTTCCCCAGAAGATTACTTCCCCATTTGTAGATATCAGACTTTGAAGCATCTGCCAATACTATGGAAAACCTATTAAACAAATGAGCAATGCCTTTTTGTTCCCCAAACAATCTGAAATATGAATTTCAGGCTGGGGAATGTGAGAAACCAAACATGTTTACTTGCTGTATAGTTAGTCACAGAAGGATTCCATCCATCTCTAGGTTCCAAACTGATATTTTCATAGAACATAGAATCATAGGGTTGAAAAGGATCTTGGAGGTCTTCTAATCCTACTCCCTGCTCAGGGCAGGAGACCATATAATATCCTGGTCAAATGGTTGCCCAGTTTAGTTTTAAAAACTTTCAGGGTCTGTTCATGAAATTAAGCAAGGTCTGTCAGTCTGGTGCCACTTTAAATGCCAACTCTAAGTAGGCAAGAAAAACCAAATGCACAGGTACAGAATAGGTGGTCCTTGGCTCAATAGCAGTAATTGTGAGAGGGGTCAAGAAGTCCTGGTGGACAACCACTTAAGTATGAGTCAGCATTGTGCTGCAGAAACCAAAAAACAACCTAACAAACAATGCAGTCCTAGGCTGCATTAACGGAGGGAGGGTATCAAGAACACATGAAGTGTCAGACCTGCCCCAGTATCATCTCCTAGGAAACTCTCAACTCCGTTCGGTTGAACTGAAAAGGCACTTTTACCGAGAGATGCTGGTTGCAGTAAAGCCAGGCGGACTCTACGGTCCCTGCGTATCAACACAGAACTAACCCCTTGGTTTCCCCCGGCCCTCCCCCCAGGGTCCGTCCGTGTGCAGCCGATCCGCCCCGCCGACATGTTTTGGGAAGCTCTGAGGTGTTTGGGCTGGTGAAATTCCACTCTCAGGGCAAATGGCCTTGAAGATGCCAGCATGGACCAGATTCCAAAATGCTCTGTTCTTTCTCGACTGTCAATTCCTGCTCCCACTTTCCCATCATAAAGGTATACAGTTTTATTGCCCATTTGTTCTCCCCATCCTTCCCTGGTTGATGGCAGGATGCCAGCGAGGCGCCACAACGAAGGTGGTGGATCTGACTGTACCGTTTTATACTGAACTTGTAAGACAATACTTGGAGTACTGACCTCAGTTCTGGTCACCATGATAGCGCTAGCACTTAGGCTTATATAGCATTATATAGTGCTTTAGAGCAGTCTCCGGGTGATTTACAATGTCAGCACAGTTCCCTCAATAATCTGGGTCCTTATTTTACCGACTTCGAAAGGATGGAAGGCCGGTCAACCTTGAGCCCCGTCAGGATCAAACTCCAGGCTGTGGGTGGAGTTTGCCCGCAATGCCGCATTCTAAGCCCTGGGCCACCAGGGCAAAAAAGACGTTGAGACTCTAGAAAAAGTGCAGAGAAGAGCAGCGAAGATGCTGAAGAATTTAAACCAAATTGCACTCGGTTTAGTCAGATCTCACCTCTCGTCCCGCGTCCGGTTCTGTCCTGCTAAGGCATCCTTTGAAGGAGGGCTGGGGGGGGGAGTTCAGGGCGGCTAGCCCGGGACCCAGAAGCCGCGTCCTTCCCTGAAGGCAGGAGGGAAGCGGGAGAGCCCGCCGGGCTTCCCAAATCCTGGGAAGAAAGGCGGGGCTGCTCGCTCTCCGCCCGAGCAAAGGAGGCGGCGGGGCTGCTTCGAGCCGAGCGAGGCCGGACCGGACGGGCTCTTGGCAGAACCTTCCTAGCGCGGAGCCTTCGCGGCAGACAGGAGCCGCGCACGAGAGGCGGCGGGCGGGCGGGACGCCTCCGCTCTGCGCCGAGCGGCCCGGCAGGCGGGGCTGGGCGGAAGGCGCGGAGGGGAGCCGTCGCTGCCCACCTGCCTTGACGCGCCGCCGCCGCCGCGGCCGCCGGGCTATAAAAAGCCGCCGGGCTGTCGCCAGCACTGCAGGCGCGGACGCTCCAGTCGGCTCGGGCGGCGGCGGCGGCGGCGGCGGCGCGATCAACAGGCGCCCGGGGAGGCAGCGGCCGGCGGCTGAAGCCCGACGGGCGCGGGAGCCGTTCCGCGGCGCCCTCAGCGGGCCGGGCCGGCCCTCCTGCTCCTCGGCCGCGCGGGCGGCGGCGGCCCACGCGGGGCGGCGGGGATGGAGGCGAGCGCGGCGGCGGCGGCGGCGGCCAACGGCTCAGACGGCGGCGAGGCGGGCAACCCCTTCGAGCAGCCGGCCTGGCAGGTCGCGCTGTGGTCGGCGGCGTACGCGCTGGTGGTGCTGGTCTCGGTGGTGGGCAACCTGGTGGTGATCTGGATCGTGCTGGCCCACCGGCGGATGCGCACCGTCACCAACTATTTCCTGGTCAACCTGGCCTTCGCCGAGGCCGCCATGGCCGCCTTCAACACGCTGGTCAACTTCACCTACGCCGCGCACAACGTCTGGTACTACGGGCTGGCCTACTGCCGCTTCCAGAACTTCTTCCCGGTGGCCTCCGTCTTCGCCAGCATCTACTCCATGACGGCCATCGCCGCCGACAGGTGAGGCGCCCGGGAGCCGGGCCCCGGAGGCTCGCGAGGGGGCGCCCGGGAGAGCGGCGCCCGCGGTTCTCGGCGGGGAGACGCGGCCCGCGCCGCAGCCAGGCGGGGGAGGCGGGCGGGCGCGGGGGGCTCCGCTCCTTAGAGACTCCCGCGGGGCCGGAGGGGCCTCGGAGGGGCCGGAGCAGTCGGGCGAGGCGCCCGCGGGAAGGTGGCGCTGGGCTCGGGCTCCCCCGAGGAAATGTATCCCGCCCGTCCGTGAGCAGAAAGTTCATCGCTTTGGCGACGGGGGCCGGGAGCGCCGGTGATGGATCCCCGGGACTCGCCCCGACCGAGACCCGACGCCCCCCGAGCGGCTGCCTGTCCCGCGTGGCCCGGAGGGCTCCCCCGGGGAAGGGGCTGCCCAGCGCTGGGCTCAAAACGGGCTGCCGCGAACTGAGGCGGCCGGCCCTTCCGCGCTCCCTGCTCCCGGCCGGCAGCCTCAGGTTGTTCCAACGCCTGCCGGACAGCGCCGCGAAACGGCTGGGTCCCCGCGAAAGCGACAGCAGCCCCGGCTGAGAGGTAGAGACTTGCTCCAAGCAGCCTGGCTCGTTTGGTGCTGAAATGGGTGCATCCCGCTGTTTTTCGTCCCTTACATCAGAGTAAGCCCCCCCCCTTTTTTTTTTTTTCTTTTACTGAATCGGAGAGAAAAGGAGGCTCCTGTGCGGGTTTAGGCAGAAGCCCCCGTGGCTTGTCAAACCCTGTTACAGAATCCGTCTGTTTCCTGGATTGACAGAAGGCCCTAAACAAGCACTCTGGCGTCACCCCAGGAGCCAAGGCACGGGAGCAGAAGGAAGCCCCACAAGCGTGGAGCTGATGGCGATGACAATGTTTAGATCTCCCTCCGGAGCCCCAAGTGGAACGCCTGGTGCTCCCTCCTCCAGCTTGTTCTCACAACAACGGGCCCCCTGTGAGTCTGGCTGGGCTGCGAGTGCCCGGAGCAAAGGCCCCTTGTGGAGCTGGGGCACTCTTTTGGGTCCAGGATGATTCCAGTTCCCAACCAGCTTTTCAATCGCTGGTAATAATTTGGTGAGCTTTGATGAGGGCTGGAAAAGTGAGCTAACTCTCTCTGCCGCCTCTGGGGGGACGAGGGGCTCGGGACATGAGCCAGGAAGGCAGGCTGGGGGGTCTCCTTGCACCGGTGATAGTCAGCAGGGCACAGAGATCTGCTGGTTTAATGAAAAACATCCTCTGTGATCCTTCCCGAGGGGATGGGGGAGGAGAGATTCACTCCCCATATTTTGTAAACATCGCTTTTGAATCTGAAGATATCCAAGCCTTTATATTTTATCAGGAGTAAAGCTCTTTGTTGGTTTTCAAAGGATTTTATCCCCCCTCCCAATTTTTCAATATTTCTCAGAGAAGAATTTCATGGAGGGTTTTTTGTGTTCTGAAACGCAAAATACATGAAATGAAAAGCATTCATTATTGTACAGCGGAATGGTAGCAGTACAGGAAACATTTTCCCTTAACTACCACAGCAAAACTGGAAAATGTTTTACTTCCCTCTTGACTACTTTGAAACATTTCCACCATAAAAAGCAGGGTGGGCAGGGGGGATGGGGCTTTTCTCTAAAAAAGAGGAATGTCTAGAATATGATTGCTTCTTGCATTTCTGGAATGTGTGTTGCTTTCACCTGTAACATGCTGGCACATGCCAGTTAGAAGGTCCGGGGCGGCAAGAGATTCCCTGCAGGCTTCATCCGCCATAATTTGGATGTCAGGGCTGCAGATTTTTGTCTGTGTAGCTGTTATTGCTCTGCTGTAATGAATGCTTTTCATTTCATGCAAGGAGGGTGGGTTTCTGCCATCCACGGACTCCTAATGGCCAAAATCAGAAGACTCCCCTTCTGCATATGCTACCAGTCTTTAGTGGTTTGGAATAAAGCAAAATGTGTCCTTCGTTTTATTTTTATTTTCTTTTGTCGGATATTTGCTTTTGAAACCTAAAATCCTAAAACGTAGGATTTTCAACAGCAGTTACTTCGAGTCTAGAGAATTTGAGAACAGAATAGTGGGTGTTCTCACATCAGGGGTTGGGTCCTCATCTCTCCACAGCTAAGAAAAGCAGCGTGGATGAAATCAAAAGCAATATTGATTAAATAAATGGGCAAAATGCAGGTATGCAATTGTGGGCTACTGTGGAAGCTGATGACAAGACTGGCATTTCTTGTTGCTGAAGTGAGATTATTTAAGTGCAGTATATTTCCTACGCATTTAAAACACACTAACGTTCCATTAGTTCAAGTATCAGCATTTTGAACTATTGATCAGTGAGCAATTTTAGTACAAGATGGAAAGATGCTACATCGTTTTGGAGAAGCTGCAGGATCAGAAGCTGGTTCAGCACTGGGAGAGTTGGAGTCCAGGTTAGAAACGTAACAATAAAACCAATAAGTACATTGAAATAACAGCTGGAAAGACCTGGCTCTCTAATGCCCAAGCATTATGCTTTGTGCTGGAATGGCATGAAAAGATGTATATTCCTTTGAATTCTCCAGAGCTACTAATCAGGCAAGGTATTATAAAAACAGGACAGGGGAAATAAGTGAAATAAGTTGCCAAATTTGGTCACATCTTTCATTCAGGAGCTCTACAGCTCCAAATCATTTGCAAGGTGAGGATTCTAGGCTAAATGCAGAGTCAGCAGCAGCTATTGCTGGCATCAGAGTATACCACATTTTGAAGGGCGATGGCTTATTGGGACCTATTCTAAGAAAAAAATAAGGAAAGGTACTTAAAAACTATTTGGTAAACTATTTGGTTCTCTGACGTGTGTTTCAATCGCTTTTCTGCCTGCTGTAGTTTGGGATTTGATTTACATCTGAAAGCTAAGAAAACCATTCCAAATGAACAAGTAGAGCCTGAGGCACAATGGGAGAAAAAGGCTTCCATTAGCTAGGTTAATGGAAAGCCCACCTGTGCAGGATGATTTCCTGGTGGTTTGGGTTTGTTGTGAAGAAGGATGGAAAGAATGGGCTATGTTGACTCCAGGAGGTAGGATATGTGATTTTCAAACACTGAAAAGAACATCAGACAGAATAATTCATCCATCAATTCCAGCAATATAGAGCTCAATTGTGGTTGCAAGTCAGGGACTACCTGTATTCTTATTTTTAATTCTTTTTTATAGGTATGAGCCTCATAGAGTCATTATATGAGATAGCTGGCCATCTAAGTCCAGTAAAAAAAACCAAATAATTTCTATAAAAGATTGTACATACAGGAAAGGCAAAGTTTCATGCACATCCTTATGAATGCCACTGATCACCAAGTCGCCTCTGCCAACTCACTGCCACCAAGTCAGCACATAGACCTGGGGTAATTGACCTCCACAACTAAACCCTTTTCTCATACTTCAACTCTACCACAGCACTTATTCACTGACTGCGGAAATCCTGACAGCCACTAGATGGCATCTCACAGATGCATCTCTCAGCTGCCACTTAGTAGTCTGTAGGTTGAATAATAAACTGGTTGACCATTATTTCAAGAAATAAAAATAATTAAGTCAGTAAACAATAGAATGGGGGACAAAACTGCAGCACAAAGAGCAATCGCACTGTTGTGCATACTAATTGTAGGAGGCTTTTCGTGTTGGGAATGGGGTTGGGTGCGACCGGACTTGAAGCCCCGAGAATTGCCGATCACAATCGAAACCATATGGCAGCCCAGAAGCCCTTTGGGTAAGGGTCCACTGTGGCGTCTGTGAGATTTGGGGCAAGGGGCTTCCTGCCAGCTGCAGATGGGAAGGGAGCAGGACAAAGCAGCGTAGTGGAGGTGGGCTGGGTGTCCAGGGATTTCAATGGCAGGAGAAGGAAAAAGCCCTCCCCAGCATCCTTAAAGGGGAGACGCATGGCTGCAGATGAATGTCAACGTCTCTCTTTATTGGTTGTTTAATATTCTCTTGCTACATTTCCACACATACATTCCTCTCTCTTTTAAAGGTACATGGCGATTATTCATCCTCTGCAACCAAGGCTATCGGCCGCAGCCACCAAGGTTGTCATCTGTGTTATATGGGTGTTGGCTTTGCTACTCTCCTTCCCTCAAGGATACTATTCCACCACAGCGGAGCTGCCTGAGCGAGTGGTGTGCTTTGTCGAATGGCCGCAAAACCAGACCCAGGTCTCTCCAATCACGTGAGTTGGGCCTCGCTGCTGTCATTGCTGGAGATGGAAAGATGGTGCTCTGGGCTCTCTGCTCATTATTCCAGAGAAGCCAGATTCTCAGGTTTCACCCCTTCTGATTTTCTGGCCTCCCTGTACAGTATCTGAGCGTTGCTGCCGTGGGTCAGATGAGGTCTTGGCTGCATTTCCTTCATTGCAGTAGACAGGGGATAGTCCACCCGCTCATTTTCAGATACCATATTTGGCCAAGAAAGTACCACCAGGCAGTTAAACATCCCCAAAAGGAATTATTGTTTTATTACAGAGATTTCTGTTTATTTTTCTTTTCTATTGATTGATTGATTTAGCTGCCTGTCTCATGAGAAGTCTATTTGTAATTTAGAAAGGAATTAAACAAAGAAAAAGCTCAAACAATGGAGAACTATGGTGAATTTAGAGTAGAAGGGAAAAGTAAACTCCCATACATAAGGAAGAAAAACTAAATGCACAGGTACAGAATAGCTGTATTAACCTTGTGAACACTAAAGCTTCCTCCTTCCGTTACGTATTCAAGATGGACAGTGATTAATACTTATATGTTACTTATATGTAAGGGTGTAGGTCTATACATATGTTGTATATAGCATGTTTAAATGTGTGTTATGTATGTTTACACTTTGAGAGCAATCAACTAACCTAGGAAGGATGTCCACGGGGAGAGGGAAAAGATATCATATGCATTGTCTGAAATGGTACAGGTTCTCCTGCTTGAGCAGGGCCTGGACTGAAAAAGACCTCCATGGTCCCTTCCAGCTCTATTCTATTCTAGCATCATGCAAATGCCACCAAACATATAATACATGGAAATCAGGGATGAAAATGACACAGTTCAAAATGGTACTACATCCACATGGAGAGAAGCAAGCAGTGGGGTACCACAAGGCTCCGTCTTAGACCCAGGACTCTTCAATATCTTCATAAATGACTTAGATGAGGGTGTTGTTGTTCCGGTAGACGCAGTCTTTTTCCTGGCTGAATCTTGGTCTCCAGGTAATGGAGCTACAGTCAAACTGAACACCGGTAGTTGTTGCCTTGGCCCCCTCCCTCTGCCAAGTCCAGTGCTGCAAAGGCCAGAATAACTTCTCATCGAGCAGGTTGCCCTGGATAAACTTCTGGCAACTTTTGTTGCTGCAGCAAATTAAAAAATGAACCTGGTGTGATGTCAGTGTTTATTCTTGATGTGATCTCTCATATTTCAGCATTTGCCATATTGAAAGAGCTGAAGGTCGCAGTTGAGTAAATTCTGCCTCTCTGGGAAAATGTCCAGCTCTTATTCACATCTCCCTCATAGCAGCTGAATCACTCCCCACCCAAGATAAAGAGCCTGGGGCTTCAGCCCACACAAGGAAGGTTCCAAGACTTAATTTTGACACATTAGTTAAGGTTAATGCTTCTCCGTAACAGAACTGAGGTTTTATACCATGTGTGCTCAGTTCATTCATTCTCTCACATCATCAAATCATTCAGCCTCTTGGAAGCATCTTAGCCAGAAGGGATAGTCAACCATCAGAGAAAAGGCAGTCTTTTGGGTGAAACCCACTTACTGGGGCTTTTGCCTCTCAGCCAGACAGGAGATGAGCGAGGAGGGCTTGGCTTTGAAGGAGTCTTTGGGCAGAAAGGAAGGGACTGCAGGTGGAAGGGAGAGCCCCAGGGGAATGTAGTTGTTCCTTGCCACACGCTGTGGCGCAGGGCCAGCAGCCGAGATAGTTGTTCTGTCAAAAGGACTTTGTTCACTCCACGTATTTCATTTGATCACTGACTTTGGGGGGAGACGGGAGTAAGATAGTGAATTGAACCATAAATTAATCCAATGGCCTAGTTTCATGCAACTTCCCACAAAAATAATGAAATCTAATGCTAAAAGTATGCTAACATGATGTACAGATGCAGTCAATACATCTTCCCTTGTGTAAATATTGCCAGGTTAGGATTAAATCTCTGTCAAATAAATTAGAAACCTCAGCAGGGCCAGATTCTTCCAGCCTAGTGCTGGGAATATACTGTTCTCCCTGTAATGCACAACAGATGCCTAAGCATTCTGTGAGGGTGAATCTAAGATGAATAAATCATCCAAAAGACATACTAGCAGGCTCTTCATTTACCTCAGATGAGCTGAATTCAGATGTAGTGAAGAAGGGGACATATCTACACATTGTTTGATAACAAGGTACAAGAAATAAAAAATGTGCACTTATTTCATCCCCAGAACAAAGCTACTCCCTCCAGAATATTCCAGTTGTTTGGAACGTGGCTCAAGATCCCAAAACAAACAAACTCACTTGGAATTCCAGTAACAAAAGTTTTATTCAAAAGAAGCGTTTGCAAAGGCCTGGTGAACTGAAACAAACACAGGAGTTCAGTCACACCTCCAAGAGGTGTTCGACACATGTTTATATCCTACCCCCCCCCCCACGCAGATCCCCCCCCTCCCCTATCGCACTCAACACCCCTTTCCGAATCATCCAATAAACTATCTGGACCGCCTAAAACCATTGCCCCCTCCCCTATGTTCCAAGAATCCCCTTTGAGCGCATCCTATCTATCACCATCTAATTTTCTGTTAACAAAGTTCGGCTCCTGTAGTTATTTCTGTATTTCCTCTACTTGCTGTTTGGATTAGCTAGCCATTTCTGCTTTTCTTATTGGTACTTATGACTTTTAATGGCTTCTTCTATCAACCTTCATTAGAAATTTCTGAATAATACTTTATTCCTTTCACACTGGAAACCACTGTTGTTACATAGGAAAAAGAAATATGTGAATTCGTAATAGGATCTTGGAACAGAAGTGGATCAGAATGTGAATATGGGCCAGAAGAAAGATATGGTTGCCAAAAAAGCAAATTTAATCCATGGGAGCATTGTTTCCAAATCATGGAGAGTTACAGTTACACTTTAATCTTTACTGGTCATAGATCAGTTTTTGTGTCTGTTTTAAGAAATACCCAGAGACATTAGAAAAGGTGCAAAGAGTGACCTAAGGGTTGGGCCCCTTTATCCTAAAGAAAAAGACAAGCCAGAGGTACATTTGTTTGCTTATTTATTCAATTTCTATAGCCGCCCAACTCAGTTTACAATTCTAAATGACGATGTCCCCCTGCAAATTTCTGATAGGATATCACTGAGAAAGAAGTTTAGAACTTGGCAAAATGGCTCACATTACAAAGAGGCAGATTTTGTTTCTGTGGGTGAACAGAGCTGTTTGCTAGTGGGACCAGTGGGCTTCCCTTCGTTGGCTGAGTTCAAGCAAGACTCTGCCTGGGGTCTTCCTTTGTACTCCTGCACTGAGCCAGGGGTGGGAGTGAATGGCTCACAGACTCCTTTCTAATTCAGTGATCCTGGGATCAGGTGGGCTACAGATCATGCGAGGAAAATCTCCCTATGTTGCTGTTAAGAGTTGATGGTATGTAGTCTGTATTGGGGAGGGAGGGCTAAAAGCATTAGATGTGGGCTTGTCAGGTACATCCATCATCAGTCTAAAGATTGGGTCTCTTCCTCTAAGAAGCAGCCCAAGTTGCACCATCATTCATTTGCCATGACATTGCAGTGATGTTCCAAGTAGCAGCCACATTTATATCAAGAATAAAGTGGAGAGGAAGTTCAGACTGGGGGGGGGGGAAACACCTCTTTCGTGGTCAGACTCTTAACTTGTGTCCCATTTATTCCAGGTATCAGATCTGCATGACTATTCTAGCCTACATCTTGCCTCTCATAATGATAGGCTATGCCTATATTATGGTGGGCATTACCCTATGGGCCAGTGGAATACCAGGGGACTCTTCGGACCGCTACCATGAACAAGTGTCTGCCAAGCGCAAGGTAAAGTCCATCAGAAGAAGCTCAAACGGAAAGGAAAGCCCCGTCAAAGAATGCAGTTCGGGTCAGGGTCCCAATATTAACTGAATAGACAGAGCGAGAAACAGGTAGCCAAGATTTCTTGCCAATCAGCTGGAGTGATTTGAGATTGGTTTAGATGGGAAAGCACTGGCCCGCTGGATGGCACCACGAATGCCAGAGAGCTTGACTAATGGTAATGGATGCTGGGAGTTGTAGCTGAGCAACAACTCAAAGACTTTAGCTGCTCCATTCCCATTCTACAGTATATCATTGAGTTACATAAAGTAAAAGTTCGTATATTCTAACTCCCATTTTGTAACCTAGCTTGTTCTCCCAAAGGATCAAATAAACATGATACCTTTAGTGCGCTGAAGGAGCTCTTGGCTTCTTCGAAGAGTGAAAGGAAGAATCAGAAGGATCACAACTCTGACAGTGGATATGATGCCACCCTTGACATCTTCCCGCAGCTGGCCTGCTGTTCCCATTAGGGGAAGGCAAAATTCAAGCCCCAGAGCTTTCTCTCCTTGCCTGGCAGTGCAGTTCTGGGAGCCCCAGGGGCCTCAGCACCACGAATCAGTGGCAGCAGCCTTCTTGCCTCTTCGTGGGGACTTCCTGATAATGGTTATACTTGGTGGCTTTCCTTGTCTGGCAGGTTGTCAAGATGATGATCATTGTGGTTTGCACCTTTGCCATTTGCTGGCTGCCTTACCATGTCTACTTCCTCCTACAACTGTTCAACGGTGAGATGTTCTCAGAAAAATACATCCAGCAGGTCTACCTGGCTATCCTGTGGCTGGCCATGAGCTCCACTATGTACAACCCAATTATTTACTGTTGTCTCAATGACAGGTAAGGCCTTCTTCTTCTGCTTATGGCAGACTCCATTGAATAGTAAAACCAAATCAGGTTTACTCTCATGTTCATTGTGACCTAACATAGTCATTTCATTGATGCCAAAGTCCAAAGCTTTGCATCTCGAATGGGCTGGTTTTAAAATATTTGGAAGTCAGTAAGCCTACTAAGCAAGAGCCTTTTGAACCTTGGCCTCTGAACATGAGAATTTTTTGCAAATTATTTCTCTCCAGAAGATGTAATGTTTTGCCTTCCATTAAACTAGTGCACAGTTGCCCAGCAATCAGTGGGCTTGGTTACCTCTCTAAAGAAAAAAGCTCACCTAAGATTAGAAAAAACTGGATTGGTTAGTCCCTCTCTGAAGAAGCAAAATTTTGTTCTTTTCAACACAAAGCTGTGTGAGTTGAAATGGGGAGGCAGGATTAAGCAGCTCCGTGTCCAGACTCTTCCTTTGTACCCCACCTTCACGGGTTTGTAGCTCTTGCAGTTTCACAACATGTACCGGTAAGTTGAAAGTGTGAGGAGGGCTGTCAGGAGAGTGGGCTCTCTCTACTAGACTCCTCAAAGTCTGATGTTGCTGTGCGGGAGCATTTACATTTTTTTACCCCCGATGCAAAGTAGATAACATTACAGTAAAAACATACAAGTTAACATAATTTATGCAAACTGGACTCTGTTTTTAACAGCACCGAGAATTCAGCTGTTCTTAGTTCGGAATGAATGTTAGATATTAAATACAGAAGACCTGTGAACTATTTCAGCTCCCAGGATCAGGACAAGCGCAGCCTTTCCCAGGCTGAATGGAAACCCAGCCGGTCCCGGAAGCCAAGCAGAGGCTTGATGGCTCCCGGGGCGGCTTTGGCAGGCACCAGGCAGGCTCTCCTCACGCAGCTGATCTGCTCTGTCTCCTCAGGTTCCGGGTGGGCTTCAAGCGGGCCTTCCGGTGGTGCCCCTTCATCAATGCCAGCGAATATGAAGGACTGGAAATGAAGTCAGCGAGGTACCTGCAGGCCCAGAGCAGCATGTACAAGGCCAGCCGGATGGAGACGACGGTCTCTTCAGTCACTGCCCATCCAGAGGAGGAACTGGATGATGGCAGCAGACCCAGGCGCCCCTCTGTTGATCTGACCTCCAACGGCTCTTCCCGCAGTGACACAAAAACCGTCTCGGAGAGCCTGAGCTTCTATTCCAATACGCTTCCCTGAGCAAACTCACAACTTAACCACAGTGACACCATTTCCATCCTTCTAATGAAGCCACAACCCCCAACAATCAGATCTTTCCTGTGACTGGCCAGGGAGCTTTCCTTCTCGTTCCAACGGGTTCTGCCTGATGTTGCTGTTCTCCACTCATAAGAGGATTCCTGGTCACGGATCCTGTGTATTCCTCCCACCTGCTCTTTCCTCCTCCCTATGTCCAGGATGTTTAGGTCCTCTGGTCATCTTCTCTCCATCAAGTTGCCATTGTGGAAGGAGCGAATGTGACTGAAATGTGTTTGGGAGTTTTTGGAGGGGCGCAAATGAAATGTGTACAAAGTTGCAGTTTAAACATTAATTCTTCTTGGAACTTAATTCAAAATCCATTTCTACAACAGAACATTTGAATTTATAACATTTTTAATACTATTTTGTTCCATTAGTGGACTTTCAGTTACTTTCCTTGAGTAACTGGTATACTTCCAGGATCACTTTTCTTCCATCCGTTCATCACTGTGTTTTACCAGGGTTGGGGAGAGGTCCTTGACCACCTCTAGTGAGGTGAATTAATTCTATTTGAGGAGCTCTGCCTTTACCACAAGATATGGTTCAAGGCTGTGCTCAACATTTTCTTAGTGCTTAGTCCCTTCAGTGCAAATATTAGAACAATTAAATGTAGATAACCACAAGAAGAAAGGTTCAACTGTTTTCTATTGGCAAGAAAATTTTCTTCTTCTTTCATAGGAAAAGGATAGCCCATGCATAGCAGCCCTACAGCCATCCACCCAAACCATCATCTGGGATGTTCCAGAATCTCCCAACATGACCATGTGAATTGGCCATAACATGCTTGAAACTTCCTTGAAGTTTGCGGATTACGTGACTAGCAAAGCAGAGAAGAGGGAAGGGCTGTCACCTGTCTACCTGCAAGCATCAGGAATGATGCCTTTTTGCAACCAACTCAGTTTGAGCAGCTGGCAAAGGACCAAAATGAATGTAATGTGATTGTAATGCAGAGCCTGTTTTAGAAATTTCGAGGCTACAGGAGACACCTGAAATCTCTCACCATGGCCGAAGTGCTGCGTCAGCTCATTCTTATAAAAGTGACAATAGCACAATATTAACTCTGTTACACAGAAGAGAGTAGGATGAACACTTGCCCAAACCAGTATGAAAAATCTTCACTAACAAGATTACAAACAAGAGTCAGTGGTTCCATTACCTGCCATCTTTGAACATATGTCTGGCTGCATCTATCTACAATATCTTTATAACAAAACTCTTGTGCGGCAGAATATTTTTCATTGTGTACTATGTTGTGCAACCACATAGCAGCTAGGAGGTAATTTCTGACTGTCCTGAAAAATGTTACAACCCTGTTTTCCGCAGACACATAGCTGAGCCCAACAGTTGTCCAAAAACTCCTGCAGTATTTCCACAACTGCCAAAAGGTCAATGTCATGGAACAGCATGTTGCCCATTCCATCTGCATCAAGGTCCTCTTGCAAACATGCAATAAAGAAAATGATTAAGTCCATACCATAATACAGGCCAGAGACTGCATTGATCGTACTTGATGTCCTTGGGCAGAGCTGGGCTGTGTATCCATTTCTTGTGTTTCTTGATTTCTCAGCAACTTTTATTTCCACCGTCTTCCAGATTCGCTGCAGGTCTTGGAAGAGGGCATCACCATCTTACAGGGGTTAGCCTTCTTTCTCTTGAGCGATTTCAGTTAGTGTTCAGAGGTGAGACATTTGTAAGGTGCCTCAAGCTCAAAGCTCTTCATCCTTACAGATGAACCTGCTGGATGAGTTTGGGATTTGGTATCATCAGGAGGAGGATGATATCCAACTACACATCTCAACTGTGGACTATTCAAGTTGAAGCCTCCAGACAAATCCCAAGCTAGGATTTGATGGTGAAAAAAAGCTCAGGCTCAACCCTGACAAGACTGGGTGATCAGGAATATTTGGAGCCCCTGGTACTGGTGGCTTTTGATTTGTAGCCTTGATAAGGCTCTATTTCCCCATTTCAGATTGATGTACAACTTGGGGTCTTCTGCAACGCACTCTGCATGGGGCTGCTGTTGAAGATCAGCCATTGGTCCAGAACAGGGACTAAATCAGCCCGAGCCAGGTATTCCTTGTGAGGAAGGACAGGGCAGCCTCCTTGCCAACAGCCTTGCAGATCTCTTCTGAGCTTCTCTCCGCTCCACTCTCTGTGCTCTCGAATCTGGTGGGTGAGGCAGCGGTTCCTCATCAGAGGGGATCTGCTGCCTCCCATCACCACTGCCTGTATGCAGCCCATCCTCCCCTGCATCTGTGAAGGCAGGCAGGCAGGCAGTTCCCTGTCCAATAGGCCCCCTCCCCCACTGCCAGAGGGGCCTGGGACAGCTCCATCCCCAGCCCCTGGTCTCTCCAGACATTCCAGGGGACACAGGGATGCCTGTCAGATGGTCCCGGTCCCAACTCCTCCTGCAAATCAGGATCTGATGGGGGACGTGACAGGCAGTGAAAGAGGTCACGTTTCATCCAGGAAGCCCCAAGTGAGCATTTTTACCCAGACCCCAGAGTCTCAAGCCCATGTTTGCTGATTCCTGCAGCTGTACCAGAAGTGCCAGAATTTTTATTCTTGCCATTTGAGTCACGTTCCGTGCGATGCTCAGAACAAATTACCGCACATATTCAAAATATGAATATGTGTGTTTACATATTGTCCCAACTTGTCACCATGTTTTTGCTCAACTTTCTGGATTGCCTCATAAGTCACTCTGCTCATATTATTTCAAGATTGCTTCATTTGCACAGCCTCTCCTGTCCTTCCAGATGGATGGCAGGTTCTCATTAATACTAACGAGGGCTCTAACCTGGGGGAGCTGTTGGAGAATTGATTACTTATCACACACACACACACACAGAGAGAGAGAGAGAGAGAGAGAGAGAGAGAGAGAGAGAGAGAGAGAGAGAGAGATTGAAAGGCACCGTCTTCTAGTACAAGCAGAAGCTTGTTCCCATATTTGAGTTAGCCCCAGATATTTTCACGAATGGTGGGGGGCAGGGGGGCAGTTTGCCCCTTTCTGCTGAGCATAGAAAGGCTCGTTGCTGTTGCTAACGTCCATTGCCTCTGCTGTCCTGCTTCGACAAGTGCCTGTAAGTCGTGGATCCCACACACAAAAGTGTTTTTCAGGGGAGAAGTGCAGAGCAGCAGAACTGTGTGCAGCCAGGGAGCTTTTTGATTTTCATGGAAAATATGCCACTCTTGTTTTGTTTTCAAACTCCAATAAAGTGGTTCACAAGCATAACAAAGGGGGAGAAGCACTTAGAAGAGGCATTGTTTGAAAAAACCAGATAAGACAACAGGCATGGTCAGAACAGACATGAAGAAAGCAGGGAAGGATGTACAGAAGTCAACACTGCAGATGAATGCAGAAGTCAAGATGCAGTTGAGTTCCCACCCTTTTTTGCCATGGAAGGAAACCAGCTAAACTTTTCAAATCCTCCCTGTCAGTGTCCCTGCTGTGGTATAATCCATAATAGGGTGGCAGAACGGTTGGGCTGTTTCAAGGCATGTGTTGTGTTGCCTCACGCTTAGCTGCACTTAACCCACTTAACTGCAAGCCTAGTTTGAAAATATATATGTTATATTGACTTCAAATGTGTTATAAGTCTACCCAAGGTGGTTTTAACCTAATACAATGTGTTGTGTGAAACCAGTTGGAATAGCAAGGTGATTTTTCTTGTCTTTCAATAATCTGAACAGGAGAATTTTTTTGGTATAATTTTCATTTTACTGTAATAGTAATGATTGCTAAAGGGACACAGGTGAAAGCTACAGATGAAAAATATTACATATTGGGATCATCTCAATCCCAGCTTCACAGAATGAGAAAGTCTTCTTTAAAAAAAAAAAAAAGTCCCATCTGGCTACTTGTAGATTTCATTACCATATCATTAGCTATTTTTGAACGTACCAGCTTTTTGAATCAACTGATGCTGTGTAGAAAAAGGTGCAAAGGAAACAATCAGACATCCTCTTGCAAATAAGATTTCATTAAAATTGTTTACATAGTCGCTTAGTCATTTTCAGGGGAGGAAGAACCTTTGAAGAGCTAAAGAGGCATTGCGATTCCAGGCACAACAGAATAACTCAAGCAACATGACTGAAAAAGAGAACAGCTTATTTGTTCTCTGGGAGACAAGATGCATTAAATCATTTCAGGTAATCAACTCAAGGTTTCTTGCCCAGTGTGAGCAACCTCCTCCATCACCCCTTCCTCGCTAGGCAGGTTACAATAATGCACCCAGGTGGGTCTGCCTGTGGCCTGCACTGAGTGGCAATTTCAGCTGCTTTTTCAATGCTACAAGATAACTAAAGTGACATTTATATTAAGCCAGAACCCAGACAAGGTTATATTCTCTCTGAGGTCTGCAAACAGCCCCTTTGGACAGAGGGGAAACCATGTAGGCCTAAATAAATAAATAAATAAGCAAGCAACTTCACAGTTTAGGACGACTCCTACAAAAGAGCTGATATGGTTCTCATCATATCAATTGGGAAAAAAACAGACCCAGGAAACTACAGACCAATCAGCCTAACATCAATACCTGGGAAGATCCTGGAAAAGATCATTAAAAAAAATCTGTGAATATCTTGAAACAAATAAAGTTATAAGTAGTAGCCAACACGGGTTTGTTAAAAACAGATCATGCCAACCCAATCTTATTTCATTCTTTGACAAAGTCTTACATTTATTTGAGAGGCTGCCACAAAGAAGAGGGGTTCAAATTATTTTCCAAAGCACCAGAGAGCAGGACAAGAAACAATGGTTGGAAACTAATCAAGGAGGGAAGCAAGCTGGAATTAAGGAGAAACTTCCTAACAGTCAGGGCGATTAACCAGTGGAACAGCTTGCCTCCAGAAATTGTGGGCACTCCATCCCTGGAGGTTTTTAAGAAGAGGCTAGACAGTCACTTGTCTGAGATGATATAAGACCAGGTTCTCCTGCTTGAGCAGGGGGTTGGACTAGAAGACCTCCAAGGTCCCTTCCAGCTCGATTCTGATTCTACATTGCATCTCTTGAGCTATTTGGTGAGTCTTATCTGCTCTCCCACTAATTTATTATGTTATTACTTATTTAAAATAACAATATGCCATCTGTCTTGTAAAAGAACTCCAGGTGGTGTACAACATTAAAGTATCTTTTTAATAATAGAGAATACAATAAAATATTCATAAAAAAGAACATTAAAAAAACAGTTGCCAAGAGTTGTTGTAGAACAGTATCACCTGGAATTACTCACTGCCAAGGAAGATACAACAGTTTTATCCGTTATGTCAGAAATTCCCTGCAGCCTTTTTGTTATTCTTAGCATCCTTTTCTGGATGTGTTCCGGAAGATGAAAGTCCTTATTAAAAAGATATTCCTTTATATCATGGAATGGTGCTTTGACCTGGACCTGGATCTCACACAGACTTCCAGAACCTTAAAACTGGAAGGGAGCCTTGAGACCATTCAGTCCAACCCCTTTTTCAGCTCAGGAATCCAAGTTCATGCACGACTCTCCAGCCTCTGCTGGAGCACCTCCAGTGAAGGAGAGAAGTGCTAGAAAGAGGGTTAACCCCCTGATATTCAGTTGGGATTTCCCTTCCACCCTCAAATCCATTATTTCGCACCCTGCACAAATCTGGAAGTTCCACACAAGATGCCTTACCCATCTCCTTCAAAGCACTGAGTTTCTACTGGTGAGTCTTTTGAAGTGTACTTGATGTGTAGTCCTTAATCACGTGAAGTATTAGTACCACTTTCTAAAGCCTTAGTAAGACCACACTTAGAACACTGCATCCAGTTTTGGTCACCATGTTATTAAAAAAAATGTTGAGTCTCTGGAAAGAGTGCAAAGAAGAGAAACAAAGATGATTAGGGGCCTGGAGGCTAAAACATATGAAGAACGGTTGCAGGAATTGAGAATGGCTAGTCTAATGAAAAGAAGGACTAGGGCTGACATGATAGCAGTGTTCCAGTATTTGAGGGGCTGCCAAAAGAAGAGTGGGGGTCAACCTATTCTCCAAAGTACCAGAAGGCAAGAAACAGTGTATAGAAAATAATCAAGGAGAGAAGCGACCTAGAACTAAACTAAACTAAATTTCCTGACAGTGGGAACAACTAATCAGTGGAACAGAAATTACCTTCAGAAGTTGTAGGTACCTCATCATAGGAGGTTTTTAAGAAGAAACTGGACAGCCTCTTCTCTGAAGTGGCATGGGGTCTTCTGCTTGAGCAGGGGGTTCAATTAGAAGACCTCCAAGGTCCCTTCCAGCTCTATTCTGTTAATTGCTTTTCTCATTGATCCACCGGATGGTAGCCGTATTCAGGCCATGTTTGCTGCTGTGACATGAGACAGCAGCTAAATATGGATCTGTCGCTTCAGAGAAGCCGCCTTTGAGCTAAGAAAGGGTTCTCTAGGTGGCATTTTGACTGTCGTCGCCATTTCAGATGCAAAGTAGGAGAAACTGGGGGCCCCAGAGCTGTCCTGCTCCCCATCTCCTGAGAAGCTGTGCCGTGAAATGACATTCATCTGCTCGTGCAGCTTCTAAAAGCAGAGCTTGCCAATATGGAAGTGAGACTCCCACTCAGCAGAGTCAATGTTTTCTCTGCTTGGGAAGGGGAGGGGAGGGGGGAGAATGGGGAGGGAAAGGGAGCTGTTCTTTCAAGCTTCGTGCCCGTGTCAAACGTTGAGGATACATTGAATGCTTGTTTGCAGCGGTTCCATTCCGAGCCTGCCTCTGGGGATATGAGAAGACTCTCTCTCATAGAAACAAGCACCGTCAAATATACAGCTCAGCTTCTTTGATGCACAGCATCAAATGACCAAAAGGAGGGTGCAGAATTCCCCCACAACGCAGGCAGGCTCCAGAGATGCCCCCCTCCCGCGGCTCCAGCCGGCAGAGCTGATTCTGCTTTGCACTGTGGAATTGGTGGTGCTGAGGACCAGCACCCTCTCTGCCCCCGATGGCAGCCGTGGGCCACCAAGGGAGAAAGAGAAAGAAGTTGTAGGAGACCCGTTTGGGTCTCTGGTGTCCAAAATCAGGAGTCCGGTGACACTTCCCCAACCAACAAGGAGGCATCAGCTGCCAGAAGCTACAGTCATCCGATGCTCAGAGGGGCTACATCATCAGGACACGGGATGAACTGCAGCTTTTTAAAAACGTGTTATGTCTGAAAAGCTGCCACCAGATTCCTTCAGAGAGATGGGAAAAATTCCTCCAGGGTGAAAAATATACATCTCTATGCAAATCAATCCTAGAAGTTCTTGAAAATTATATTAGGCTGGGACCCGCACTAGCCATTTGATTATATTGGGTTGGCCAGAAAGGCTTTTGGGGGCTGCAAGAAAATAGCCCTATAGGCAGCAGGCAGGAAAGTAGGCATCCAAATTTTGGCAAGGTGCCCATGCCCATCATGCTTGAGGGTGAACACCACTTTGAAATTAAAGATATTTAATGCTTTTCTGTTTGTTGATGTGACTTTTTTAGTGATATTTGGTGTTTCTTTGCTAGGTGTCTGGATGTTTTCTTTGAGGGGGAGGTTGTGGGCTGCTTCTGATTGGGTTAGATTGGGCAGTAGGGGGTTGTTAGATGTCTGCTGCTGCTTCCTTTGAGTATTGTGTTTCCTTCTATGTGTGACATACCTCCATTTGTCTTCCTCCAAGGGTTTATCAGCAGGGTCAGATCCTCTGGGAGTTATTTTTTCACTGTTTGGTTCGGTTTGGGTAGAGCTTTCTTGTGTAGGTTGGAGTTTGGCTAGAGTTGCTTCTAGAACCTACTTTTTCCTCTAGTATTTCACATAGTTTACACTTAATGCATGTATAATTGGGGTGTTCTTTGGGCATAAGCACATACATGGAACATGTATTGCATACCACAATATCCATCGCCTGTGCCATGAATGTTATTTGAAATCCCTTTTATGGTTGGTGGATGTGCTTTGCTGTTAGCCATGCTTCTACCTTCTCTGTTCTAGGCCAGTGGCAAAAGGCCACATCGCACTGAAACCAGCCATTTGCCGCCATGCACATCACACCCAATGCCACTGCCATGAGGCCACAGAACAAGCTGGGTAAGGAACCAGTATACCGGTACCGTGGTCAGATTCCTCCCTCCCCCATTGGCTTTGCCTCGGCACAGAGGCAGTGGCACATCCACCCCCCCACACACACACTACTTTGTGTCTATGGTGAAGCCAGATAGAATCGGCGGCAGGCCATCCGTGCAGGCCCTTAAGTAGATAAAACTTAATATTTGTCCCAACACAAATGTTCATTTGGTCTTTTCCACACAGGCTGTTTGGAGTGGTTCCTCTTTATTGCAAGATTGAAGCTTTCCTAAAATAGTCAATCATTTTAAATGCTTAAAAGAATAGGAAGTGTATTTTTAAATGGAATATTTCCTTGAACATTTCTGTTTCAGTTATCCAAGCTATAAATATAAATATATACACATGGAGATAAAAAAAATAGTAGAAATAATTTCTCTTCAAAATGACCAAATGTACTGATCAAAATGCAGTGGACGTCCCAGGCAAAGGCTGACTCCTGTGAACTAGACCTTCTGCCATAAAAGGAGCTCTTGGGGGGGGCTCTTTCTCGCTCTTGGTCTATGAGGAAAGCAGCCTCCCCCCCCCCCGTTGGACTCAGAACTAGAAGGTGAGCTTGTCACTTGCAGGAGGCTGTGGAAAGCCGAGAGGGGAGTCTGCCATCCCAGCTGCCCACCTGGCTTTTCGGAGGCTGCTTCCCTGCAGCAGACTCCCTCAGAAGCCAACGGTTTCCCCACCTTCGCCCTCAAAACTTCAACATGCACTTGAGGCTCCAAAGAAACAGGTGGTGAAGGGGCTTCCCTTCCCCCCACAGAAGGACCCGGGGGGCTGTCTAGCCCCAAACCTGGCAGAGGCGAAAACTCAAGAAAGCAGATTCAGAGAGGGCTGCAAACTGACTGGATTGGCTGAGAAATGTCCAGGGCCTCTCCTGCAGCTGATGGGGAAGGGGCTTGTGGTTTGCAACAGCTCAGGTGCTCCCAGAGCACAACAGCAAGGCCCACAATTAGCTGGCATGATGGGATCTCCGCCTGGTGTTCTCGTTTTCATGTTTCATGGAGCAGTCTTGGAAAGGGGCCTTTTCCTCCTCAACCCCTCAAGAATTTTTGGACAGAAAACCTGCTGTAAACCTTCCTCTCTGCCCTTTTCCCCTCCCCTCCCCAACGTCTCTCTAGCTAGAGAACCAAGAAGCTGGTTTTCAAGTTGTGAGGGAAAATGGAGAGGCCCAGGGAGAGTCTCCCTCCCTCTCAGATGGGGTCACCACAGTCCTTTGCAAGGACCCTTCAGATTGATGGGGGTGGGATTTGTTTGCAGCAGAGAAAAGCAGCCAGGCCACTGACGCTTGGCCACACCAGCTCTGGATGGAGCAGGCAGCTTCTCGGCCTCCTGGGATGTCGGCTCACTCAAATCCCCGGAGCTTACCTCAAGAATCATGATTGCAGAACATCCCTGCTCTCCTAACGCCAACACTTGCTATCCTACTAAACATGTTTAAGTTGCAATATAAGTAGATTCACTGCCTTTAGTGGAAATGGGTGTGCTTTTGCTATGCTCTGGTCTGGGCCTAGCTCAGGGCCAGGCGCTTCAGATCTGACACGGCCATGGGGTGGTCAGAGACTGCGAAGGACACTGAACAGCCATTAGAGATCAGCTGGAAGAAGAAGCCCCTATCCTACAGGGAGACTCCTTATCCATGTGCAAAGGACCCAGCCCGGATGGGGTCCACCAGGAACAATTTTGGAAGACACAAGGATTCTGTCCGGAGTGGTCTGGAGACTGGGCAGGGAGGGAGGAGCAGCCACACCTGGATGTTTGGGGGGCCCTCTCAGTGCTGGCCAGCATCCCGCATCCGACATGCTACCGCAGTGATAAGGGCCGCCCCCTTCCCGCTGCCGTCCTCGGACTGAAGGAAGGTCACCTCACACTTGGGCGAAAGCTGCTTCACGGTTTCCTGCATCACCTCAGAGAAGCTGCAGAGAGAGCAGAAAGGAACAGGACGACAGTCATCTGACTTTTTTCTCTCCCTGTCATCTCGTTCCCCTCTGCCTTTGGGCCTTTTTCACTTTCATTTGTCTTTCTTGGCCTTGCAACAAACATGCCAGCAATCCTCAGTTTTTAACTTTTCTAAAAGTTATTTCTGGGGCTGCTTTAGAGATTTATTCTCAAATATTTAAGGAAATAGAGATCCAATAACTGCACCTCTTGTTGCGGCAAATCCTGTGCAATCACGTTACAGAATGACACACCAGGCTACACTGTGCAGGACCATGCTTGCAAAAATGTGAAGGATGCCTCCGTGCAAATGGCAGAAGATGCTGGGACCAATTTGTGCAGCAGAAAGCCATCTAGATCTATTCTACCCTCCCCTCCCCTCCCCTCCCCTCCCCTTTCTCCTTTTCATCTCGTGCAGTGGTTATTTTAGGTCAGTATTGCTCAGCTGTGGCAACTTTAAGAAGCGTGGACTTCAACTCCCAGAATTCCCCAGCCAGTATTCTCAGAACTGAACAAATGCTTGGTTTATGCATCTTAAAAAGATGCCAAGTTTTGAGAAACACTGCTTAGGGCCCCAAACCTCCTCTCCCCAGGCCAAGCAGAGAAACCTACTGAGGATGGAGTTTGTAGAGGGTCCCATCCACACCCACGGTGACCTTAAGGAAATCCAACTCTCGATTCTCTCGGATCTTGTCCACTACTGCGGCCACTCCTGCCCCACACAGCTGAGCAGCACGTTTAGCGATCACAGTGCACACCTCCTTCACAATGATGCTGTCGTCACATGTGCTCTTCAGACCAAGCTCCTGGAGGATGTGCCGGACCTGAAGCAGCGCCAGGCGATCACTGGGGGCACAAGATGGGGCACATAGGCTTAGGAATTGGGTGGGGAGGAGAGGCAAGTCTTGTCCATTCTGCTGGAATGGGCCTGGCCTGAGGTAGCAAGTAAGGATGACGACTTCTATGGAGATATGCAGCAATCGTCACCTGGGTAAGAGGCTGAACACACTTTAAGTCCAGTTCAGGAAGAGAACATTTGGAAGGGGCTCAAATACCACCCTAATTCACAGGAATGGAAGAAGGGGGAGATGGCCCAGCACAATCAGACTTGCATTCTGTTGTTAGTCCATCTCAATAAAAGTGGTTTGAGTTTTCTTGTTCTGGCCTACTTGGTGGGGCTGGTAATGCTCCCATCATTATTCTGACACAAAACGAGTATTTGTCTTCAGAAGGACCCTCTTTTGCCCTGGCTTCAATTAGGGCTGGGATGCAAAGACGTTCTGAACCTCTATCTAAAATGGAGCCCAATGGAAATTCCAAGGGGCGACTAAGATAAAAACAATCTTCAGTTACTTCTCAGTTCATTTATGATGATTCTGAAAGTTTAGCAACTCGGCAACCCAGAATATTTTATTGCAGATTCATCTGCCCTTCTTTCAAAGAACTGCTATGGGCCTCTACCTGGTTAATGACTTCTTTTCACAGAAAATAAGCCAATTAATGCTCTTGTAATGCTTGTCTTGTTGTGTATGTCTGTGAGAGGTTATATATGTACTTTTTGCATGTTTGCTTTACACAAAGAATATATAGCAAAAGAAAGTCACACTATCTTTTCCACCTCACATTGGAAGAAAACATCAATAAGAATTATGCGTGTTCATTGCATGATGCAAATACTACACAACATACAGAGCTGAGGCTCTGCTACAATTCCACTTCAACTTTAGGACCAGAATACAACTGCTCCCATGGAAATACCGCACCAACCTTTTCCAAATTGGCTGGGTCAGATGTTATGGAATTTGTAGTCTGAGAAACTATCTGGTGATTGGGAAAGGCTATAGAAGGGGAAGCAAACCTGGCCACTAGGAGGCAGTAGTCATTCTGAAGACATTCTGAAGGAAGAAGCTGAACCCTCTTTTTGCTTGTCCCATAATAAACAAGAATTTAGGCTTTCCAGGAGAACCCAAGGAAGGTCCAAGAAGGGGAAGATGCAGACAGCCATTTCTGCCTCCCTTTCTCTGCTTGTGGTCAGTGGAGATTCTGGCCCCAGATCCTGTTCAGATCTGACCTGATCTCACCTCTCAATTTGAGACAGGAACTTGGTTTTAAAGATCCCCTTGGTCTTTAGCCGTTCAGAGATTCTCCCACGGAAGAGCAGTCCTCGCTTGGTGAAATCGATCAGGATATTGCGAACAATTTCTCCCAGGTACATCCCACTGATCATCTTCTCAAATCTGAAATGTTGGGAGGGAGAATAAGGTTGTGAACACTCAAGGAAACTAACCCACATGCTAAACTTGGGTTAATGAAACCTCATTACTGCTCAACAACAAATAATGCCCAGCTAAATAAACTACATTGTAGTCTAGACTAGGACCCTGTTTGCATAACATGCTCTGACAATGGCTGGGTCCCTCCCAAAAGTGGAACCAATCCCATTTCATTAGAATATAGGCGTGTTACGGGAATCCAGCAAGGACGGGTGCAGATAGATCAGGGATAGTGGATCCCATTACTCATACACTCCTCTGTGCCTGCTAAACCTGGAGGAAAACAAAGGCCCAGGGAGAGCTTCCCCAAGTTCACCCACCGTTGCTTTCCAGGGTTGAGGGAATTCTCATCCACAATGGCGTCAAACCCTGTCCAGAACGCCTCCAAACAGCCGTTGTCCCCAAAGGCCCCCCACTCCATAGTGACACACATTCTGCCTTTGTCCCCGGCCACCAGCTCCACATTCCTCATCTCCTCCATGTAGCAGGCATTGGTGCCAGTTCCTGGGAAAGCAACAGGAGAGGGTCTTAAGAGGCCAAAGAAACAGCTTCCACTTTTTGATGAAGAGGCAGAAGGTAGAAAGTGACATGGACCAAAGGATCAAACTTGTCAATTGACTCCATCACCAAGAACAACAGCAACAGAAACTCCTATTGCTACAGAGGTCAACTGCAGAGGTACAGCAGTTGTTGTATAAGCACACAACACATCCCAACCACATGGTTGAGAGTCTACAAGCCCTGGGAGGAAGGAAAAAAATTAGGACCGAAGACTCCTGGGCAGCATCTTCAGCCTAGCTTCCACCAGGCAAATGTACCACAAAGTTCTGAGAGTTGGATTTTGTTTTATTGTTTTGTATATTAATTTGATTATCATTAAGTTGCTAAATAAGATGAAGCCTACAAACCTCTGGATTCAGGAGCCAGAGTGGGGCTGAGCATCACCTCCCACAACAGGAGGTTCAGCACAGCTCTGCTTCTTGCCTGCAGCCACTTCATCCGAACAGAAGGAGACAATATGTCTCCAGCTGGTTGGCTTCATTTGTGAAGAAGGTGGGCCATGGATGATGTTCTTGGGATGGAAGAGGGCAGAATCCCCTCCATCAATTACATTGCTGCTTTAACAACCAAGGTTGGGTGCTTACCAACAATAAGTCCCACTTCACAAAGAGGGTCTTCATACCCACAACTCATCATGGTGCCCACTGTGTCATTCACCAAAGCTACCACATCCAGTTCAAACTCCTAAGGAGAAGAAAGAAAAAGAGTTTTGGCCTGCAGTCTTTTCTATGAGGGAACAGGAAACCACCCCAATGTAAAAAGGAATTAGAAATCAAAATTAGTCAACCTCAGTCCACATTAAGAGTATTCCAAATATCACTCCTTTGGTTTTGTTTCAAGCCAAGTGTTTCTCTCCAAAATGGATCAATTTTGTAATTAGAAACGCCTATTTCAGAGATATACCTTTCTTCTGAGCATGGCTTCCTTCAGCAGTCCTACGACATTTTCTCCTTCACAGCCAGAAGCACTGAATCCCTTGGTCCACTGCAGGAGAATGCCCTGGGAAAAGAGGAATGCAGAAATCAGCTCCCATCTCAGAGTCAACTAGTAATTACTGGCCTCAGGTTAAGCGACCAGCTCAAATCTATCCAACTTATTTTAAAACATGCAAATGCTCTAAACAGCTACAAGTTTAATAAGCAAACAAAGCAAAGTTATGTGTTTCTAGCTACCATGTCACACAGAGTTCTCTGTTTGACCCAGCAGAGCTCCTGCACTTGCCAAAGGAGAATCTTGCAGCACATCCACACCTGCCTTGAAAAATCCCCCCTCTGCATCTCTGGGTAACTCAAGTTTTTGGAAAGACATAATACACAAGGTGGATGGGAAATGTTCACGCTCGGGGCCAGATCTCCTTCCTTGCTTCCATCAGCTATTTCAACTACCCTCAGGAATCCAAGGTTTGCCTCATACTAATTCACGGCCAATTGATCAAGCCATCTTGCAGGGTTAACATTGTGCTGAAATACAAACCAAACAGCAACCACCATCCCGGGGCCTTCTCAACATGGCTCCTTCCTTGCTGGTTTTAGGAAAGCTATCAAAAAAGGCTTATTCCAACAGCCCTTGGATTGCACATCAGTTTCTCAGACCCCCAGGCAGTGGAGGGGGAGGGGGGCAGGTGTCTGAATCAATTAATTGACTAACCTTCCTGGTGTTCTCTTGACCCATTCTAAGGTTATAGGTACCTTTTGCTTTCATTGCTTTTTAACCCAACTTAATACCTTGAGCTGCCTGGTGCTGTTCGCCATGGGAGCTGCCCAGAAGCTTAGCAGCACACACACACACACATACACACACAGACAATTTGAAAGCAGCAGGAGAAGACATACCTCATCAAGTTTGTTTTGCTGACAAGGGAAAGAGAAGGTAAACCCTAGGGGAAGCGAAGCGCCCTTCATCCCCATGTACTCCAGGAAGTCCGAAATGCAGTTAACGATGTGATCAAATAGCTGCAGGGAGAAACAAGGGGCGGAGCTGCGAACCTTCAACCCCCAGAATTCCCCAGGCAGCCCCCACAAGGGAAGGACGGTTGCATTTTCCAGAAGAAACCCAGCATGGCAGGGGTCAAACAGGACTTTTCACAGAATAACGGAATTGGAAGGGACCTTACTCAAGCAGGAGACCCTATACCATTCTAGACAAATGGCTGACCAGTCCCTTCTTAAAACCTGCAGTGATGGAACACTCACAACCAATCCTTAGTTCTAGGTTGGTTCTCTCCATGATTAGTTTCCATCCATTGCTTCTTGTCCTGCCTTCAGGTGCTTTGGAGAAGAGCTTGACTCCCTCTTCTTTGGGGCAGCCCCTGAGATATTGGAACATGCCTATCATGCCTCCCCTGGTCCTTTTCACTAGACTAGACATACCCAGTTCCTGGAACCCTTCTTCATATGTTTTAGCCTCCAGGTCTAATCATCTTTGCCGCTCTTTTCTGCACTCTTGCCAGATCACCAACATCTTTTTTATAATATAGTGACCAAAGCTGGATGCAATATTCCAGGTGTGGTCTTACCAAGGTTTTATAAAGTAGTACTAGCACTTCTCGTGATCTTGATTCTATCTGTTAATGCAGCCTAGGATTGCATTGGCCTTTTCGGCAGCTACAGCACATTGCTGGCTCACATTTAAGTGATTGTCCACTAGGACTCCAAGACCTCTCTGACAGTTACTGCTATTGAGCCAGGTTTCACCTACTCTGTACCTGTGCATTTGGTTTTTCTTGCCTAAGCAAAACTTTACTTTTCTCACCACTGAATTTCATCCAATCATGTGACCACAGGAAAAATGTTTTACAATCCTCTGCAACACTCAGAGGTGCTTCATCGGTCATAAAGCACCTTCTCTGAGGCCATGATAATTTTGAATATTAGTTAAACAACCAAAGATTAAGAACTATCTGCTTGACTTTCATAATAGCTCTCACAGCTACCCCTGGCAGTAGGGCTGCTTCTCGGGTGCCTGAGAGCTGTTCCAGAGGCCCTTAAGCCAAAATGCCAGGACCCCTTTTAGCCCTTCTGGACTTGCTATGACTTCTCCATCCATTGAACCCCCTCCCACTCTTCCAAGGATCACTCACCTCCTCTCCTGTTCCTTGCATAATATCTTCTGAAATTGTGTAGATCTTGTTGTGCATCTCCACACTGCGCCGCATCCCATTTCGTATGCGCACCAGAAGCACACGGAAGTTGGTGCCCCCCAGGTCCAAGGCCAGGAAGTCTCCTTTTTCTGAAACCAAAATCCAGCTCCTTTTACATATGCCATAGATGCACCAAAACATCAGAACTTCTATGCCTCGTTCTGCAAAACCCAGAAGTTACCACAATGATGGAGGTGGTGGTAAAAGAGGAGGAGGAGGAGGAGGAGGAGAAGATCAACAAAATCCTTAGATGTTGTTCTTCACAATGATGCCCTCCAGATGCACTGACAGCAGCACCTTGCAAAACACTCAGAGAGGATGGCATGGTGATGTTACTGGGAATGATAATCTGGAAGGCACGTTGCGAGAGGGAACAGAGGGAACACCCTAGGGCTGCTTTCACACTGGTCCAACTGGGTTACCAGCATTCCGATAGCCCTGCACAGGCATCAGGTTGATCTTGGTTTGGGTGGGGGGTTTTTTGTGTGTGGTTTACTACATGGGCATCTGGAGATTATGAAAGTTAGGTGTATTCTGCAATTTGCATCTGTCCCAACCAGGCTGTGGAATCCTGGCCACACCTTCTCCTGCTCCAGCCCAGTGGGCCTTCCTGGGCCTCCTTACCTGTCCCATCCGGAGTGGCACACACATAGGTGGGCAACATCTTCACCGTGGCCTTGGCGTGCGTCTCCTGGGCCAGGCCCAACCCCATCTCTCGCTGCATCCTCCTCTTCACCTCCAGCAGCTGCTGGGGGCCCAATCGGAGAGGGCGGAGGATTTTCTGGCGGGCCTCATGCTGGGCAGTCAGCCGATATGCCACCGCCGTCACCATGGCAGCTCCCTTGCCGCTTCCATCTTCTGAGCGGACAAATCGGATTTCATGGCCAGACAGGAGGCGACGTACCACTTTGTGAAGGCGGTGTGCAAAACTATGTGGGACAAAGATGGAGCAGAGGACTGTTGCAGAACACCCAGCAGAAATCTGTCTTTGCTACCAGCTGGAGCAAAGGGGAGGATTTTGATAGGATTGTGCAGCTGCTCAGAGACGCCCTTTTCAGTCTTGCACGCTCGTGTTTAAAAGATTGTGAGATATGGATATGACAGCCACGCGGTCTATTTCTGCATGAAATTATATGGGCTACTCCTACCCATAACAGTCTCCACACTCAGCCAAGGAACTACCGAGTCTGAAGCAGGCAGGCCAGAGCAGAACCTGGGCCCTCCCCAAGGCAGGGGCCCTGGCATCATGTCTTTGGCAACAAGGGCAGTGATGGCAAAAGAAACCCACGTGGCCAGATACTTTCAAAAGGATCACAAACTGGCATCTTCTTTGTCTACACAACACTTTTCCATCACAAGCATTGTCCAGACAACAGAATCACACCAGGTCGCAAACCATGATAAAGATCCAGATAGTAAACAATTATGAGGGCCAATAATGGTGGATTAATACTTTTAAAATGTCTCCACCAACTACACCTTTTGGAAACTGAATTGCCGTTCTGAATTACTAGTTAATCCTCGCCTGGCCCTCCTTCAGCAATGATTCAGAGTTATGGTGCTGCTGAATGAGGGGACTTATATGACCACTCTGCAAAGTTGTGATGGTTGCAGCCTCCCCGTGGTCACAGGATCACCGTCTGCAACTTTCAGTGCCAGCTTCCCACAAGCAAAGTCGGTGGGAAAACCAGCAGCCTCCTCCGGTTTTTCGCCTCACTCCGTGGCGACTGCCAACACGCACCCACCCACCCTGGCCCGCCTCTTCCTCTGTCTTGTTCACATGAAGTCCTCGCTTAATAACCCACGTGGTCCTGACATTTTGACAGCAACCAGGACTGCTGGGATGGCCAACACTAAGCAAGGTGCTCAAGTGGCCAAATGGGTAATGATGGAAATTCCAATTGCCATCATAGCCAGAGGACTATCTGTAACTTGCCTAACGTGCAAAAAGAAAATTTGGCAGGCAACTAAGGGGTACTCGGTTCAATTTATTAAACCTTTAAAATTTTAAAACTAATCGCACATGCGGTACCCAAATCCGTCAGTGATTCCCTTTTTTGAAGGGAGGGAGGGAGGAAAAAGGAAGGAAAGAAGAAAGGAATTTGGCTCCTAGAATGCAAAGCACCCACCTTCCGCAAAATCCTCCTCCTAAAGAATGCCCCCAGCCCTCAAATGGCGCCCCCTGCTGCCAGCTACAACGCGCTGCTTCCGCCCACTCAGAACCTCCCCAGCTGGGTCTCCGAAGCCCACTTACTGAGGGTGCTTTTTGTAGACGGTGCCATCCACCCCGACGGTGGTGCGCAGCCAATCGACCCCCCTGTTCTCCTTCAGGCGGTGGAGCACAGCAGCCAGGGCAGCCCCACAAAGGTTTGCCGAGCGGGTGGAGACAATCTGGCAGACGCGCTGGGTGGCCACACAGTCCTCGTAGGAAGGCTCCAGGCCCAGCTGTTTCAAGATCGTGCGGGTGTTCGAGATGCCTTCTTTCTCCCTGCAAGTTCAGAAAAGGAATGAGGCTAATACGTCCTTGCCAGCTGCAAGCCGCCCTTCCCTGGCGCTCCGCCTGCCTCCATCTCTGCCCAAATGGGGCGGTGAAATCCTGCAGCCTCCCCCCCCCCCGGGGACCTTTCCTCACTCAAGTCATTTTCAGCACTGCTCGGCTGCCACGCTAGACAGCCACTTGTCAGGATGGCTGGAGGATTCCTGCCCTGGGCAGGGATGGACTATTAATCTCCAAAGTCCCTTCTAACCCTTGGGGCCCATGGAAGGTCATCGGTCTGCACCTGCTTTTCCCAGCAAGTGGGTCCTCGGCATATCAGGCTCAGAGGATTCTTAGCTGTTTAGTTATTTGCCCGGTCTCTCTTCCAGCCTTCATTTAGGAATTCCAGGAAGGCTTAACCAGAATTCCTTCCTCCTTGTTTTCACTACAACAACCCTGTAAGGTAGGTTGGCCTGAGGAGAAGCCATTGACTTAATCCCCAAGGATCTTCAGGGGAAACTAGCTCTTAGCCCGTCACCTAAGCTACTATACCGCCTTGTCCCTCTGCGTCCCTGCTATGTCTGAACAGGCTGCGGCCCAAACCTCCACCTCATGCTGAACCCACCCAGTAGAATCTAATCAAAATGCTGGTTTCAGTGCAGATCAGTTAAAATGCTGCTAGAAGAAAAATGCAATACAAGAGAAGCAGACAAGCTTCCTATATACGTCTATTCTTATTTGGTATCCTATGATTATCACTGAGTGTTGCATATTATTATTTGTGATGCTTGTATCTTGTGATTATGATTGTGATTTATCACTTGTTGCTTGTTTGTACACTGAGAGCTTCTGCACTGGAGAAAAACTCCTTGGGTGTCCAATCACACAGGTCCAATAGAGAATTCTGTTCTGTTCTATACAAGAATGTCTTTCCTTAAATGGAGGGTGGCTCGTTCTGCTCGGAGTCTAGAGCCAGAAAGCCCAACTGTCTCAGCATCATTTCATACGGAGCCCTCCCAGGCTTTCTCTGGGTCATCCAAGGATGTGCTGCCCCTGGCTCTGGCTCCTCCCTGTGGGACAGATTCTTGAAAGGCCAAAGTGCTCCTGGCCCTGACCCGCCACTCACTTTTCGATGGCAGAGACGTATTTGGTCTCAAAGCAGTCCTTCTTCCTCAAGTCGTCAGGGATTCTCCCGTTGAAGAGAAGCTTCTCCTTGGCCATCTTCACCAGGATGAGCCTGACCAGCTCGCCCATGTACAGCCCACTGATCATCTTCTCAAACCTGCAACATGGGAGAGAAGGAGCAAGATTAGTAGATCAAAGATGTCAATAGATTTCAGATTATGGATTGCTCAACAAAACATGCCATTTCACGCATAGTGGACCCCATCGCACAGGTGTGGAAAATTAATGAGTAAATCATCATCTTGAAGGAAATGCAATGAGAATAATGTTTCATAAAACAAATGTTCCTATGCTATCCTAAAGTGGTTACATTCTGGGAAGATACAGTCATATATTTGATCTCCCACATTCTTCTGAATTAAATTTCCACATGAAAACTGGGAGCTGCAGAATGGAAACGGATCATCCATGCCCTTCCTTCTGCAAGGGGTCCTTCAGCCTTGGAAGTCCACTTTGGACCTGGAAAACCCCGAGGCCTGATCTAACTGGCCTCCTTGGACTGGAGGAGCTGCCGACTCAGCAGAGCCCCATGAGATGCCTTGGTAAGGCCACACTTGGAATACTGCATCCAGTTTTGGCCCCACGAGGTAAAAAAGATATTGAGACTCTAGAAAAAGTGCAGAGAAGAGCAACAAAGATGATCAGGGGCATGGAGGCTAAAACATATAAAGAACGGTTGCTGGAATTGGGGATGTCTAGTTTAATGAAGAGAAGGACCAAGGGTGACATGTTAGCAGTGTTCCAATATCTGAGGGGCTGCCCCCAAAGAAGAGGGAGTCAAGCGATTCTCCAAAACACCTGAGGGCAGAACATGAAGCAACAGATGGAAACTAATCAAGGAGAGAAGCAACCTGGAACTAAGAAGAAATTTCCTGACAGTTAGAACAATTAATCAGTGAAACAATTTGCCTCCAGAAGTTGGAAGTTTTTAAGAAGAGATTGGACAATCATTAGTCTGAAACGGTCTCCTGCCTGAGTTGGACTAGAAGACTAGGAAGGGACTAGGTCCCTTCCAATTTGATGATGATGATGATGACGATATCGCTGAATGCTCTCTGACTCTGGGTAAGACTGGAGCCGCTTCTGGCCTCTGGGCCAGGAGCCTGGAGAGAGACTGGCCTTGCCCAGAAGGTGTCTGTCAACAGCAAAGCCACCCAGGGGGAGACGTTCCACTTACAGCTGCTTGCCAGGATTCAGGGAGCCCATGTCAATCTCTTGGTCAAACTCTGTCCGGATATCCTTGAGGGATCCATCATCTCCAAAGGCTCCCCACTCCATGTTGATGCACATGCGGCCTTCGTCGCCCTCCACCATCTCTATATGGCGCATATCCTCCATGTAGCAAGCATTTGACCCAGAGCCTAGGAAGGGGGGAGGGAGAGAGGCAAGGCAGAAACTGAGAAGGCTCCAAGGCCGTGGGGATGGGCAACAAAGAAGCTCTCATCATAAAGCAGATGCCGTGAGCTGCAAAGTCTGAGAGGAAGGGGGCACAATCTGATGGGGCCAACATTTGTTTCTGCTTCTCGGTTGGCACAGACAAAGTAAGTGGGGAAGGGGACCTGCTTGCCCGTCTTATGCCCAAATGACTCCCTTACCAACAATAAGTCCAACTTCACAGTTCTGGTCGTCATAGCCACAGGTCATCATTGTCCCAACAGTGTCATTCACCACAGCTATAACATCAATTTCAAAGTCCTGTAATGCAGAAATTGGGAAATGAAGCAGTGAACGAGAGTCCCAGTTGGCTCAACAACTCTACACAATCCAGTTGATACCCAAGACTCCTCCTCCAGACCTTGGAAGCAAGGGCAGCGGAAGATGGGGCAGACCGGTATATTGTACAGGTAGCTCCCCTCTTTTCCAGGGTTTGGGGGCACTGGGTATGGCTAGTGTAGTGAAAAGGAGGAGATGGCTCCATAGAATAGCCATGTTCAAGTATTTCAGGGGTTGCCACAAGGAAGAGGGGGTCATGTACATTTAAGAAAAATTCCACATAGATAGGGCAGGCTAGAAATGTCAGTGCCCTCCTAACCATACCCAAGCGCTTCGAAGTTGTTGGCGATGTCATTTTGCTCTATGAGTTCATGGTGACCTAACCCTAACCCTAAGTGGAATTTTCCTCCAATGGGATTTTCCCATGTATTTTACCAGGAAACATAGATAGGGCAGGCTAGAAAAGTCAGTGCCCTCTTAACCATACCCAAGCGCTCCGAATTTGTTGGCGATGTCCATTTTGCTCTAGGAGTTCATGGTGACCTAACCCTAACCCTAAGTGGAATTTTCCTCCAATGGGATTTTCCCATGTATTTTACCAGGAAACATAGATAGGGCAGGCTAGAAAAGTCAGTGCCCTCCTAACCATACCCAAGCGCTTCGAATTTGTTGGCGATGTTCATTTTGCTCTATGAGTTCATGGTGACCTAACCCTAACCCTAAGTGGAATTTTCCTCCAATGGGATTTTCCCATGTATTTTACCAGGAAACATAGATAGGGCAGGCTAGAAAAGTCAGTGCCCTCCTAACCATACCCAAGCGCTCCGAATTTGTTGGCGATGTCCATTTTGCTCTATGAGTTCATGGCGACCTAACCCTAACCCTAAGTGGAATTTTCCTCCAATGGGATTTTCCCATGTATTTTACCAGGAAACATAGATAGGGCAGGCTAGAAAAGTCAGTGCCCTCCTAACCATACCCAAGCGCTCCGAATTTGTTGGCGATGTCCATTTTGCTCTATGAGTTCATGGCGACCTAACCCTAACCCTAAGTGGAATTTTCCTCCAATGGGATTTTCCCATGTATTTTACCAGGAAACATAGATAGGGCAGGCTAGAAAGTCAGTGCCCTCCTAACCATACCCAAGCGCTCCGAATTTGTTGGCGATGTCCATTTTGCTCTGAGTTCATGGCGACCTAACCCTAACCCTAAGTGGAATTTTCCTCCAATGGGATTTTCCCATGTATTTTACCAGGAAACATAGATAGGGCAGGCTAGAAATGTCAGTGCCCTCCTAACCATACCCAAGCGCTCCGAATTTGTTGGCGATGTCCATTTTGCTCTATGAGTTCATGGCGACCTAACCCTAACCCTAAGTGGAATTTTCCTCCAATGGGATTTTCCCATGTATTTTACCAGGAAACATAGATAGGGCCGGCTAGAAACGTCAGTGCCCTCCTAACCATACCCAAGCGCTCCGAATTTGTTGGCGATGTCCATTTTGCTCTAGGAGTTCATGGTGACCTAACCCTAACCCTAAGTGGAATTTTCCTCCAATGGGATTTTCCCATGTATTTTACAGGTAGATAGGGCAGGCTAGAAAAGGTCAGTGCCTCTGAAACCAACCCCAAGCACTCCGAATTGTTGGCGATGTCCCATTTGTCTAGTGAGTTCATGTGACCTAACCTAACCCTAAGGGATTCTCCAATGGGATTTCCCATGTATTTTACCAGGAAACATAGATAGGGCAGGCTAGAAAAGTCTGTGCCCTCCTAACCATACCCAAGCGCTCCGAATTTGTTGGCGATGTCCATTTTGCTCTATGAGTTCATGGCAACCTAACCCTAACCCTAAGTGGAATTTTCCTCCAATGGGATTTTCCCATGTATTTTACCAGGAAACATAGATAGGGCAGGCTAGAAATGTCAGTGCCCTCCTAACCATACCCAAGTGCTCCGAATTTGTTGGCGATGTCCATTTTGCTCTAGGAGTTCATGGTGACCTAACCCTAACCCTAAGTGGAATTTTCCTCCATTGGGATTTTCCCATGTATTTTACCAGGAAACATAGATAGGGCCGGCTAGAAACGTCAGTGCCCTCCTAACCATACCCAAGCGCTCCGAATTTGTTGGCGATGTCCATTTTGCTCTATGAGTTCATGGTGACCTAACCCTAACCCTAAGTGGAATTTTCCTCCAATGGGATTTTCCCATGTATTTTACCAGGAAACATAGATAGGGCAGGCTAGAAAAGTCAGTGCCCTCCTAACCATACCCAAGCGCTTCGAATTTGTTGGCGATGTTCATTTTGCTCTATGAGTTCATGGTGACCTAACCCTAACCCTAAGTGGAATTTTCCTCCAATGGGATTTTCCCATGTATTTTACCAGGAAACATAGATAGGGCAGGCTAGAAAAGTCAGTGCCCTCCTAACCATACCCAAGCGCTTCGAATTTGTTGGCGATGTCCATTTTGCTCTATGAGTTCATGGTGACCTAACCCTAACCCTAAGTGGAATTTTCCTCCAATGGGATTTTCCCATGTATTTTACCAGGAAACATAGATAGGGCAGGCTAGAAAAGTCTGTGCCCTCCTAACCATACCCAAGCGCTCCGAATTTGTTGGCGATGTCCATTTTGCTCTATGAGTTCATGGCGACCTAACCCTAACCCTAAGTGGAATTTTCCTCCAATGGGATTTTCCCATGTATTTCACCAGGAAACATAGATAGGGCAGGCTAGAAATGTCAGTGCCCTCCTAACCATACCCAAGCGCTCCGAATTTGTTGGCGATGTCCATTTTGCTCTATGAGTTCATGGCGACCTAACCCTAACCCTAAGTGGAATTTTCCTCCAATGGGATTTTCCCATGTATTTTACCAGGAAACATAGATAGGGCCGGCTAGAAACGTCAGTGCCCTCCTAACCATACCCAAGCGCTTCGAATTTGTTGGCGATGTTCATTTTGCTCTATGAGTTCATGGTGACCTAACCCTAACCCTAAGTGGAATTTTCCTCCAATGGGATTTTCCCATGTATTTTACCAGGAAACATAGATAGGGCCGGCTAGAAACGTCAGTGCCCTCCTAACCATACCCAAGCGCTCCGAATTTGTTGGCGATGTCCAAAATGGACATCGCCAACAAATTCAGAGTGATTGGGTATGGTTAGGAGGGCACTGACTTTTCTAGCCTGCCCTATCTATGTTTCCTGGTAAAATACATGGGAAAATCCCATTGGATGAGAATTTGGGTGGGCTGTTTTCACTCCATGAATGGCTTTCCCAAATTTTTCAAACAATTTTAAAGAAAACATACAACCATACTGAGTGACTATGGGAGGATTCTAGCACCAATGACCCTGTGATAGATCCTCGGGGATATCTAAGGCCTCCCTGGAACCTCAAGCTGGGAAAAGATCATGTTTTAATTACCCCTCGCTTCTTTATAGCTTCCCGTAACAGAGAAACCACGTCCTTTCCTTCCACACCACTGCACTTGAAACCTTTGGTCCATGTATCCAAGAAGCTCTGATGATAAAAAGGTAAAGCGACAAGAAATTAATCTTAACGTGACTATCTTACGGGGGTTCTGCTCCCCAAATCCTAGAGAGAATTTACTCTGACAGGGTTCCCCCCGTCCGAGAAGTGTGGACTTCAGTTCCCAGAACTCCTCAACCTGTACAGTTACTATCGAGAAATTTACATTGAGGATCCTGGGAGTTGAAGTCTACATATCTGGAGGAGGAGCTGTTCTTTAAACCATGGTTTAAACTATGACTGAATGTTTCTGGTGGACATTCATCAGTCTTTATTAAGTATTTCCTTTTATTTTTATTCTGCATATTTATTCTGTTGAATGTCACCCAGACTCTACAGATTGGGGCAGAATTAAAAAAAAAGTGAGAAAAAGAATAGTTCCCACTTTTAAATGGTCCTTGGTCTGGCTTCTCCTTCCTCCGTCCCTCCTCCTGCACCCCTTTCTGCCATCATCCACGTCGGATGACGTGTAGCAAAGCCTGGCATCTCCCAGGGGCCGAATGCCAAGCAGCGATTTTCCTCCCTTTCCTAGGCAGGCTCCACACTCCAAATGCCCCGGAGGGCCTTGGGAAGGGGGCCGTTTCCAGCACGCCTCCATTACTCTCTTTCAGCTTTGCGCTCCACCTGTTGGGTCCACAGCACCCTGAGGGAACAGCCGTCTGGTCAGCCTGGCATATTGCCCCACTCGCAGATCCCTGGCACAACCCATCAGCCGGTGGTGAAAGAAGAGACTGATCAGGGAGGTCCGGTGAGGGGCCGTGCCCACCTCAGTCCCTACCAGCCATAAGGATCCCCTCCCGATCTCGCCCAGTTCTGCCCCCTCCCCAACTTTGCCTCTGATGTAAGAGGTGCTCCAGCACAATGGATTCTGCCCACCTGTCAGATGCTCTGAATGTCAGCTTAAAGGGGGAAGCACAACTTTAATGTCAGGACCGCTAAGGATGGATTAAGCCTGTCTCATTCACAGGCCGGGCAGGAGAGGACCCGAACCTCAGGAGGACCCGGCAGGGAAAGGTGCTGGCAGAGAATCTATCTCTGTGCCAGAGTTGGAGGCATGTGGGGGAAGGTCTGACACAGTGTCCCAGGAGCACAGATCTCGCTTACCTCGTCCAGTTTGGTCTGGCGGCAGGGAAAGGAGAAGGTAAAGCCTAATGGCAGCTTCCTGTTCTTTATCTGCAGCTGCTCCATGAAGTTAGCCAAACAGTCAGCAATGTAATCAAAGAGCTGAAGAGGCAGAAACACATCTTTAGGAAATCCAGTCACCAAATAGTTTTGGTTTGTCTAGATGTGCCAAAGCCTTTACTCAAATCTATGTACAGCTAAGGTATCACAACTACATCAAAATCAAAATGCAAGCAACATTTATGTACTGTCTCCAACATCAGAGACCTGAACTGTATCCCCCAAAAATCTACAGCTAGAAGAGAATATTTGTAGCTCAAGGCTGGAATAAGGGATCCTTGGTGCTCTCTAAGCTTGGTTGTTTTCTTGCAGACCTTTCATTACCAAACTAGGTAACATCGTCAGTGGTAGAAGGGAGTAGGGTTTGCTCTAACCTCCTCCCATCTAGCAGCGACAAGGTTACCCAATTTGGTAATGAAACGGTTTTGAGGCCAATCTTGGATTCACCCCAATCCGGTTACCTCATTTGCCACCAAAGGAAACACTCCAGCCTTCTTCTCCATTAGACATCCATAGTTCACCTTTGCAGTCAGGCTTTCCTGGGTCTTGATTTAGAAATCCTTCCACTGAATATGACTGGGGTTTCGATTTAGATCTGTACTGCTCAGTAAGTGTCACTGTGCTGTTTATATTTTCTATGGCGTGGCCTCCAATATTCTGCAAATATCTACACCCTACAACATTAGGTAAAATAAATAAATAAAAGTGGAACTACATGTTTCAGAGTAGGACTCTACTCTGCACATCCATGTCTTCCCCTTTGAGATGGGGAACTTTACAGACACTCCAAGGCAACAAGAATCCCTCTTTGCCACTCACAATGGCCAAAAAAACAAGCTACAGACCCACTTTGGGAGCACTTGGGAGCCCACATAAAGAGCATATTCATTACATTTTCCATAGAATCCAGAGGTTCTCTGCCCCCATGGTACATCAGTTAGAGTAGGACGTAGAGAGAGGTAGCTGAAATCAGAGAGACAAACTAAGGGACTCACCTGTGTCCCACAGCCTCTCATCAGTTCTTCCGAAATATCATAGATCTGATTTTCCATCTCAACCTTCTTGCTGCCGTTTTCTGCAACTTTGACTCTGAGCACCCGGAAATTTGTGCCACCAAAATCCAATGCCAAGAAGTCACCTTCCTCTGTTGGAAGTTGAGGTGAGTGGGGTGGGGTAGGGAGAAAGAGAGAGAGAGAGAGATGGAGGCCATTTCATTCATGTATGCATGCAGGGTTCAAAAAACAAAACTATGAGCTCTTCAAAAATGATCAAAGGCCTGGAGACTAAAACATATGAAAAACAACTGTGGGACTTGGGTTTGGCTGGTGTAAAGAAAAGAAGAAACAGTAGAGACATGATAGCAGTATTCCAGTATTTGAGGGGCTGTTACGAGGCAGAGGGGGGCAGGTTGTTCATCAAAGCACCAGATGGAAGGTCGAGAAACAATGGTTGAAAACTGATCAAGGAGAGAAACAACCTGGAATTAAGGAGAAACTTCCTGACAGTGAGGACCAGTGGGACAGCTTACCCCCAGAAATCATGGGCACTCCATCACTGGAGGTTTTTAAGAAGAGACTAGACAGTCACCTGTCTGAGATGGTATAGGTTCTCCTGCTTGAGCAGGGGGCAGGACTAGAAGATCTCCAAGGCCCCTTCCAGTGCTATGCTATGCTATGCTATGCTATGCTATGCTATGCTATGCTATGCTATGCTATGCTATGCTATGCTATGCTACTCTACTCATATCGTAATGGGAAAAACAAAAACACATGGCCAATAAACCATGCAGAGTCAGGTCTCCCAAGGGGCTTTCAAATGGGTGAAAACTACTCCAGAAATATATTACATCGTAAGTTACAGAATTTAGAAAACACGATCTCCATCTTTAGAGGCCCATTTCTATAGGAAAGATGCCAAAGCTTAAGAAATATTATTTAAAGATTTGAAGTAGTCAAATCCCTGCTTGGCAGTTAACATGCTCTAAAAACATTTGATATAGGGAAGAATTGAACTTCTACAATCAAGAGAGCTCTGAGCCTGAAGCGGACTGCTTTTTATTGGGGGGGTGAAGGTGGGGGAAGACAACACTTTACCTGTTCCATCAGGAATGGACCTCACAAAGGTTGGCAGCATTTTCACAGAAGCCGTAGGGTTGGTGTCCGCCCCCAGGCCCTTCTCCATTTCCTTCCGGAACCGTTCTGAGATGTCACGGAGGGAGTCATCTGAAAGCCGTAGGTGATACAGGTACTTGTCAACCTGGCAACAGGAGAAAAATGGGTAAAGCAAAGAAAAATGGTGAACAACCCGAACAGCCAGGGCCGCCTTCTCCATCTGTGATCAACTGGCAGCAGATCAGCTTTTCCCGGCTGATCCTGCTGGTTGGAGAGAAGGCCCAGAGTCCAGCATGTCCAGGAAGGCTCCTTTCAAAGACTAGCCAGCAGCCACCCAACAGAGCTTTTCCAAAGGCAGAGCAGGGCAGGACGGGGCAGGCAAGAGTCCTGGAGGCCAGCATTTTGTGTGTTGCAGCCCAGATTGCCTCATTAAAGTCCTCAATTACAAAGCAGGAGGACTGCCAGAGAACATCATTTGAGAACTGCTCGCTTAATTACTCAGCTTTTACTAAATTAAAATGCAATTGAGGAGAAGAGCAGATATCTGAAGGGAGCTGGCCAGCCAGGCACTTTTGACTTAGTGATGCCCCCATCTCCTCACTGCAGACCCTTCTGTGGTCAGAGATGGCTGCTAATTCCAGAATTACGTTTATTAATCACCTGGCAAACTGGTTCCTAAAGTTTATGCCACTCCATGCTACATAAGCAGGATTTCAAAGATGACACAGTGGCTGGAGCTGAACAGAACAAAGGCCCCACTTATGCTTCTCAGAATCTTACAGCAACAGGCTGCAAGAGGAACCAGAGCTAACAGTTTGTTACAATGCATTTTATGTCCCAGTTACAAAAACAATGCTTGGAAAGGTTGCATTTGAAAGAATCCGGAAGCAGAATAGAACACACACCAGTTGCACACAGCGGCCATTCCTGTCCACCAAGAGAGATTTTTGACTAATGTGACATCTTTCCCGCCCGGCTACCAGTAACCAGGATGTACAGGTGTGCCACCCTGGCTCTGGCGGCTCCTGTAAACAGAGGCAGGCTGAGAAACTGCAGGGGAGGAGCAAGGAGGTCTGGCCCCCTCATCCTGGAAGGGGGGAGCAACGACAGCCCCGCTGGGTTAGAATCAAAAGACTGATTGCAGAAAGCGACAGGGAAGATCTGCTTTCATAATCAGCTAAAAATAGGAAGCTGGCAATCTTTTAAAGCCAGATATTCCTAAAGGGAGAAATGAGGGCTAGTTCTTTGATTTTTCCAGCAACTGATTTAATTCAGTGAATTAAATTCTCATCAGATTTTTTTTTTACCTGTTACCTTTCACTTGATTTTGACCGTTTATTTCAAAGGGGAAGTGTGGTGTTTTCATTTAGTTGCAAGTTGGCCAAGGGCTGGGCATTTCATTGCATTTATCCTCCCCCTTCAGGGATCTGTAGCCACCTGCTCTTCCCACACCTTCCTTAACTCCTAAGGACTCCCTTCCCTTGAGGCTCTGTTTATTTAGCCTCCTGCCTTTGTCCTGGGCATGGATTTCTCCTCTACAGAAATTGGATGAAGTGACCTCCCCAATTTCTGGATTTTAAAGAATTCCAGACTGCTTTTCTGACAATTCTACTATAATTTAAACTTAATAATTTTAACTTAACCATGTTGTTCAATGGCACTTTTGTGTATCTTCAGTTGTCCAAGTAACGCAGTTGTCTCGATAGATTTGTGTTATGCTTCAAGTCTCAAATTTAGTTTGCCCTTCCTTTTTCTAGCTTCCTTGCTTCCTCCTGCCATGAAGCACCTTCGCATCTGTCTCTGCAGTGGAACAGGAAGTCCTGAGAGCTTTTAAATTCTTTCCTTTCAACCAACAGAGACTGAATCTCATTTGCTTTCACAACTACCGTATGTGGACAATCCACATTTCTTTGAAAGGGAGTGAGGCTGCCAGACAGCTTAATCTTTTTCCACCTGTGAAACCACTGCCTAGTTTAAGCAGCAGCCCGCCCAGCCCCCAGCTCACGTTGACATCGGCTGGCCCTGATGGCCCAGGAAACCAGGTTCTCATGACAGGCACAGAACACATGAGGAGGATCAATATCCTGTCCTTGCCCTGGAACTACAGAGCTATTTAAAACATTTCTAGGCCAACCTTTGGGGGGGGGCACTTTCCATTACCACACACAGTAGTAATGCTGCATGAGACAGTCTTGACTCCCAGCAAGTGCCTGACAAAGGCTCCCCCCCTTTCTCTTGGCAGCATCTTCAGAAGTGCTCAGCCCTGGCGTCCATCTTCCTCCTGGGCCTGGGATCACCCAGCCAGCTTTGTGTCTAAGGCAGGACTAGAACTCAGGGTCTCAAAGCTCTGGTATTATTTCCAAGAGCCCATTTATCACAAAAGTTAACCTGAGGATCAGCTCCTTCCTTGTCTGCATCCAGGGACCCTAGACCACAATGAGAGGCATCAGCCCTCTAGCTTCCATCAGCCCCAGGAGCTTTGCCTGGGGCCATCTGCATGTCCTCCCCTCTTCTCCCACACCTGCCCACTGCCGCCTGGGGGCAGAGCCAACCCTTCCACACAGAGGCTCCAGACCAAGCCCTCCGGTTTCCAGGCAGCCCCAACCAAGGCCAACCACAGCAGAACCAGCAACACGCCCTGCTAAGCCACAGAGTGACTGGGTGGCCTTTGACACAGAGGGATGTGTGAACGAGGCTCACAAGGACTTGTTCAAGAAACCAAAGTTGAAAAAACCTGGCTTACTCTCATGCGCATGTCAGACCAGTATTTGGCAGCTCCTGCGCACTCTATTTTCCAACCTTATGCAAAAATACATTAGTTCTCATAGCTCTGACCCCATTCCCATGAGGCTGCCTGCCCACAGTTCTCAATCAGGGACAGTTTGGGCAAGTAATGCTTTACGGAATCTACTTGGTGGGTGAATCTGTTCCTGAGGCAGCCACCAACCTTTCCTGGATTGCTCTCCTTCAGCCTCCTTCAGGAGATTCGTTCCCAGAACTGCTCTGATCTTGTCAGAGCCATGTTTAGCACCAAAACCAGAGGTCAGCCACCCTCCACCCCACAACAGGGCAACCATTTATTAAGTCAGGGCCTACCGTTAACCACAATGTGCTAAGGCAGGACAAGAAACAGCTGAAAGCTGAATGCCTTCACGCCACGCACGTCACATCTCCCCGAAGGGAGCTCCTTTGCCGTTCTTCTGCTTGTGACATCAAGATTAACTTTACTTCTTGACAGATTTCTTGCTCAGCACCCAGTGAGTCAGCTTCCTGCTTAGCTAGTTCTTCTTTGGTTCATCTCCACCCTCAGTCTACACTACCACACAGCCTGTGCACTGAGCTGCTGGATGGGACACTTAGAAAGCAATTACTAATTTAAGGCACTTCTGTCCAAGCTGTCCAGAGACTCCAGGGGATGGGTAAGAAGGGCAAATGATGGAGAACGTCGAAAGAAAGCTCTCTCCTAGCCAGAGACTTTCAGAAGGATCACAATCCCCCACCTTCCTTGCCAGCACAACAATTCTCCTCCGGGGTTCTTGCCCCCATCAGCGCAATCACACCAAGAGACCCAGTTGGTATACAATAACAAATGCCAATAGCAGTTAGTTGGTTTCTCTACTAAGAGAACAACAAACAGATGCAATTTGGATGCAGAAGATGAGGAGGTGCACCAGCCAAAGTTGGGCTAATGGGTGGTGACCAGAGACATCAGCGCTGATTCCTGGACTGTTGCCAAAGCAGCAGGTGGCCTTGATGACAGCCCTTCAAGTTAGTCCATGCAGGAAGCCAAAACCACAGAACTTCTGCATCCAAATTGCATCTATTTGTTGTGTTCAGCTGACATGTTTTTAGAGAGCAAAACTATGTTAGTCTCATTTTGGTGTTAATTCCTTATTCCTAGAACTGCAGCATACAAATTGTATCTTGTAATAATGCCTCAGTTATAGCAAGTCTAATTTATAATCAACCAGAGTTAAGAACTGTAACAATGCAATACACACTGAAAAGTAAAACAGCTGCATTGTTACAGTTCTTAATAGCTGCAGTCCAGGCGCAACATTTTGGATGCTAATCCAAGGGCACTGGGGAAAGTCAACCGATGGGGGAAGAGAGGCACAATGAAACTCTTTCCCTTCCCTCCACCCCATGGATTCCAGTAAATGGGTGTTTCCTTCCAGCCACTCTAAACTCTTCCGAGGCCCAGCAGACCGGCTTCAGAGCTGCAGATGTTGGCCAACTTCCGAATTGGTGGAAGATCCTTCAGAATCTGAGGTTTGATTTTCAAACTGAGCTCAAATACAAGTTGCACAACCTAACAGAGCAAAGGATACGAAAATTCTGAAGCAATACTTCAAGGAAAACTAGAATTTTCTTTTCTCAAATATGATATTTTCTGAGGCCTGATTTAGAAGAAGAACTAGTAGATAAATATTTTCTCCCACTTTGCTACAGATAACACAATCTGGCAGTTACAAATTACATGTTTGAAGTGACTTGATCCTGGGTGAAGTTTTATGGCCCTGGGGGTCATGCCTTTTTCAAAGGGCAGAATGCCCCCCCTGCCCTTCTACGGAGGACCCCTCCGGCCCAGCAGCGGTTACAGGTTCTGCCTCCCTGTCGTACAAAGACTCAGGCAACTCAGTCAAGCAGGGCCCTGCCTGTGCAAAAGGAGACGAGCCCTCCTTCATCTGGGGCCAGACCAGAAGGGGCAAAGGGGCTTCAGGACACAGTTTCAGCCAGAGGCTTCTCCCTCTGGCCAAGAGCAGTGAGACACAGCTTCTTTAGGAGGCTACTGATAGAGGGTCTGTGTGCATCCCCAAATCGCCCTTCTCTTCGGGGCTGGCTCCCTGTTCAACCACTTGGTGCCTGGGGCCCTTCAACTTCTGGTTCCAGCAAAGGATTGGTTGGGGCAGCGGATAAAGGTGGCCTGTTCTTTCTTTGCAGTGTGCTCTGTGTGTGTGTGTGTGTATACACGCGCACCTATGTGTGAGGGGGAGGAGACAAGAAATAGCAAAAGGGAGTGCCAGCCCTGGCCCCACCCACCCCTTGATTCATCCCTGCTCTTTGGGCAGATTAACCCCAGAATACCCCCAAAATAATTTTGTCCTTCTGAAAAACAAAATTACCCAAGCAAAGTTGCTAATCTTAGCACTAGATTTTAAGCCATGACCTTTCCCTCCCTAGAGAAGCATGACAAAACATTTGCTGATCCTCCCAGCCCTACTAGCGAAAACCAGTTAATAAGATCCCTGTTCTGGGCTGGGTCTTTCTCACAGCAGGTCTGCCAAGAGGGGCATTCCCAGTGCCAGCTCATCAGCAAGGGAGGAGAGCCAGCCTGCCAGCTCAGATCCTCCTTCCTCATTCACCCCCACCACCAGGAAGCTTCCTCAGTTCTGAAAAAGTTTGCCAGGGAATCTTTCTGCACTATCGGGTTAAACCCTTCCCCACCATCCCAGGTTGGAAAAGCTAGTCCATGACATCTAAAGCTCTCCATCAATCCCTACGCTGCCCCCACAGCCTCACCTCCAAAAGCTGCTCTCCATCACCCACATACAATCACAATAAGCAAGCCTGCTTGATTCCTGTCTTTGCTGCCCTCCCTCCTTAACTGGGGCAAAGTATCCACCAATCACAGAGCTGCAGTAGGAAGAGGGTGGGTCCAGCATCTCTGGGCCATCCTCTGCCCCCCCCCCACTGTCCCGCTGCCATGCCAGTCTAACTGAGTGGGGGAAGGGACTAAAGGGGCCCACTTTTGTTTAGGATTTCTTTACCTCCCTGCCTTTTTCCACACAGCCTCCAACCTGGCTGCTGAGCCCCCAGATAATCTTTGAATCCCATTACCACCAAAAAAGGAGGGTCTTGCAAGAGGCTTTTTGGAGGAAGAATAGGCGAGAGTTTTAAAAGACTTTAATTTCCCATCTCTGGACCGCTGACTTCTTTCCAAGGAAATGGGGACCAAAGCCAGGAGATGCTACCACCCCAAGGGGGCCGCCTGGGATGGGTCCCAATCAAATCTCAATGAAGGAGGGGAGATGAGAAGAAGCCGAGGTCCTGGGAAACTGCGGCTGTCAAAGGAGTATAGGAGTCAGGACCTCATCCAGGGCACTGGAAGCAGCCATGCGTCTCTGCTCAGAAAATTGCCACCTGAGGTCCGGAAGAGAAACACCCCCGTTTCCTCTCCACTAAATGGCTCCTATCTGAGAACAGCTTGTTTTGTTGTGCCTCTCCCCTGAGAATCCCTGATCTAACAAGGAATTGTGTCTGAGCAGGGCCAGGGGGCTGGGTGGGTGGGCTGCACAGTTACAAGATCCCTCTGCAATCAAGAGGAGCCACTAACTTGATGGAGATGATCCCACATGGTTTGTGCCACAAAACCCCTCTCATAAAAATAGGCTGGGATCGCAGGGGCCCCGTTGTTACTAGTTGTTTTTTAAACTCGAGGACAAAAAACGAAGGTCTGGTATGAAATGAATGCCTAAAGAAGCTGCCTTGATTGTTGGCTCCGGACTGAGACAGTGCCAACCCTCCCGAAGCGGCACAGGGGGCTTTGCAGGATGGCAATAAGAGGATGAAAGCAAAATCTGCCCCTGCCCTAGAGAGAGGCGAGACAAGGCCCTTTGGGGTGGGGGGAGGGCACAGGAAAGCCAAATGGATTGCTAGCTTTGATCTCTCCGGCTCCCAAACCCAAAGTTCTAGCTTGGCCCAGCAGCTTCGCATTTCTGCGAAGGGATCAGCGGGACAGCCCACCCTCCTCCTCCTGGCTCGACCCCCGGCGCCCCCGAGCCTCCCCGCTCGCCATCCTCACCTCTTCAGGCTCCGCCCCCTCCCGAGCCTCGCGGGCCTCTGCAGGGCAGGCTGAAAGCCAGCAAAACTCCCCGAAGACCTCCGCGCCAGGCGCTCGCGGGCACCACGTTGCAGGGGAGCAAAGCGAATGCGGGCAGCAGGCGCGCGCCCGGCGATCCTCTCGCCCGGCCGGCTAGGAAGCCTTGGGGGGGGGTCCCGGGGCCCTTCCCGGGGGCGGGTGCCGCTCGGCGCCTCCCGGGCAAGATGCCGGCAGCCCCGGGTCCTCTGGCCCGCCTCCCTTCAGGCCCGGCCGGGTCGTCCCTGCCGGGGCGCGAGGGCCGGCGTTCCCGGGGCCCGGGCGCGGGCAGGACGCGCTGGCTCCGGAGAGCCCGCAACCGCAACGGGCTCTCCGCGGGCTTCCTGGGACAGTTTGTTCCCGCCGCTTCTTTAGGCGAACGAGAAGCGAGCGAGCGACCCGACGGCCGAACGAGCCGCTCCGAGCGCCGTCTCCACGCTCGGCCGCGACGCTCGCACGGAGCCCGAAAGAGAAGCCCCGGCAGCCGCAGCGCTTCGCTCCCCTCGGAGGCAGCCCGCCGGGCTTTTGTTCGCCGCCCGGCCCCGCGGAAAGCGCCCCTGGCGCCGCCGGAGCCCCCCCTCTCGCGCCAACCTTTCCCCGCCATCCAAGGCAAGTCGGCCGCCGAGCTTCCCGCCTCCCCAGCCCGGGCGCGAGGCGGGAGGCGTCGGCGGCGCTCGCGGGGAGCAGGGGAGGCGCGCCCGGCCTGCGCCCACGTGCTACGCGCCTCACCCGCTGCGCCTGGTCGTGGTGGAGCTCGGTGAACAGGTAGGCCAGCAAGTGCGAGGCGATCATGGCGCTGCTGCTGCTCTGCCGGAGCCCGGAGCTGCGCGACAACCGGCGGGAGCGGAGTTCGGACGGCGCCGGCCGGACAAAGTGACTCGCGAGCCTCGCCGGCTAATCGCTCATCCCGGCCGGCTTCCGCGTGACGCGCCCTGCCCGCCGCCGCCCATTGGCCGCGGGCCGAGGGTGTGTGCCGGCGGGGGAGGAGGGAGCGGCTGTTCCGGGTGCCGGGCGAGGAGGCTGCCCCCCCCAGTGCGCCTCGCGGCGTGTCTCTGAGCACGTGCGGAGGGATCCGGCCGCCCGCGGGCGACGGCGCTAGCGAGGACCCGGGGCGGGACGGGGCGGTGGCCGCCCTACGGCCGGCGCTAGGAGAGCGGGGTCGGGAAGCAGCCACGGCCCGGGATGCGTGCGGAGCCTCTCCCGACCGGCCTGCCGGACCGCCCCCTCCACCCGCGGGCCCGCTGCGGAGGCCGCCTCTGGGCGCGTGCAGAGCGCCTTGCCCTGGATGGCGGGCGGGCGGGCGGCTGGCCGGGCCGGGCAGGGCCGCGATAGGCTGCCTGGGCGCGCCAGGGCTCCGCGGGGCCTCCCTGTCTCCTCGCGGCCCGGCCCCGCCCGGAGCGCCTCGCGCCCCACTGCCGGGCTCCTGCGGCGGCCGGCGGCCTTCGTCGGGTCCGGGGAAGCGGGCGCGAGGCCTTGCCGCCTCGAGGGTCCCCGTCCCTGGCGTCTCTTCCTCAGAAAGGGGCCCTCGAGCCGCCTGCCGAGTTTATGGGGGGAAGGGGGTGCTCCCGCCGCCCTTCTCGCTTCGACCCCGCGTAGCTGGGTGACCGCAGCCGGGTACAGCCCCTCGCCCCCGAGCCGGTCGGGGCTCCACGCGTGAGGGACTCGCCTTCCTTGCCGGGGGGGGGGCATCCGCCTTTGCCGAGCGCCCGTCCAGTTTCTCTCCCCCCCCCCTTGTCCTCCCCAAAAAGCCCCGGAGGGAAGCGCGAGGTTCCCCCGGCGACGGTTTCGCGAAAAAGGGTTTGTATCCTGGCCGGTTTGCTAAAAGCGAAACTTTAGTTACTAAGAAATCCCCCGGAGAAACGAAGTCCGCCGCCGCCCTGGGTGAGAAAGCGCTGCATTCAGCCAGATCAGTTTAAGGAACTTGTTCCAAATAGTATATAGCAGGGTAGGCAACCTTGGCTCTTTTATGACTCGGGACTTCAACTCTATGCTGGCTCAGGAATTCTGAGAGTTGGAGTCCACGAGTCATAAAAGAGCCAAAGTTGCCTACCCTGCTATATATTTGAAGGTGATAACTGTGATTAACGTTGTAAACGTCCATTTGCAAGACTTTACTGTATCCAATGCTAACTAAACCAATTGCTATAACGTCTGTATTAATTGACTTTTAAAACTTAGCAAAAAGTTGCCTTCAGTTATGTAAATAATAACTGCAGTGCCCGGATTCACACATCATTTAATATTACAGCTTAGCAGGGAGATGTGGGACTTTGGAGAGAAAAGCTTGGTGTCCCGTCTATAAATTAACTCCTGAATATAGCTAACAGCTTGAACAAGGGTTTAAAATCTTGATAGATTGCTAGTCAATAGCACCCAAAGGAAGCCAAGCCGAATTTAAAAGACCAAAGAAAAGTTTTTTCCTCTCTTCTCTCATTCTCCTTCCCCTGCCCTGAGCAGTCCTGGGCAAGAACCGTTTAGCTAAAAGAAACATCCTGAGGACTGGGAACTGCAGACGCACGCCTTGGGTAAACAATCAAACCCATCGATCCCACTGGATAGGAACAAATATAATGCTAACAAAACAGACATAAACCACATATAGAAACCCATTTGCATGAACAAAGAAACATCTAAGGACAATATTGATCACTCCCGGTCTAAACAAACACAAACTAAGGGAAATTAAGGGAACAAATACCTTTACAAAATCTAAATTATAATTTCAATAATTCTCATAACCAAGTGACAGTCCAAAATAGTAGCACATGCCGAATTGCTCAGGATCCTCCCTCGTTGAATATAGCGTGGATTTAGCTGGGTGTCCTGCAGCCAAAGGGAGATGGAGAAGGGGAGGGGGCGAAGGGGACAGCAACTGCAGTTCTCATATTAACTCAGGTTAGCTGAGCCAGCCTGCCAGCCAGCCGCTACAACCATTGCTCCTTCCTGCCTCTAGTTGACCTCCTCCTCCTCCTCAGGATGGGATATTTTAGGCACAGAAGACTTGGCACCAGGGGGGGAGGGGGGGAAGAGCTGAGCAAAGGAAGAGGAAGCATTTGGTAAGCCGCTGCTGAGGAGAATTGCAAACTTCCTTTCCAGAGGGGAGAAGAAGAAGAAAGAAGGTGACACAGACAAATGTGCTAAAGAAAAGAAAGTCCTAGAAATGGAGACAGAATTGTACCTTTTAAAGCAAACCAGATGCCATTTAACTCATTTCCCAAGGGGGGTGGAATAACAATTCCCATACTTTATACTCATAAGGCTGAGAATCATGGGAGGTTACAGATGTGGAAGGTGGCCACCTGGTTGACAACAAGATGCACACAGAGTGAAGGATAATTTTATGCCATTGAAAACCAGGAGCAAGAACTGGTGACATGAATTTAATTTAGTGGAATTATATATGATTGTGTTACGGGGAAGGGAATTTTTTTTTCATAATTTTGAATTACAAGCCTTTCAGATAATTAACATCTCCCATTATTAATACCTATCTTTCTAACCTGTATAACTGATGGGAATTGTAGTCCATCATATTTAGAAAGCTGAGTAAGGCAAAGGAATAATTTGAACCTCCATCAAGATGTTGCTCAAATCCACTTGCAATAATTAGAACCTCCATCAAGATGTTGCTCAAATCCACTTGCCCCCACCGAATTGTACAAGGAAGACCCAGCTCCAGTGAAACCTTCCCCTTTAAAACATGTATGGATTTAACCTATCCAGCTTCCAGTTAACTCTCAAAACACATTTTCTACATACCACCACACAAGCTGTCCTCAGGCTGCATTTGGGTTTTTTTTTGGGGGGGGAAGGGTGTGGGTGAGGCCCTACAGTACTTAATAATGCATCTGTCGTAATCAGTGCTGGAGTGTTTTCACACACAGCATCCCTGATTACAACATTTATTCCATTACCGTTGCATATCGCAAAACTGGAATTCTGTTACGTAACTTCTGTGTAAGGGAAGTGTTTCAAGCAAAAACAGAAGTGCTGGATTGCGCAATGCAGGGGGAGAAACCTGAGGCTGACCGGGCACCCTCCAGCCAAACCCAGGGCCACAACCTTAGCCAGCAGCTGAAGCCCCTCTGAGGAGAGGCTGAGGCTGACACCCACCCAGGAGCTCCCCTTTCTTTCCTTCTGCCCGATCCACGCCTGCCGGGCCAAAATCTCAGCAGCAGCTGCTCTAGCCCCCCACTTCCCTCTCTCCGGCCAGGCTCCCGCAAAGCCTTTCAGCCAGCCCCGCCACATGTATATAGAATAGAAATAGAAATAATAGAATAGGATTAGAATAGAATGGAATGGAATAATTCTTTATTGGCCAAGTGTGGTTGGACACACAAGGAATTTGTCTCTGGTCATAAGCTCTCAGTGTATATACAAGTAATAGTGATAATCATATGAAAATACATTCATCATAAATCATAAAATACACTTCATCATAAATCATAAGATGCAACATTTAGTGATAGTCAAAGAATACTAGCTAAGCAAACTACGTAAATCATACTAGGATACTAGGGATTCCATCCCTACAAAGATCAGAATCATGCAGGTCATGGTGTTCTCCGTGCTGCACCATGAAAGCCAAAGTTGGACCTTGAACCAGGAAAAAAATCATAGGGACACTATTTGCAGAAGAGCACTAAGAATACTGCGAATGATGACCAAGAAAACCAACCGAGGATTCATCGTACCAATCAGCCCAGAGTTTTCCCTTGTGGCCCAAATGGCTACATTATCCTACTTTGAGCAAAGACCCAGCTCTCCAGAGAAGAGCTTGGAAAGGGGGAGGAAAAGAGAAGAAGAGGATGACCAGCAGCCAGGTGGAGGCACTGTGGTGATGGAGGCTCTCTTGGAAGAGCTGAAAGCAGTTTAGGGATCATCATCACAAAGAAAATCTTTCCATGTGGTTGCTAAGCATCAACACCAACTTGAGGGCAGATAATCACTGTAAGCAAGTTTAATATTGAAGCTGAAGTCTAGCTGATTGTGGAAAAAAATAGGAAAGATCTCCTCTTCTTAAAACCCCAAAGGTAAAAACCTACCTGATTAAAGATTTCCTGCTTCTTGGTCTCCTCCCTGGCATCCATCCTGCCCAATTTCTTGGTAGCAACTGCAGGTGATCTGGAGCTACCCTGGTGTGCTCCAGCTCAAGAGGGCATGAGCGGAGGGCGGCTCTGGGAGCACTTATGAAGCAGCTAGCAGCGGTTGGCTGAGGTCACCAGCTGGGCGAGGCTGAGTGTGTGGCACAGGGGGATAGGATTGTGTGCATTGAATCCGACTTATGGGCAATGAGGGAGGTTGTGCCTAGTTGCTGAGAAAGGACTTTAGACACCACATCTCACTTCCTCTTGGGCAGTCACTGCCTGGCTCACATGCTGGTGTGGGAAACAACAACTGATCACTGAAGCATCTTCAGGACAACACAAGAAGAGCTGAACTGAAGAGCTTTGGGTTTTTTTTAAAAAATTACTGCCACTTCTGTGATGGATTGCAGTATTTTAGTGGTTTTAGTGAAAGAGCAGCATGTCATCATCAACGTGCTAGTGCTAAGCAAGGGTGGGTGTTGCTAATTTTGGGCCAACTGTCACGGAGAGCCCTTGTGCAAAACCTGGGAGCCACCCCAGATTCTTTCATTGTCGGTTTTTCCTTTCCTTCCGCTGACAACAAATGGGGAGAAAACGCGCTTCGTCCCACCACCACACTGCTGTCTGTAGGCAGCCCCGGTTTTAAGCATGGATGCACGAGGAAGACCAGCTGCCGCACGTTAATAAGACTTAAAGGAAATAAGG